CTTCCATGTTCGGGCATTCAGTTTTCGATACCTGATTTGTCGACTTCTTTACTTGAATGCTGCGATCGGCCGATTTCTTCCCTTGAATTTCATGATCGGCTCGTGGCGCCTTCATCTGCAACCGTATATTCTTCGAAGATTTCTTCGTCGGTTTTGCAGGAGTAGTTTTAGATAAAACTCTTTCGGTTTTGGCCGAAGGATTTTTATCTGGCGAATCACGTTTTGCAACGTGACTCGCAGGGGTCCCCGAATGGACCTGGGGAGGGGATAGAGGTTTTTCTTCCAGATCGAGCCATCGATCTTCCTCTTTTAATTTCTTCTCATCTACGTTTCTCCCAAAACGCTGATGATCCCGAGTCACCAGAAGATCCGGGCACGCGCACCATTGTGGTGGAGCGGGGTTCACAAAATTTCTGATGTGATCCCAACTCTCCACTGGCGCCCAGACAACCGACTGTCGGACGGGTTACTCCGTTTCCGTGCAACTTTCCTTCCTCACCTTGTGTACCCTTGATAGGCCGGGTAGCACTCTTTTCGGTGGACTTGAGTCGATGCTGAACTTAATCGTGTTTGGGATAGGTTGGGGGTCGACCGTGCGGAAATCTTCACGCGGTCGAGGGGTTCTTGTAGGTGCTCGATCCGAGTCACCCTGATCTCTCTTGAGATTGCCTTTTCCAAAAATGTAGATACTTGATCCACTTGATATACTTGATCTTCTGACCACTTGAGCCGTCTCGCGATCTTGTACCTTTTCCTTTTCTTCTTGTGCTGCGTCCAATCGCAGGGGAGTTGTTTGTTTTGAGAATTCTTGTAGTCCCTGACCAAACAATCCAGGGATATCACATGTGTCTTAGCGTAGTAGATGCTCTTGAGTCGTCGGGGGCCAAAGTTATCCCACCCGGACGAGAAGCCTGCGTGTATTAGAAGTAAAATCGAACTCTGTTTAATGTTAACCAATCACATACCAAAAACTACGATTCTACCTATCTGTAGACTAGGATCTACTGCCACGTGTTGCCATTTCGGAAAAATCAGATCTCAATGTGTGGACCACAAATGACGGATCGCGGTCGACGGATCGCTATGGCAGATCGCTATGACGGATCGCGGTCGGCAGATTGCTGTCGGCAGATCGCGGTCGACGGATCACTATGACGGATCGCTATGACGGATCGTGGTGACGGATCGCGGTCGACGGATCGCTATGGCGTACGCGGTCGACGGCTCGCGATGACGGATCGCTGTCGGCAGATCGCGGTCGACGGATCGCTATGACGGATCGCGGTGGCGGATCGCGATCGACGGACCGCTATGGCAGATCGCGGGCTCGGATCGCTATTGCAGATTGTGGTCAATTTAGAAGGTGTTGACCACATTTAATATTGGGCGATCCACACTTTGCGAAATATTGCTCCTTCGCTTCTCCACAGTCGCGATCCACACTTTGCGCAATTCCACTATTCCACATTCACTTAAAATCCGCACAAATTCAATCCATCCAATTGGATTAGCCGATACTGGAATCCAGTATAATCCAAACGGTGATCTATTCCATGATAATCAAATATAATTCTGAATTGTGATCCATGCCATGTATCTTCTCCTTAAGTATATTTCAATCCATATCATCATCGCCTTCGATACTATTGATCCCTTATTCATTCGTTTTGTTGAACAAGCAAATAAACGATCTTGGATCAACGGTACCTTTCCATTCGATCGTCCATGAATTGAGATCGACTTCACCTTACCCAATAAAATTTTTTAGTAAGTGACATAATGGGGAAGAGGGATCCAACCGTCATGAGAAAGGGATCCGACCGTTATGGGAAAGGAATCTTGCCGTTATGGGAAAGTGATCCAGCCATTATGGGAAAGGGGTCCAACCGTTGGCGAGAAAAGTCCCGATAATTTGGTTCCGGATATTTCGAGAAAATTACTAAATGGACTTTGACAAAATTCTCTAATCGACTTTACCACAGATACCCGAAGAGTTTAGACTCTTGGGAACCTTTTGACGCGCTACGCGATGACGTGCCTGGGATGGTGTCTGCTTACGAGCAGAAGCACCCGCTGCACTCGCTCTGCTAGGTCTGATGAATTAGAAGTAGCAGCGTGACGAGACGAATTTGGGGGTACGTAATAATATACGGAGCAAGTGCTAGACGCCTACCACCTTCTTCATTCCGCGATCGTCCGACGATTAATGTAGCAAGCTACACAGCTCTCAAGTCAAAGGAAGACTTATAGGTTAAAAGCCTCTTAGTTTTCGGTAGCTACATAAAAATCACGGAGTAAAGACACTTATTATAAAATACGAATTAATTGCCTTGAAGTCGCCTAGTTTCAGGCATTAATTTTTGTAATGGGCTACATTACACACATAGTTAACACAAATAAACAATTACATATGTAGACAGGTGCTGGGCCCGAATAGCGGGCACAGCGTGGCAATTTGTTATTGGTTTATTATTGGGGCCTAAAGTCCCAATATGGACCAATGATAAATCAATCTGAAATTGTGTGGTTCCCGAAAGGCGGGAATACTGTCGTATTTATTACGACTAGAATCTTCGTAATTAGTACGAATTAAAACCAAACTAAAAATCAGAGCTAAATTTACTTAATACCTAATATCTCGGGCTTGAGTCTTCCTCAAGCGCGCGTGTAAGCTAATGACGGTACGTTCTAGCCCCGTTACATTAATAAATGAATACGGAGTCTACCCGTTCTAAAGAACTGGGAGATACTTCTTGTAAAACGTTATCACTTCTCACAGGTTGTTAAGCGTACAAGCGTCAACTTCAAGACCTGTTACAGCTAAGGTTCACCGTAAACTGCTTCTTTGTAATTGTGACAACGTGACAGTTGGGACGAAGAGAGATGGACGTCACATGGGACAACCAAGATGCCATGGGGGGGGTGGGACCGAGAGAGACGGTCGACATGTGGAACCAGCATTTGAGACGTGCGGACTCGACGCACGCCATCTGCAGCTTGGCCTCGTCAAGTTGCACTGCAGGAAGATCACATGGTGTATGGAGTAAACGAAAGAAGTTAACACTCAATATATTTCGCGTCTACTTTCTACTACCTTTGCACGAGTGCAACTACAAACACAATTTTCTATTACTTTTTCAGTCAACGAGTTTCCCCTCAACAAGCTTAGATGTCTTACGATTTAAAGAACCAAACGAATGAAGTGCACTAGACAAACAAGTCTTATAAGAACTTTACTGCAATAACTCAAAATGACAACGGAATTTTATTGATGCATTAAAATGTAGGAATAAATTTACTGTAAGTGTAACGAGGTTACACGACGGTTGGAACATCATTTCGAAAGCTTATGTTAAAGTTTCCTTTATTGCATATAATGTATAATAATACTTCTCTTTAGAGAGGTATTAAGTATGAGCGTTAAGATACGGTTTTCGGTAATACCGTATCTTATCGATTAGGATTCGATAAATCGATAACGCTGTACTAAGTACAACATACACTGATGTTTAGACGATACGTCGTCCAATAGCAATGTCTGCATATTATAATTACTATTATAGTAATTAATCTAGTGTAGGGTACTTCGAGTAGGACTATTCATAAAATCTTAAATGCATAAATATAATCAGCTCTCATTTTGAGTTAAAGATCACAAATTTCGATAAGACTTGTTCTCTTGTGCACTTCGTGCGTTGGTTCTCTGAAATTTTAATCTTCCAGCTTGTTGTTGCACTCTGTGCGTTGATTCTTTGAACCTTAAGCTTATTGCTTGTAGACTAAAAGTTTCTCCTAGTTCCTTAGAACAGGGTGACTTTTACGTCGCTTAATTAGTTCCTTAAAACTAAGTAGCTTTTAGCCGTAAATTAATTTAGTTCTATAGAACTAAGAGGCTTCCAGCCGAAAGTCTTCCTCTGGCTAAAGAGCTGTGCCGCTCGGCTACATTAAGTTTTCTACACTACATTAGCCACTATAATAATAATTATAATCTTGACGTGTCATCTTACATCTGTGTACGATGTACTTAGTACGGCGATATCGGTCATTGTACCATCACCGATATGGTACGGTATTAGCGATACCGTATCTTAACTTATTACCTCCTATAGAGAAAAGTATCAAGAATACATTTTATGTAATATATGATGAATTAGGTAATTCTGAATATAATTATCGAACCGTCGTGTAACCCCGTTACAATTAAGCAAGTCGCCCACCCTACCTACCAACGCAACATCGTAAACGGTAATCGTGAATTTAGTCTGCGGAAAAGCCGAGACGTAGGTAAAAGACAAGGCTGATGGCATAAGCACATACATGACTGCGTAACGACACCATCAGTCTTGGGCCAGTACATCGACATCGACATCGTGAAGAAGACCAAGCACCCTGTCACGATTATTCTTTTCATAAGGTAGGCAAAGTTAATGAAGGACCGCAAAGGCGTGGAGCCATGGCGTTACCTTTTTGCGAAGCATTATGGTAAAAACTCAAACTTATGTTATCTTGAAGCCGTCCCAAGATCGTTAGTCTACACAATCAATGGTGAAAGTACCTCTTCGACACCTTTGGTGACGCTCGAGAAGATTTTATGCCGCGGCAAGGCTTGCAGGCGAAAATATACCAATTAAAATGGAATGGTTGTATTCTCGTTATTAAGTTGCTGGATCTTTCCGCGTAAAACTAATTGCCTCATCACAGAGGTCTCGGTTCTAATTTTTAACGAGTCTTGAGCGCCTCAAATCTTGTGACGTCACGCAATTCATTTTCTTCAAGGAACAGATGTAGATACAAACTCCAAATATAATCGATAACGCAATTGCAATTCAAACTGCCTCACACTTCTGTGACCGACTATGAGCCACGTGCTAGATGGGTACTCTATCTAACTGTGTATTCGGTCGTAACAGCTTTGAAAATTCAAAACCCGGAAAAAGTTCTCAGTTCGGTCGCATCACATACAAAAAGCAAGAGCAAAAACAAAGCAAAAATCGTCGAGAATGGCCACACAGATCGTTGACCACAATAACGCTGGCATGAACTTTATCAGCAGCAATGAGGAGACACCCGTGGTGTCCAAATTGGAAGCGACACGTCTTGCACTTGCACAAGAACAAAAGAAGCGCATCGATGCCGCTGTGGCGCGTGTCACGAGTAAGAAAGAGAGCGGTAAACGGAAGGGACTGGGAGAGCGTACGGACGCTGTACACCGTACTAAGAAGAGCAAGACAGTCGTGGACGTGACAAACGATCAAGTTGATACGAAGAACTCGATTGCTCGGAGAATGGTCGACAGATTCGCATCGATGCCAGAGCCTGAACGAGAAGAAGTCACTGAGCAGGAAGAAGAGCCGGTCACACGCTCGGTGTCTGTGCAGCAGTTTGTGGCTCGTTCTGTGAGTGTAAAGGATGCAGATTCATTGGAGACGTCCTCATGGTAAGGTTTTGTTCTTTAGGTGTGTTGAAATAGCGACAAAAAAGCTGACAGTTGAGTGGTTTTATATACAGCGAGACGATGGAAAAGGTGACGAACACGACGACGACGACTATAGCAAATGTAGCAGAGGAGAACAGTGTAGAGTCGGAGGAAGAGGTTGCATTAGTTGATGAAGAGGAGGCAGAGCAGAAGAATGAGTGGGACGGACCTACTACGAATTTTCATGTAAAGCAACTGGGTCTAGACGATAACGTCGACATTTACGCGCCAATTGCACAGCAGGAGTATGATGTACAGCGTGTACGTGAACGTACCAAGTATATGCCAATGGGAAACAGCGGCAAGTTGCTCAATACGTCGTGCGACTCTGTGGCTGATTCGGATTTTTCGTCGAAGGATGTCCTTAGTCAAGAGAGCGAGAAGTTTGATGCTGTGCCGCTGCCAGAAGATAACGATAGTGAGACTCGAGTTCTTGCCGAAGAGATGGAAGAATGTGAACAGGAATCGGCAAATGAGACGGCTGAGGTCCACCAGACTTGGGCTAAGCAGGCGTTCATCTACACACCGCTGTTTATCCTGGCAATAGTTTTGCTAGTGTTTGCGCTGCTCTTTGCGATCGATTGGTCGCAGAACACATTTCAGTTTTGCGAGATGGACGCAGAGAGTACAGAGGGTACGTGTGTTCATGTTTGAATTCTGTCGCATTGTTCCTGTTGGATTTCATCATTCCGTCCATCTATTGCTGTACATTTGTATGATTGTTTCTACTGATGTAGGCTCTGAGGAGCTCTTCTCGTGCGCGTCATTTGTGGAAACGCAGTCGCTAGTCAAATCGACCTTGCGAAAGACTGCTGAAAAGGTGCAGAAGACAGTGCAGTCATATTTCGTGTGAGTGTTGGATGCAGGGGAAGGCTGGAGGAAGAGTAGTAGTGCTTCAAAAACGTTGTTTGCATAGTTTATAACTTAGGAATAAATCGGCGCTTGTTAACATGCCCAAATGCCATCAGCTTGATGCTCAAGCCTACATGGATACAGTAGCCATGCGCCACAGTTAGAGCAGCAAATCAGAACCAACCACCACTAAAACCTTTCCGTCAACGTGTTGAGAATGACGATGAAGACAGTGCTGTCCTTTGAAGGCGAGCGCGAGCTTGTGACCGAAACACGTGCTTATGAATTGGTGCGGACGTATGCCGATGAAGAGGCACAGCAGCAGCCATCCACCTTCACGCACATCACGCTGCGCAACAAGAGCTACACCCTGGAGGCCGCACGTGTCATCGCCGCCTTCTTCTCGCGTCTAGAAGCCCGCGGCGCTTTCGAGGAGCTCGTGAGTGTGGACTTTGCCGATATGATCGCTGGACGTCCGGAAGACGAGGCCCTGCAAGTTTTGGCGACGCTCTGTGACGCGCTGAGTGCCATCAAGACGCTCACACGTATCGACTTGAGCGACAACGCATTAGGAGAAAAGGGTGTACGCGCTTGCTTTGGACTGCTGCAGAACCAGGAGCAGCTACGGCACATATACTTTTGCAACAACGGTATCTCTGCCGCAGCTGCGGGTGTCATTGCCGATGAGGTTCTCCTGTTCCGTGGTTTGGACACGCCAACGAAGCTTGAGACCTTTCACTTCTACAATAATATGAGTGGAGACGGCGGTGCCATTGAATTAGCCAAGTTGCTTCCGCTGTCACCGGGGCTGAAAGACTTGAGATTTTCAGCGACGCGAGCTCAGAGAGAGGGAAGTCTGGCCTTTGCCACGGCTTTGGCGTCATTGAAAAAGCTAGAGAAGCTGGATCTAAGTGACAATACGTTTAAGGCACAGGGTGCCAAGGCTATCGCTGCAGCAGTGGCAGGAATGCCGAACTTAGTGGAGATTAACTTCCGTGATGCTGCTCTTGAGGATGATGGGGTGATGGCCATTGCAGATGCATTGCGAGAGGGCGGTGCAGCAAAGATTCTTACGGTGCTGGATGTGTCTGGTAATGATCTAACTGCTGAGAGTATGCCAGTTCTGGGGCAGATGCTGCGTGTGAGCGATGCTCTGCATGTACTGCAAATTGAAGAGAATGAGATCGGATCGAAGGGTGCTAAGACTATTGCAAAAGCTCTTCAAGCCGGATCACCAGTGCTGGAGAAGGTGGTGGCTAATTTGAACGAGATTGGTGCCTCGGGTGCGCTTGCACTTGTCACGTCTGTTCTTGACAAAAAGGCGTTTGCGAAGCTGAATATTGATGGAAATCAAATATCTGCCGAGGGTGTGGCTCAAATTGAGTCGCTGCTTGAGAGCAAGAACATGAGCGACGTGCTGGGGTCACTGGAGGACAATGACGGCGATGAAGATGAAGAGAACGAAGGTGACGAGGAGAGTGAGAATGAGTAGAGAAAGAATGTCTGTGGATAGCTTCTATACAGCCTGTGCATCATAAAATTTGATAGGTAGTACGGCATATCCGGGTTATAAATAGCCCAGCACTAATATTGTCAGCATGCGTATCATGAACGGAAAATTTGGATACTGTAAACATTATGAAATCAGACGCCATCCCACCATTTTTTTCAAATAACGTCTAAAATGTACTTAGCTCACATCACATATGTATTATTTTATAGTAATATTATTATTCAGCAATAATTGCTATTTATATATCATTTTTTTGGCACGTAGCAATAAATGAATTCTGGACTAGCAATGACGGACATATCCGACGCTGCGCCTCCCGTAGTGGTCCATACACTGCCATCTTTGAACCCGCCACTATTTTTTGAGATTGTAGAAGACCAAGTCTATCGCTCCAACAAGTGTGACGCGTCGTCGTTTCCGTTTCTTGCCACTTTGCAACTTAACACGGTCGTATATCTCTCGTATGACGACCTTTCACGCGAGTTGGCCGCTTTCTTTGCCGAAAAAAACATCAATGTGGTGTGTTTTGTTCTTTAAATGTATATTGCAACTGATTACGTCATTAATACTGAGATGTGGTGTAAACAGATTCACCTGGGGATGAAATATCGTACGGTTTTATCACAATGGCAGGGGATCTCGGAGGGAATGGCCAAAGAGACTGTCGAGTGTATTTTAGACCAAAGACGTCATCCAATTCTTGTCATGTGCAAGTAAGAATGATGGTGTGGAGATCCTCAAGATAATGGCGAGGCATTCTCAGTTTCTTTTTTTTGCTGTTTTTTTACTGATTGTAGGACGGGTGTGCACTTTGCTGGAACTATGATCGGCTGTCTTCGACGATTACAGAATTGGAGCATGACGTCGACTATTGACAAAGTGGGTGAATTGTTTTTGGATAAAGTATTGTCTGTGATCATTTAGCTGGGAACTTACTGATGGGGGTGGTTAGTATCGTAACATTGCCGGCAGTGTCAAGACGAGATTCGAGAACGAGCAGTTTATCGAGTTGTTTGACGTGGATTTGGTCACGCTGCCGCAGCAGTTACCGCTCTGGTTCACAGTCCACCAGCGACTAATGGTATGACGGGATGAGCTTTCGGTCACACCATGTACGCACAGTATTCACACTTTTTGTCGTAGGAAGAGGAGCGAATTGCGCTGGCAAAAGGCGAGTTTTTCCCAGGACGAAGTCTTGAGAATGTGAAAGGACCACATTATGAAGAAAGCGTAACAAAGGTAGACGGAGAGAATCGACCAGAAGGTGACGACATCTCCGTACAGACTCCTACAGATTTACCAGTTCTGGCGTACCAGAAGTATTTCTTCAATCTCCAAGGTCCACTTGTGTCTCCATCCGTGAAATTCTCCGAGAAGAAGAGCATTATTGGTGATGATGACGATGATTAAAATGTCTCTTTTAGACGCTGTAAACCCAGTCTGTATTATTTATTGACCAACTCACCAGCAAAAATCGATGAAAAAGTGCAATGCGATGCTGGTGAAAAACTACAAAGCCAAGAGTAGCAGCCTCAATGCCCACTCAAGTCAGGTCCTGCGTCACGTCGACTTCACCCTGGATGCCCTCCTTGATGCGCAGTAGCAGCGAGATCTTCCACGGCTCGATCTTGGAGATCGTATCGAACTGAAACACGGCATCCGCAAATGCGTCAGCGTTGAAAGCCTCGTAACTCTGGTTCATCTGCTGCAAGAACCTGCCCTCACGGCTGTCTGCGAAAGTATAGTCGATATCTTGGAATTCGTCCCATTTCATCTGCACCAGCACCGTATCCTTGGTAGCGAGTGCACAGATGCCAGCGTTCAGCAGGTGGTTCTTTGCGTTAAACTTAAGCAGACTCGACTCCATGGAGGACTTGGCAATGTCCTCGTAGATTTCCAGCGCTGCTTCAAACCTAAACAAAACAACACCAACATGAGCCACTAGATTTTACAACCCTTCAAACCTAGCAGTCACTTACTTTTCCAGCTCGGCCGAGAACTGCGCCACCTTCAACAGCATACTGTTAGCCGAAGACGACTGGTTCTCTCCAGAAAAGTAATCAGCAGCCTGGCGATAGGCTTCCAGAGCTTCTTCCTTGTTGTTCTGCTGCTCGTAGATCTCGCCAACCTTCTTTTGCAGCTTGGCAGCATTTGAGAATCTGCCTGCATCACAAAGCATCGAGATAGCCGTCTTGTAGTGCATCATGGCATCTGCAGATAGAATATCATGCATCAGTTTCTATCAAAATTCTCTCCTCTATCCAAATGTTCATCTTACCCAAAGCATTTACTTTGGATAAAGCCTCTGCTGCCTGCTGGTAAAATTGAGCAGCACGCGAGTTTTCCTTCATACGAGTCTACAATATTAGGTTACAATAGTAACGTTAGTTTTTTCTTGACGGGTAAAAGGTTCAATACGTTTGAGCTCACTTGACACCGTGCACATTTCTCGTAAGCTTCAGCAGCCATTTGCCCTGTATTTTATCATATATAATTCCAATAAAACCGAGTTTATTGCATAAAGAGTAAGAAATATACAAGTCGTACAATTCTTGGCAATTTTAAACTGATTGCCAGCCTTCTCGAACAAATCACTGGCATCTTCGCTGCGCTGCGAATTGGAGCTGAAAGAAAAGAAGGACGTCTTCTTTAGTGCCTTTTCACCTTGCGCGAGGTACTCTTTAGCCTTGGATTCAGCGGTCATGGAGAAAAGGGAGTGAAGGTGGTTATTTCTTGGTCGTAATCCACTTTTTTGATACGTTACATGATAAACCTTCAGTATCTGATACTGTGATCGAGGTCTTTACTAACAAGAATTTTAACAATGTACGCTTATCGACTTTGTAAGGGAAGAGTGCTACAAAATAGTAGTTTGCTACTTTCCTAGATTATTAAAATTCATGGACTATTATAGTATCATCATACAGTAATACAATCCATTATAAAAAAGCTAGAGGGTGGATAATTTCTCATATATTTAAGCGCTCTATTCCATCCGAGAATAGAGATAAAGTTGTGTCGACATAATCATAAATCTATTTATTTAAATTTTACGGGAAATTAGTGCCGAGTATTGGGCTTAATGAACAAAATGTAGTGAAGGTTGCAGTAAGTGCAATCTAAAGCAACGCATGCCATGCGTTGCAGGATCGTGTGTGCCAACATCAACGTACATGCAGGTAGGCGACACAGCTTCGACTCAAGCACTATTTTTTTCAAGCAATCAGACCCAGCTTTCCAAGCGCAAAAAAATCCACCAGCACACAGTTTTCGGTATTAATCAGTGAAGAGCCACTCATTTTTCTGCTTCTGCTTCTTGGCCTTCTTCTCTGCCATTATTTTCTTCCAGTCAATGTTTTTGCGCTTCAATTGCTCCTTTCTGCGAACTGCTTCTTCACGGTTTTTTTCTAGCTCCGTCATATCGAAGAAGTGGCTCATTTGACGTCCTGCACGATCAGCTGCGATTCCTGCATTTTGCCAATAATCGTCACCGCCGAGCTGCTCGTACTTCCCCGTAAGCCGGTTAAACTTCGCCCGTGCTACGTAACTCACACCTGAAACGGTCTTGCCTGTTCCTGTAGCATCGGACTTGGGAACTTCTGGCGGAATCCAATTCGCCAACTACCCACCAACAGAAAGAAAGTGAGCCACAAGTGAAAGTAAAAAAAAATGTCATATGATATGCAAAACGTACCCCTGAAATGAAAGGTGCGTCTGGCTCGTTCCATTGTGTAGCACCTGTGACCGCATTGTGGTAGTAATATCGCTGCGTCTGTGCGTCGATATGTTGTTGCCATTCTGCTTTTGCTGTTCGAGGAGCATCAGCAGCAATTTCTTCGTCCTCAATAGTCGTAGCAGGAGGACCCTTACTATCAATGCCGCTCAAAATGGTGTTCAATTTGCTCAGATTACCCGACGGATCCAGCACTTGCTGGGATACCCGTGCCAGGCTTTCAGTACGCATTCGATTTAGATGAGCCTGATACTCAACAGACACCTGGGAAGTCGTCGAGAGAATTGCTGGTTGTACTGACTCATCATAGTCCTCAGGCTCCTCCCATTGCGTCTTCCTTGTTCTAGTATTGAAGTAGTAAGGTTTGTTACTGGCAGCATCCATATACTTTACCCATGTCATAGCAGCAGCAGAGTTGTCCTTTACAACCTCCTCTTCTTCTTTCTCATTGCTTTGAGACTTATCATCATCTGAAGATAAGCATTCTACCTCCTTCTCCTTCTCATTAGATTCTACTTTCTTCTTCTCTTTCTCTTCTTGTGCCTCCAGTTCCGGTCCATCAGTCTCCTCTCGCTGCTCCTCATTGTCCTGATTCTTACTCTCCTGATTATCCTCATCCTTCTGCTCTTCTACTTCCTCCTCCTTTTCCTCCAATAAAAAGTCATCGGGTTTGTCCCAGCGACTAACGCAATTTACTTCGTCGTAGTAATACTTGGCTCCAGATGCATCGTCCACGCACTCGCGCCACTTTGTTGCCTTGCAGTTCTGCGTCACATCCGACGTCTGTAGAGATATGAAGCCTACTGGGATCTCCCACGACGACTTGCCTGTGCGTGCGTTGTAGAAATATACCGAACCTGACGCCTCGTCCACGTATTTTTCCCATTCACTGTCACCTATGGTCGCCATTATTGGTTGAAATCGGATAAACGCAGTTGCAAAACAGATAAAATTAACATCCGTTGGATAATTCCCGATTTTCTAGTTCCCAAAAGCTGGTAACTTGTTCCCAAAAATTGGGAGGGGGTGTCACCATTAAAGCGACGCAAACAACAGGGCATTAACCCATTCGGATCTGGAACACTTGAAGAGCACCAGACCGGTAGCAAGCAGCCGAATGGAGCAAATAGAACTCCCATGTGCGTTTAAAAGATTCAGGAAGTGATGGCATATCCTGCAATGGATTTGTTTGAGCTGTTGCTGCAAGTGAACGCGTTACCACGTCGTGGCCCCATTGCGCTTGGAATCGACGGTTCCACTCGAGGAATGTGCGCTCATAATGGTCCGAGTAACCGAGTGTTTCTCGAAGCGTGAAGCCGGTCTCGCTAGCAAGTCGGCGCATGAACGGCAACGTGATGGCGTAGCAAGGGTACGAACTGTGTACATATTTGTTCGTCCAGGCGTGAGTCGTCATGTGCGCGGCCGTGCAGGCGCTAAACTCGAGCAGTGTCGTGCCATTTGCGGCCTGGATGCGCTTCAGCGTGCGCAAAAATCGTATTCGCTTTGTATCGGGTAAAGCCTCCACGACGCCACACAACGTGACGCGGTCGAACTCGGATACACGGAAGCTACTCAAAATTGTCAGCAGTTTTTCTGGTGTCTCTGCGAGCACGAATTCCATTTGATCAAAGACCTCAAGCTCACGGGCAAATTTCCTGGCGCGCGCAAATTCTTGAACCGAGGATAATACGCATACAAAAGTGGCGTCGGGGTACTGTTGAGCGAGGTAGCAGCTCACTCCTCCCCATGAGCCGATGCTAACGTCCAAGATGGTGTGGCCAGTCTGAAGCAAGAATTAAACATGTCATATACCGCCACTGCATTAAAATCGTCTACGACAGAGCCATTTGGTACAAAGCACCTACCCGAATATCCAGCAACTGACCCAAATTAGCAAGTTTGTTGGTCTGTGCAGCGTTGACGGTGGTTGTCCCTGCAGTCCACATGCCGAAGCCTTGGTGGAAGTATCGATCCATATAAGACTGCCGAAACTTCGGGCAGAGGTCAAACTGTTCTGAGACAGCACCGACAACAAGGCCCATGGACGAAGGTGGGTAGTTGAACAATCGTGCTGTCAGTGCCACACAACGAGCGCTCCAGGATCGGTACATATCCTGTCTGCCTTCCATCGGAATAGTAAGCAGACTAGCAACCACATCATCTAAGGTACGTGCAGAGTTAGTCGCCCAGAGGTAACCCACGTAGGATTCGCCAATAGCCACAAGCCCCTCACTCATCCAATCGAGCCAAAAAGCATCGTCTCGAACGATAAAGTCCTGGTATGGCAATGAACAAAAACTTAGTTTGTGATCAAGCCAACAGCGATAACATTTTAAACCATACACATACCATATTCGGTCGAATGCTACCACTGGAGAGAAGGCGATACATAATTTTCTTTGCACTATTCCGTAGCTTTGGTAAAGACAGTGATCGGATCAACTGGAAGCAAAACAGAAGAGCCCCTGCGGTTGCCGTCGCAACATATACCCAGAAAGATCGCTGTCACAAAACGAGCATCCACGCCAGAGAACGCATATAAAATTAGAAAATCACGCTCATCCAGGGTATCTTGTCGGTACATTTTGCTACCTGGTGAGCCAAGACACAGAAGAGAGGCACGAGCAGATTCAACATGAGCTCCATCTTGTAAGCTGCATTCCAAAAGTGCTGTGAACGCGGTGGTGAGAAGCGGTAGATGTGATCAGCTTTGGGAAAGACTCCACCTCCCACCACACAGTGGCTCCATAGTCTCGATGATCTGCTCACAAAACAACTCAAAACAATCAGCATTGAGGATCTCACGTAGGTTGATCACTCTTACACTACAGCAGGTACACTCATCCACACGCGAACAAGCGGTAAATAGCACGTGACCAAAATCATCGGCACAAGCAGATGCAACATAAAGTCTCCAATATGAGCTGCGACGCCCAAGACTGGTGAGCTCGCCCAAACCCCGAGCCAACCATTGAGGATGGCTGTAAAGGCATAGCGATCAAAGAGTCGCAACGAGTACCAGCCGGCCATAACGGTGATGCCCATGGACGTGGCAATACCGAGCGCCGTCTTGGACGCGAACAAATGAGCGAGGACAGTGAAGACGAACCAGCAATTGGTGTACATGGTACGGATACCGACGATTGGCGGCAACGTGACAACGCTAAAGAGTAGCACTACGGCCAATGCAGCTTCCATGTGGTCGTCTATCTGAATAACGCCATGGCTCGTGCGACTGAGCGTTCCCCACCCTAGAAATGTGTCCATCTTCTAGATCCGTTCGTATATACTTTCTTAAATTTACTACAAAGTTTAGTATATAAACCATGTGAATAATCGTAGAATGAGAAGCGTAGTGATCATATTCCAGTTGTATCAAAATGCTTCATATAGGTAGTAAGTGATAAGTGGTTGGTGTTGCTACAGTAACTAGCTGCTTGTTTGGACAAGCGTTTTACTACAAAGCCGGCTTTAGCAAGCAAGTGACAACGACTTCGTGGATACCACCTTGGTATGCGAGTACACACAACGTCGGAATAATGAGGTTGTAGACCAGCTCAATCTTGCGAACTGATAACCAAAAGGTTTTCGGTCGCGGCGGGTAAATGTGGTAGATGTCGTTACCCGAAAGACAGAGATCACCGGCAGCAACTAGTGTGATCCACAAGTGAGAGAAGCTGATTAACAAGAATATACAAGTGGACATAGTCAGCAACACACATGTAACTAGTAGCGATGGCAGGTTACTTACAGCAAGATAGGAGCTGTCATCCAGATCCGCACCAGCGGCAAGTAACAGAACGCGAGTGTCAGCGGTACGCCCATATGCAGCAAAAGGTCGATAGAGTTGGCTAGTAGTCGGAACGGACGGTATTTGCTCAGGAAGCCAAACCAGCCCTGCAGGATGCCCATAAATGCAGTACGGTCGAACACTCGTAACGAGTACCAGCCCATCATGATGGAAAGCCCCAGTGATGTGGCCATGCCCAGCGCTGCCTCCGATTCCGTCACGTGTGCCAGTACTGCAAAGGCCATCCAACAAAAGGTGTAGAGGATCCGTATGCGTACTATTACGGGCACTAACGTGATGGAGAATAGCAACAGCACCGCTAAGACGACGTCCGTGCTCCATTGGGTCGACGTGATCGCCCGCTGCTCGTCGTCGCGTACTCGCAGCACTGTACGGGTCAGCGTATCATGTGCAACATTTAATAACTCGGTCGCGTCCATGCTGAAGCTATGCAGGAATTTCGTTGAGTGCTGGGGAGAACACTCACTTTGATGTCAGCTGCCCCCAGAAAAAAAAATGATTTCTATAGTATTGAGTGAATGTAAGTGGCGAGACTGTTCCGCCGTGACAGACAAGTACTTGCTATTTGTAAGAAGAAGCCTCGTCTCTGTCTCATATGACGGCTCACATGATCGCGTGTCGAGGCGACTAGGCGAATAGGTTTCGGGACTTTACAATGCCCATGAATCTGTGAGAGGGCTTTTCTGAGACTCACAGACTGTCTATTCTAGCTACTTATCACTATTAAAGGTATCTAGTTGTGTAAACATACTATAAGCATCGTTTTCTCGTTCTGCTGGCTCAAGACTTTGGCCGGCGAGTGCCCGTGGATCAATCCGTTGACCAAGTCCGAAAGTAGCTTTGTATGCATTATCTAAACTGAATGGCTGGTGCTACAGTACATAAACAACTGGTACTGGATCTTATGGGGTCATCACGGTCTTGAGGGATGGGACTGGAAGGGCCCTATCGTGGCAAGGTAAAAAGAGCTCCTCGTAAGCGTGTGCTACATACGGCAGTGGTCGACGATGGATCGAACCACCCTGCACATCGAGTAGTTCCTTCCCTTCTCGGTTTTTGCATCGCCGATCCGCTTCCTGAGCAAGATAAGGGCTTCCGTGAGGGTCTCGTCTCTATCTGTTGTTGTTTTTCGCTGCGATTGGGAAGTGCCTGTGTGGATACCTGCCCCATTATTTAGGCCGGTTGTGTTGATTGTTTACTCATTTGGAATCACGTGGAAGTCGAACATGTTATGGCGACCATTTCCTAGACGCCAAGAGGCATACAACTCCGCTAAAAGAGCACGCAGTCCACTATGTTGTCAGGTTGCCTAAAGCATATAAGCGATCGTCAGGTTACTCACAAGCATATAGGCGATCATCAGATTACGGCCTTGAGCTGCATAGGTGCGGCGGTGAAATCGATGAGCGTGGTACATTTCACAGCACAGAGAAGCTGCTTAGTACATTGCCGTCTCATTAACCGCGCCTATCTCCTCGTGAATTAATAAGGACTGGCAATGTCATCCACACTTTTGACATGCTCCAGATGCTTAGCAGCGAGAACACCATGAGAGCGCGCAAGAAGTCAACATTCGCAAGACTGCACTCAATCAAAAAAAAAACTTGCCAGACAGCATGGTGCCCAAAAGGGAGCGGCCGAGCTGTTTTACCCGACAGCATTGCCGAACAGCCTCATGGTGATCACGAGTCCCAGCGCCGTGGAGGACTTCGTCTTGACGGCGATAATGTGAACGCGTTTTACAGAATGGTGTACAATGAGATGGATGCGAACAGCATCGAAGTCGTCACCGCGGCCAGCATCGCGGCTAAAGCGTAGACAAAATCCTGCACTCTCCCATTTTTGTCTGGTCTAGAAATGAGGAAACGTGCACCGTCTTGCCATCATGCAAAGTACTCCACTACAGCGACGAAGTCGGCATGTTTGGCCCCGCTGGCAGACGCCGTCATCGCTTGAGCTTCGCAGTTGCGTAATTCGTGGTTTTATGAGGCGTAAATGATCCCATACACGGGCTCGCGGCTGTAGAGAACCACGTTCCGCGACCAGTTGGTCTTGCCAAGTTGAGCCTTGTAGCGGAATCGGCCAGCAGCTAGCAGGAACGCATCAATCCTTTCCACGACGTCTGTGCGCACCTTGATTTCGCGGAAAGACTGGGGTACCTCGACTCGCATGCGTTTTAGCCGCTTCTGTGCGTTACTGTTGTCAGCCATAGAGAGAGAATACTACAGGTCAATATAATCAGCGATACAGCACCTTACAACAATGCCGAGAACTTGATACCTACCGGTAGCATTTCCACGTCTGTGGCTCGATAATCAGGTGCTCGGTCATGTCACTGACTGTCTCGAGGAACTTCCAGAGACCGTCATCTCCGTTGTTTAGATGAATCCACATTGTTACGCTGAAGCAAGTGACAACGTCAAACTTTCTTTCCGATCTCGAGCGCTTCGCCAGCTCCAAAAGCGGAGCGATCTCCTTGCTAAATTTGCTCGTCATGACATCAACGTGGTGAAACTGCACGACATCCCCCTCCATCAACTGCAGAGGCTTTTTGGCGGCACGTTCAATCAGTACCTTGTCAATATCTACACCAAGAATCATAAGCGGTTTCTTCTTCACCAGCTCTTCATTTGTCAGTGGAAGATGCACCGGAACAGTCTTCTCATCTGCAGATTGCTCCTCCTTCTCCTGTTCCTGACTCTTGTCATCCAAAGTTCGAAGAGCCACTTCAGCTGCCTTTGCCTTAGCTACCTTCTTAGATACACCTTCACCATGACCCATAGGTTTTCCGTCAATTCGCAGCTCACACACGTAGCGTCTGCGATGATTGGTCTCACCCTTGTCTTCGGTCACATACTCCACCTGCTTCTTATCCTTCTGTATCCTTTCATTCAATATACTGATATTCGAGAGGTCAAAGTCGGCGACATCATCTTCAATCTGATTGGCATTTGCAAGCATTGTACGTCCACTTAACAAATTGTAGAGTCCAATCGTCAAGTCGCCTTCGTTACAGCCAATGTCAATGACAGTGAACGTCTCTTCGCTCATCGAATCTCCAGCATCTTTCTTCATAAGCAACGCACGTCTTAAAGCATCGGTAGTTTCGACATCCATAAACCGTAAACGTTCATGCACCGGATTGAAACTATAATACGCATGGAAGTTCCCATGGACGTGTCCGTTTGCATCAAAAGCCATGGGTTTTGAGTTATTGGTGTGGTCCCCGTCTCAACAACAGGATTGGTTGAAAAGCACTGATATTGATTATAATTGGTTAAAAACAGTTATCCACAGTTGGTAAAGAAATGCTGGGATCACGACTGCTACGAGTAGTGCCGCGTGTGTCGACGACGTCGAGACGCTTTGCCGCGTCTGTGTCTCAAACGAAGACTGGGAAGTCAAGCAACAAGGAGAGCAATTTGTCTCGATACGCTGGCATGGCGTTTTTTGGCGCATTGGTGCGTTTAGGATTGGACAAACAATAGAAAGAAAGGGTAGTACAGTTGGTCTGATGGACTGTTTTGTGACTCCTGCAGACGGTTACGACAGCGTATTTGGGTGCATGGCAGGTATGCAATCTGTGACTATGGTGTGATGGGCTCAGATGCTCTGTGTAATGCTGAAGTTTGGACTCTGTATGAAATTGGCAGACTAAACGCTACTACTGGAAGGTGAATTTGATAAACGAGCGCATGAAGGAGCTATCAGAGTCTATTGCGGAGCTACCAAAAGATGCGACAGCAAGAGATGCCATGTAAGATTGGTAAACGTGATGATATTCGTATCAAGTGCGAACATATAAGCTCACAGAGTCTGGTATTTTGGATCGAATTGGAGCAGAGATGACATTGAGTACCGCCAAATTCGTGTTGAAGGACGCTTTAAGCCTGGAAGCACCTTTTACTTGTGTAAGAATGATGTGCTTCATATACGGTAGCTGTTATTGACGACGTTATGCTAAAACTGACACATTTACGTTTGCAGACCCTCGCTCTGCTCCTGCTGACCCAAGTGATTCGTTCGCACAAGTGAAAACTGGTGGCTACATTTATTCGCTGCTGAAACGGGAGGACGGGTAAGATGTGTGTGTGTTTTGCTCGCGGGTTTGTGTGAAACTACATTGCTCACCAACTCTGTCGTGATACATAGAACACCAGTGATCGTGAACCGAGGTTGGCTTCCACGCAAACTTCTGGATGCACACATTGCACAGAAAGAAAAAGAGGATGAGGGAAAAGATGAGGGAAAGGTATCGTTTGTCGGTGTGCTTCGTCACGGTGAAGTGGTACGTAAATTATTTGCGCTGTGGATTGATAAACGTGTAGTGTTTGACAAATTCAGTACTGTAGAAAAATAGCTTTACTCCTGACAACGATCCCGACAATCGACAATTTTACTATTTGAACCATGAAGAACTAGCTCATGCCATGGGTGTGTCATCGACTGACTTGCCCGTCATTGTCGATGCCCTGGGTAAGTGAACTCATCGTTTATATGACTATATCTTAACGCGTCTAAAGCTTGCGTTTTTTTTCTTTTCCAGCATCCGATGGTGCGACGGAAGTGACGCTGGATAATCCTGTTCGAAAGAGCATTGCGTCATTTCTTGAATTCTACATGACTCCGGAAAAACATGCTGGTTACGCTGCAACCTGGTACGGACAAGCTAAATGAGGAAACGAAATCATCGACTAATGCGAGTCGAATGTTTGTATACAGGTTTGGTTGCAGCATTGCGGCTGCAGTTATGGGCATTCTGCGCTTCAAAAAAGGAGGCACTCGTGTCGCAAAGTTCAAGCACAGTTGATTACGTGGATGGATTTGATCTGATGTAGGCGCTGCCTCGTCACATGAATAATGAATGAATACCAGTGGGTTCTTTTAGCGCTATTTTACTACGATTTGTCAGTAAAACGTTGTTTTATAATTAAACATCGCAATTCTCATCGACGATGATTCGTAAAAATGCAGCACGAGACGGCGACAATCGAGGACGCGGTGCTGCTTCTGCTCATGCTGCTCGTGCTAGTAGTAGTATCGTTTATGCTGGACCGCTATTCATGTAATATGGTGTCACAGAGCAGTTTTGCACTAATGCTCGGACTCTTTGTGGGACTCTTTATGATCATGGGCGGCAAGCACGCGCAATTGCACACGCATTTAACGCTGGACAATAGTCTCTTCTTTAATGTATTGCTGCCACCGATTATCTATGAAGGAGGGTTCTCAATCAAACGGCAGGCATTCTTTCGCAACTTTCCAGCTATTATGAGCACAGCTGTCATTGGCACCGTCGTCGCTGCGACCATTACGGGTGGCATTCTATACCTCGCTGGCGAGTCGGAGGTAGTAACAAGACTTTCATGGGTGGAAGCTCTGCTGTTTGGAACGTTGATTAATGCTGTGGACCCGGTTGCTACGCTGTCGTGCTTTAATAAATTGCACGTTCCGCCACTGCTGTTCAATCTTGTTTTTGGAGAAAGCGTGATCAATAATGCAGTTGCCATTGGATTGTACCAGACGCTACATAGATGGAATGTTGGCACTGACTTGAGTTGGAAACAATTGGTTCGAGTCTTTGTCAACACGAGTGGGATGTTTGTGGGCTCGCTGCTTGTGAGTGCGACGATCACTCTTAGCGGCGCTTTCCTACTCAAGCGCAAAGCTTTCTCGACCCTGCACTTCTTCCCCAGTTACGAGATATGCCTGTGCTTGATTTTTAGTCTGCTGACGTATTATGTGGCCAATAGTTTAAAGTTAAGTGGAATTGTTGCGCTGTTTTTCTCGGGAACCATGACAGCGCATTATCATTTCAACACGCTATCACGTGAAGCTCGACATGCATTTACTCATTTACTACACATGTTGTCCTTTGTGAGTGAAAATGTCGTGTATGTATTCATGGGCACGTCGGTGGTCATGATCTTTTCGGGACATCAAGAGTGGAAATCTGGTAATACTCTTCGCGTGGACGACATTGACTGGCAATTCATCGGTCTTACCCTTGTGTCGTGTATCGTGTCGCGCTTTTTCAACATATTCCCGCTCTTGTGGCTTTCCAATTGCTCGCGAAATTCTTGCGATCGTATTCCAAACAAGTACATTAGTGTAATGTGGCTTGTTGCTCTTCGTGGATCCATCGCGTTCGCGCTCGCCAAGCACTGGAACTACATTGGTCGCTACGGTTCTCACCGACGACTTGTGGAATCTACCACTCTGATCGTAGTACTCTTTACGACAATTGTAATTGGCGGAATAACGGGGCCGATCCTCTTTAAACTGCACCTCACTGGCCATCACAGTGCACTGAGGCAATCAGAACCTGAGCCGAACGCTGGACGTGACTCTATCTCAGACGAAGATCGTTCACGAGCGCTGCAACGCAGCACCGGCCATTTTATGCTTCGTCGAAATTCTAGAGCTACAGAGCTGCACGAAACACAGACATCTACTGAAGGCACAACGGGAGAAGAAACAGTGGTGAACGAAGATCCTGTATTCACATCGCGACCACAATTTCGAGACGAGGATTACAGCGATGACGAGGAAGGAGAGCGCAATGCAGGCTCGCCGACCCAACGCAGTAAAACTCTGACTGGTGTGTTTATCCGTAACTGGCAGGCCTTCGATATCGCGTACATGCAGCCGATATTCGGTGGTTTCCAGACTTCTGCGACTTCGGATGCACGAGTTGACGAGACAATCGATTCTTGCGAACTGGAGGGTGACAAGACACAAGCAATAATCTGATCATGTTGACATACAGTCATTAGTTTGAGCATGATCAGGTTATAGATTAGATTACTGCTATTCATGAACCTAATGACTGGATGTCTCATACTACAGGTCTCCCTCCGCAAAGTTATCCTCGATAAGTTAAACCTCCTTTTTGCTATAGAATGTATGTCCGCTTTATTATTAGCCTGATTATGTACGTAAACAATCCTCCAATAGCTTGACCCCTGATAAGTTATTAAAATGTATGTCCACCGTACTTATTACTCATTGGAGAGAGACTTATCATTCGGGATGTGCTATCATGTCTCAAACAAGACCAGAGGTCAAGGTCATACATATCATTATTATTATATCACTTGATAACAATGGAGGACGCTGTACTGGTGCTACTTATGTTGTTTGTGCTGGTAATGGCATCATACATGCTCGGACGATATTCGTGTATGCTGGTGTCACAGAGCAGCTTTGCACTAATGCTCGGACTCTTTGTGGGACTCTTTATGATCATGGGTGGCAAGCACGCGCAACTGCACACGCATTTGAACTTGGACAATAGCCTCTTTTTTAATGTATTGCTGCCACCGATTATCTATGAAGGAGGGTTCTCAATTAAACGGCAGGCATTCTTTCGCAACTTTCCAGCTATTATGAGCACAGCTGTCATTGGTACCGTCGTGGCTACGACAGTCACGGGCGGTGTCTTATACCTTGCAGGCTCAGTTGGCATGGTGACAAGACTTTCATGGGTAGAGGCATTTCTCTTCGGTACATTGATTAACGCAGTTGACACAGTAGCTACACTGAGCTGCTTTGACAAGCTCAATGTGCCGCCGCTGTTGTTCAATCTCGTCTTTGGAGAGAGTGTGATGAATGACGCAGTGGCGATTGCACTGTATCAGACGCTGCAAAAGTGGGACGCGGAGAGTAGCCTTACTGCCAAGCAGTTGGTGCGGGTAGCACTTGATACTTGTGGTATGTTTATCGGGTCATTGACCGTGAGTGCTCTGATCACGCTCGGTGGAGCTTTCCTTTTGAAACGCCAGTTTTTCGCGACATTGCGCTATTACCCGAGCTATGAAATCTCGCTGTGTTTGATCTTTAGTCTGTTGACATACTTTGTGGCAGACAGTTTGAAGTTGAGTGGAATTGTGGCACTTTTTTTCTCGGGCACCATGACGGCGCACTATCATTTTAATACGTTATCGAGGGAAGCGCAGCATGCGTTTACGCACCTGTTGCACACGTTGGCGTTTGTCTGCGAGAACATCGTGTATGTTTTCATGGGTACATCGGTGGTTATGATTTTCGCTGGCCATGGAGAAGAGAACGCTGGCGCCTCACTGCGCGTAGATGATATCGACTGGTCTTTCATTGGCCTTACACTGGCGGCCTGTATTGTTGCACGTTTCTTCAATATTTTCCCGCTTCTGAGTCTCTGCAACTGCTTGCGGTCTCCGTCGAACCGGATTCCGGTTAAGCACATGAGCGTCATCTGGCTTGCAGGTCTTCGTGGATCAATGGCTTTTGCTCTGGCAAAAAACTGGAACTACGTTGGCCTTTCTGGAGGATCGCACCGCCGACTTATCGAGTCTACGACTCTTGTTGTGATTCTCATTACAACGATCGTTGTTGGCGGTCTCATGGGTCCGTTGTTGTCGAGCTTGCAACTTACAGGCAAGACCAAAGACAATGGTCATCTCGACCAGTCCGATGCAGACAGGAGTTCTAAGACTGCATCAGAGTCCGAAGAGGTTTTATCACGGCTAGTTCAGCGGAGCACACGTCATGGTGAGGATTTGCATGGAGCCGTAGCTTTTCCAGAGGAAGAGCAAGCCAAGGAGAAACTTCATGGCATGGACGATGAGGTCCCAGTTCTTACCCCACGACCACAGTTTATCGATACTATGAACGACAACGAAGATGGAACGAGCTTGGCTTTACCCGTGCCCCGTTCTCGTGGCGATTCACTGACCGGGGCGTTTTTTCGCCATTGGCAAGCATTCGACACAACATACATGCAGCCAGTGTTTGGCGGAATTTCACAGCAATCCACAACAATGAGAATGAATGATGATCATCATATTAACATGCAACTAGCTAAAACGCAGGCAGAGTGCGCTTTGTGAATGAATCTTAGAGTTAAAGCTGTTGCACTGTAGACTGCAAAGCTGTCAAATTTGTAGCTAGTTGCAAACATGAATTGATACAATTTATCATGTTTCAGGGCTTGTCTGCAGTCAATAGACATGCTGATATAAAGACACAAAATCCGACACCACTTGGAAAGCGGGACACCATTGTTGACCAGCTCATTCGGGTTCTTTCATATTCACGAGAGCCGCAAGCGCATTCAAGAAAGTGTCCTATATCGCCTCTTCGCCTTGTGTTTGCACGGAAGCAGCTTAAGTGTGAAATGAGGAAGGACAATTGCTGAAGAAGTTCACGAAAAACGTAATGTAGGTCGTTGCGTTTATCAAAGCAGCATTCCTGGAGCTGAAATATGATAATGAATAGCTTTGTACTGCCGTGTGCTTAACTGACGTTACTGTTTTACCATGTCATATAAACAAGATGCACCTTGCTGATTGCTTGACCTCCAGGACATTATCGTATGTAGTATTTAGCGACGTGAAAACGTCGAGTATATTTCTTCAAGTGTTCTAATATCTCATGTTGCATTGTATCACTGGAGGGTTTACTTTGGTGAGCAACGGAGTCGAAAATGTAATGGAGACGTTTTAGTCGGACCAGCCTGCTACCTACGCCTATACCCAGTAAGCCCGGTGCTATCAGATCATTTTGATACAGGTTGTGTTTGATGGTCTTGAGTGTTTCATGTTTGCTTCTTTTTCCATTCCGGTGATAGATAGGAAATGGCAAAAGTCACATATGTATCTTGCTTCGTTTTCAAATAGCAGGGTCTCGGCAGACAAAGGAACAAGAAAACATAATGCTTGAGACTGGTCTACCATTACTACACGAACTACAGCCTCCACCTTCGCTCTTCCGCCTCCACCTGATCCTTTCCTGTTTCTTTCATCTCTTCTGTCAGCGACACGAGGTGGACAGGAAGGGAATGTATCTGTTGGAGTCCGCAATTTCGCTCCGTACCACGGCGAATCTAGAGCAAACGATAAGGCGTCAATGCTTGTCAATCCGACGATTGACGGCGGAATCTTGACAAGGTTCTGCTTTACAGCCAGCTCCTCCACCTTCGACAGCTTCTGCATCTTCGAGCCTACTGCCCTCCTGAGTCTCCATACCCAGTTGATGCTGAAGCAGGTAATTGTTAGTTCCAGCTCCATGAATACGTGAGGACAGAATGGTCTACATGACCAACCAGACGATCCGAACGCATCAGCGTCGGGTCAATGTGCGTTCCTACACCGGTCGGTCCACCGCGTACGGCAAACTGCAGGTCGTTCTTCTTAACACAAAGCGACACAATAGGGATGCAAGTCGTCTTGCCTTCCTCTTCCTTGCTGACAATACCGCGATGCACCTCGATCTCGTCGCCAACACGCAGCAACCCTTGAGGTTCTTCACGTATTCATTAGGTTTATTCACATCGAATGAGCGAATGACAATTAGCTTAAGCTACCGAGGTAAAGTGTCTCGCTTTGAAATGGGAATGTTGCAACAAATGTACGTCCACATCGTATTTGAACACGGCCGAGATGGAGACAATCAGGGCGTCGCGAGCAACCGGTCACAAACTTCCTTATCTGCTCGTGCTGAGCCACAGTGGCATCGTCTTTGATCCGATTTACCTTGATCGGCAGAATGATGATATTCTGCAAGCGCATGATCGCAATAGCGGCAAAAAAAGATACTCGGATGTCTGTGACTAAGGGCATACTTTATTACAGGCAGCAATGCGACAACCATGAAAGCGACACCGTTCAGCATCATAGCCATAAGAAACATAGGAAGAAAAGATGTGAACTTCTTCAACTCATTCCTCCTCTCCCTGCACTGGACCATCTTTGGTCGACAGTCCAAATAAAGCGTTTTTTCAAAAGGACTCCCCCCGTCTAAGTCATTCGCTAAGCGGCATTGATAGTAGTCAGCCAATACGAATGGATAGTTGTCCCACATCTTGGCCCCAGTATAGTGTCACATACAATCTGTCATATTCATTTGCGTTGTCGTTCCTTCTCTCTTATTCGAGAATCTGCCGGCTAAAGTTGAAATGGTGACGCTGTTCTGCGCGTTCGTTGGTACGAAGGAAAGCGTATTTCCTGTACATATTGACGCGAGTCAGTCGGTGGGGCATTTGAAAGATGCGATCAAGATGGATAACCAACGGAGGATTACATGTGACGCAAACGACCTGCAGCTCTATCCTGCCAAGACGAAAATCGACACGGCAAAGACAGAGGACGGCAAGTGGCTATCCTCGAGCACGGAGGATGTGAAAAAGTTGAAGGAGGGCGAGAAGACTTCTCACGTCGTAGAGCTAACGAAAGAAGACCGAGAGATGCAGGGGGAAGACTCTATTACCCAACTCCTTGCAGGCATGGAGACCCCAAAAGCGAGACAAATTTACGTGCTGGTGGTGATTCCAGACCACGAACAACAGTTGCATGCTCAAAATGTACATGACTCAATACGGATGCGAGAAGCCAGAATTATTGATTCGCGTTTTAGGAGGCTGCTAAATGAAAAGCTGGCCCCCTTATTACATAAAAAGTCAAAGTCTGTTTCGAATGCGACATTGGGTCAAAGTGAGATTGCAAGATTGGAAAAAGGAAAACAGATCATGCATTTTGCACCAGTAGAGTACGGAGAAGTATTTTGGTCGGAAGAAGTTCAGACTCAAGCTGATGCGATTACGAATAAGGCTGTTTTAACGCATTTATTACTCCTTTTTTCAGCAGCGTACTAGAAAGCTGTGGTTTGGTATTCGTCAATAGTGAGGAATATCAATGGTTGCCTCAGTCTACAAGTTTGGACAAGAGCATAGACCACAAACCGGACGGATTTGCACCCACCGTGGGATGTTTCGTGTCAAGCCAGAACCAAATGATCAAGTTCAGCGCCCGGATGGATTTCGATTTGGAGTAGCAGAGGAAGAACTGTTCGACTGCTTCATTTTGTTCGAAAGCAAGCTTTGGATATTTGATGCTGCGTTCGGCCAAGTGGCACGGTACCTGGAAAACCTTTGCCCCGACTCGTCAGCAAGCGCCATTCTCTTTGACCGCCGCTCCTTCTGGCTGATCAAAAGCGGCAAGGCCGTTATTTACAGCGTTCAAACAGCGAAATGGATCACCAAGGGCTCGAAATCATTGTTTCAGAGTTTCATTTCTGAGAACACGTCGCCGTGGGTAACATACTTAACCAATGCCTGCATTTCATTGGGAGTTGATGTGGTGGAAGGCGATGCATTTCTCGGCCGTGGCGCATTTGGACGCGTGTTCAAGGTAATTGGGCAAGGCGGAAAGATTTTCGCGGTAAAAATCGTAACGGATATGGGACGTCTTGAAGTAGAGCAGCAACTGTTGATGAAGACTCAGCACACAGGCTTGACGATTAGTCCTGTCGGAGAGCTCATCGAAACTATTGAAAGCGCGGCGATGTTATTGTATCCTGTTGGGAAACCTCTACCGCAACCAACCACTCGAGAGGAAGTACGAAGCCTCTTTAACATGTTATGGCAGCTCCACGCGAATGGCCTGGTCCATGGAGATCCTCGCGTATCGAATGTGATTCTCACTGAGGAGAAGGCTCTCTGGATTGATCTTGTGGAAGTGATGGATGCGAGCCCCGTTTTGAAACGATGTGATGCTGAAATTCTTACACGGTCCATCCTGAGAGTCCCTCTCAACCATTCGCTGAGCCTGGAGCTGGTGCAGTCGCTTAATAGCTATTACCAAAGCGCTTCGCAAGAAAATATCGATCATTTGGCCGAAGAAGTCTATCAAAGCGTACTGTAGCATGATAAAGGTAGCTGCAGGTTTTTGCTGTCCAGGAAACGCTCGAGTAGCCCTGTAGAGCCTAATGAGATGACGTTGCTGCGATGGCGCATTAAACGTTTGATTGTGGGCAAGATCGTGAGTCAGGATAGGGAACGATCGAAAAGGTTAAATAGGTTTCGAGGTAGCAAACGGTTTGCGAACTATATTTTTTGCATATTGCCATTTAAGCGTGACTTTTGATAGTCGTAAACTTGATCCTCGTTTAACGTATGGCTACGACCAACCCCTTTAGCAAGAGTTGGGATCTGATTAATGCCTGTTTGAACATGTATGTCGCCCCTTGGCCCGCAAATTGGCGTTCCGGGCTGTAATGCGATCGAAGATGACGACCATCAACAGTATGACAAATTGTGCGTAGCGTTTCATCTAGCCGGTGTTCGAACTGTTCCTACTGTCAGAGCTAACTACAATGCCAGCCGAGTTCTAAATGCACTCCACAGTGCAATCGACGCCATGCTCGCAGCGAACCGAATTGAGAGGACGCACCAGGCGACTCACCACAGCTAGGCGCTTGATCCTGAAAAGAGTGGTAAACACCTATCGCTATGGGCCCTCTTTCCTGCGCACATTACTTACTGACGCTTGCCGTTGTACATGCTCTTGGCGTAGTCGGGGAAACGGATGAACGGCGGGTACTCGTTGTTTCCCTTTTCGTCCGCGTACACGCCCTCAAAAGCTGAAGACTCATCGGGCTTGCCCGACGCTTTGGCTTCTTTGGTAGCCTTCACAACCTCGGCGCGCACCTTCTTCTCCACTTCCTTGATCTCGTCCGCCGTAGCAAGTTCACCCTCGATCATGCGTTTCTTTACGAGCTCAATGGGGTCACGCGATGCACGTATCTGCGAGATCTCGTCACGATTACGGTACGTCACACCGGGGTCAGACATGGAGTGGCCGTGGTAACGGTACGTGTTCATTTCCACAAAGATGGGACCCTTGCCTTCGCCGCACCACTGCTTCAGAAACTTGGTGCACTCACGCACGGCGAGCACGTCGTTACCATCGCACTTGATCCCGGGGATCTTATTGCCAATAGTGTAGTAATCCGTGTTGTTGGATGAACGCTGAACAGACGTTCCCATACCGTATTGATTGTTTTCAATGCAGAAAATGACCGGTAGCTTCCACAGAGCAGCCATATTGGCAGCTTCAAAGACTTGACCCTGGTTAGCGGCACCGTCACCAAACATGGTGATGGCGCAAGGCATAAGGCCCTCGCCATTGTGATTGTACTTGCTGGCAAATGCCAGACCCGCTCCAACTGGTACTTGGGCACCGACAATACCTTGTCCACCATAGAAATTGGCCTTCTTACTGTAGAAATGCATGGAGCCACCCTTGCCACCAGTGGCGCCATCCTTCTTACCAAACAGCTCAGCCAGAATGTCCTTCACCTCCGCACCACGAGCGAGCATGATACAGTGGTTACGGTATGACGTAATCCACGAGTCCGTACGGTCCAAAGCGGCCTCCACACCAGTAGCTACAGCCTCCTGTCCATCGTACAAGTGGCAGAAACCGCGAATAGTACGGGCCTTGTACTCGTTATCGTTCGTGATCTCCATACGACGCATCGTGTACATCATCTTATAATAGTCCATCATCTCCTTACGATTAGTCACGGCAAATTCAGGCGGTCCCTCCTCAAGACCTGTGTTACATTATATAAAAAGAAGACCATCACTCTGCCTTTAGATATCAATTATGACAGAGACAAGTAAATTAGCTCACGCACGGTGTAGATCATAGGGTGCGGCAAACTCAAACGTGATATCACCCGAAGCGTTGGCAGCGCCACTAAAGTCACGCGTAGCGGGTGTGGCGTTGCGAATCAACGTGGCGGCTGAGCGGCGAAGCATCATCATGGTGGAGATTAAGATGGCGCTTATTTTCTGCTTGGTGGCGGATTGTGGAGTGATGGTGCCACACGCAGATGTAAAATTCAGTTAAATACGATTATCCCTCCTCTCATGACCAATAACGTGGCTGCAAATCACAAGGAGCGTGCAGATTGGACAAAAAGCAATTGCTTAGTTAATGGATGAAGGTGCAGGCCTCTTTGCAGACAGGTGCCTAGTTGAGTACAATTCTAGATGGTAGGGGCTACTTAAATGCTCCTAAGATGATGATAGTGTGGTAGGTTGACGGTGTGTAGCAATGCCTACTGTATCAAGGGAACAAACTTGCTACTCTGCCAACGAATCCATTAAAATCCTTGTCATTTAATCGGTAGATTTTATAAACAATAACAGCCAATCATATGATGAATTATGAAAACGGGACTTGATATCCGGACACTAAACGCAATAATACTGTAGCAATGGCCACCATCAAGCGTAAAGCGGAAGCTGATGCAGATAATGCCACCGTTAAGCGTCGCAAGTGCCCGTACTTGGACACTGTAAACCACCAGTTACTAGATTTTGACTTTGAAAAAGTGTGCTCCATCAGTCTATCGGATCAAAATGTCTATGCCTGCCTCGTTTGCGGCAAATACTTCAAAGGCCGTGGCCGCAATACGCACGCCTTTACACACTCAGTGCAAAGCAGCCATCATGTGTTTATTAATCTGCAGACGGATCGTATCTACTGCCTCCCGGATAATTACGAGGTGGTGGACCACACGCTCAAGCCCGTGCAGGACGCGCTGCGTCCGACATTTGAGGCCGCTCAGATCGCCCGACTGGACGAGAACCGTATCTTAGCGCAGGATGCTTTCGGCGTCTCGTATCTTCCAGGATTCATCGGTTTGAACAACCTCAAACACACGGACTACATCAATGTGGTCGTGCAGGCGCTGGCCCATGTACCGCCGCTCCGAGACTTCTTTTTGGCCAACAAGACGGGGAAGATAAAGTCGAAGCTTGTGCTGCGCTTCGGGGAGCTCCTGCGAAAGATGTGGAGTCCACACAACTTTAAGAACACGGTGAGGAAGGGCATGTACGATGTGACGGCATGTTTTGCTTTTTATTGTTTGTAGTGCTGAACAGACTTGTCTTTTGTGGCGTGCGTGCTGCAGATCAGTCCGCATGAACTGGTGCAAGAGATCTCGGTCAGCAGCAAAAAGAAGTTCCACGTCGGATCGCAAAATGAAAGTGTCGAGCTCTTGGCGTGGCTGCTAAACGAATTGCATAGGGTAAGACTGCTGCCTGGTCCTTTAAAGATACTGGTTGGTAATAATGCGACATGCCGCGTTTGTAGGGGCTGGGCGGATCGAAAAAATCGGGAAGTAGCATCATTCACAAGTGTTTTCAAGGCTTTGTAGAGGTGACAACGGACGATGGAACGAAGGGTGCGTCTGCGGATCCGGCAGAGCGCGCATCGGCTGTCTCCACTACGGTGTCACCGTTCTTGTAAGTCGCTAGTGCTCATTTGTTTTGTGTTTGTACGTCGTACTCACTAAGTTGCTGCACTTGTAGGATGATGGCGCTGGACTTGCCGTCTACACCATTGTTCAAGGATTCTCAAGGTGGAAACATCATCCCCCAAGTAAGTGCAGCTCAATTGTCAGATACTGTAAACGAAGTGGAGTAGCGAAGTGACATTTTGTCGATCAACTTTTGCTGTAGATTCCACTGTTTACAGTGCTTGAGAAGTATGACGGTTCACATGTCACACACGTGCTTCAAAACTCTCATCGACTCAAGAAGACCTACCAGATCGAGACGCTGCCAGCTTACCTGATTTTTCACGTGAAGCGTTTCACGCGCAACAACTTCTTCATCGAGAAGAATCCAACGATTGTAAACTTTCCTGTTAAGAACCTCGAATTACGGGATTACATGAAGCTAGGCCAGGATATGTTACCGGAGGAGGAGCTTCAGAATAAGTCAATTTCCGAGCTACGAACTCTGCTACGCAACCACAACCAATCGACTGAGGTACGACGTACAATTTGGTCTCTTGTGGGTGACGAGTGGAGATTAAAAAAGGTTCTGGTGTATGATTTGTGGTGGTAGGATTGTGTCGAAAAGGCTGACTTGATTGAGGAGATTTTGCGCGTTACACTTCCATCCACCAAGTACGTACTCGTTGTTGTCATACTGTAGCTTGCAGATCGTTGTCGAGGTCAACTTACATCGATGTTTCGTGTCACCAGATACAACTTGATTGCCAATATCTGCCACGATAGCCCAGTGACTACAGGCCAAGAGGCAGCGCTGCGAACCAATCCGTTAACGGAAGGAAGCTATCGTGTCCATGTCCAGAATAGAGTACGTGCTCTGAGAACTTTGTGTACGCAAAAGTTACAGCATCAACTGATTACTGTGTGTTCATACACTTATTCTCACAGGCAACCGAACAATGGTACGAAATCCAAGATCTGCACGTTCAGGAAACGATGCCGCAGCTGATTGGAGTGTCCGAATCGTATTTGATGATTTACGAGCGGAAGGTGTAGCAACATTAAAAAAATATAGTCGCAGTTATGCTGATCATTCTGCAGACACTCCATAGTTACCATTCCATGCAATGAGAGCTTCTATCGTCGTCGAAGACACACTTGGGCGGACCCGCTTGATCGCCACCTGGAAGTCGGATGCATTAATCCCTCGCACGTCTTCGGCGTTCACGTTCGCGACTTTTGCACCAAGCTCTCGAATTGGGCCAAGAGCAGCATCTTTACACACAGCCTTGAGATCACTGCCGGAGTAGCCTTCGGTCAATTTGACAATGTACTTAATCTCTTTGGACGACAGAAGAATATTTTGATCACCAAGTAAATGCCGAATAAGTCCTTCACGCGATGAAGCATCCGGAAGAGGTACTGTCAACAACGATAGACAAAGATCATCAACGCTTCGTGCGCTACTTTCCCTTAAACGGTACGTAAACATCACCTACCATATATGCGCTTCTCAAGGCGTCGTACAATGGCCTCGTCGAGCTCCTGTGGGAGGTTTGTAGCTCCCATGACGAGAATGCGATCCTCTTGCGACGACGCAGCTCCATCAAGCTCAGTAAAAAACTGCAACAGTAATTGTATTCAGTTTGCCATTATAATGAAGGAGCCAAATGCAACACACTGCACCTGGTTTTTTATTCTTCGACTAGCATCGTTCTCGGATGCCGATCTTGTCGCCAGTAAAGCGTCGATCTCATCCATGAAAACCACAGATGGTTGTAGCTCTTTGGCCATCTGGAAAAGCGCTCGAACCAATTTCTCGCCTTCACCCACCCACTTGGAGGTCAAAGACGACGCAGAAATGCTGCATCAAACATGGATCAATTACATACTAAACACACGCAACAAGCATTGACGTACTTGAAGAATGTTGCATTCGCCTCGGTAGCGACAGCTTTCGCCAGCAACGTTTTCCCTGAAAACAAAACATGAAGCAACATCACTGTGTACGCCCTACAACTCGCACAACTTGCAACCTCATACATTTCAACCCACCTGTACCCGGTGGTCCGAAAAGCAGCACTCCTCGAGGTGGAGCTCTTAAGCCCGTGAATAAGTCTGGGCGCAGCGTAGGCAGAATAACAGCCTCCTACTTGCAGAAACACAGACATCCATCAGGCTCGCAGCGCAGTATTGTCACATGAATACGGAACTCTTTTCAACCAATACCTGCAGAATCTGCTTTGCAACGCCTAGCCCCGCAATGTCCGTCCAATGCACACCAGGTGAATGGTCCAACACCTCATTCAGAATCGTATGTGCGTGTTCTGCATGCTGTTTAGAATATTTTGCTCTTCGTCTCTACTATACAAAGAGTAGAGAAAGCTGCCGTAAATCTACTATCTTCCAGCGTCTCAACGAAAAATGACACCATTCCCGACCTGTCGATCATTTGTCGTACGTGCATTACCACCCTGAGCATTCGACACCAGTGCCTCCTACAAAACACAAAATCAATCTCCACTTTCGAAATAATTCACAAGCAATTCGCCTCGTTCTTTGAACTGTCTAGTACCTGCGTCTTCAGCTTCAACGACTGCTGTTCCGCCATCTGCTCCTTCAAATACTCGGCCCTCAGCATGTACTCATTAATCTTTTGTCGCATCTTCAAATTATCCTCGTCGTCCAGTAGCTCTGTATTCGAATAATCAACCGAGATTCCAATTTAGAGAGTGATGGTCACACACGTTTTCTCACTTCAACGTACGCGCCAGCTGCGCCATCATCTTTTCAATACCAGACGCATACAGCTCCACTGCCTCCTGGATTTTATTTTCCCTGTCTGCTGCCACTGCTGCTTCAATAGTCGTCTGAATCGTGTCCTCAGGACGACGAATGAGCCATCGGAACATAGTTCTTCGTCGTCACGTCTTATTGAAGAATGAGCCAATTTTACGCAGTTCGACATGTTTTTATCCAATCATTGATGATTTATCAGATTCAACCAATCTAATTGAATTAATAGCCAATCCCAGTCGACCTACATATTGTGAGATGCAAAATAGTACCATCATGTTACGACGAGCTGCCACGCAGGTCGCGCGATTAACGGCGTCTACTCGTGGTTATGGAGCTCGTTTTGCTTCAATTAATGGTATTTTATAACAAAGCCTCATTGATCTATCTATTCATGCTTATTTCGTTGTCTAACACCTAGTTATGACTGTGATACACTCGATTAAACAGGTAATCAGGTCCGCGCAGGCATGGCACTTGAGATCGACGGCAAAATCTATCGCGTGGGAAAGAACCAGCACGTGAAACCTGGCAAGGGCGGAGCGTACGTTCAGGTGTGGCAAGACATGCTTATGTTATCATTGTTATCACTGTGTTAACTGTTGCTGTTTCTGCAGGCGGAGCTAAAGGAGATCAAGACTGGAGCCAAGATAAATCGACGTTTTCGCGCTGCAGAAACTGTAAATAAGGCACCACTGGGCCCGGACGAACAATTCCAGTTCTTGTACTACAATGGAGATCATCTCGTCATCATGCACAATACAACGTTCGAACAGGTACGGCTGCTGTCTGCTAGGTGTTGGGTCAACTTATTAATTGATCATGCATTATCGTTGTTACTGTGCGCAGATGGAGATCGAGCGCAACCTATTTTCGGGTCGTCAACTGGACTTTTTGCAGGAAGGCATGCCATTGTCGATGCAGATTGTCGAGGGTGACGTGCTGTGGGCTAATATGCCCGAGCACGTGACGCTCGAAGTGACGGTACGTTCATTTCTCTAGGCGTAGTTGAGCTCTATTTCTCAGTATCTCAACAAACTCGCAGTCTAAACCAATCGTTTTCTGTCGTTTTCTCTCAGAAAACCACCCCGAAAGGTGTGGCGGATACGGCGCTAAGCGTGAAAGACGCGACGTTGGAGAATGGCGCCGTTGTAAAGGTGCCGTTGTTTATTGATATCGGCAACAAGGTCAAGGTATCCACGGAAGACGGCGCTTACGTGGACAAGCTGTAAGACTGCTTGATGAATGGGGGACACTAGCAAGTATTGCCGACTTAAAATCGAGGCATCAATCTTGGAGATGAAATGACACTGATATCTTCGAGTAAAACGATGTGTATGCGTACCGCACCTGACCGTTTCCCCGCTGACGAGTATCATTATTGCACAGCGACAGTAGCAGTACCTAGCTGAATTCCATACACTATCGCCTCACACGTTGAAACACGTGCAAGTGATCTCGCTATATTGGAATCATGAAAAGGCTATCAGAAAACGACCTATACCTCCATTCTCGCCGCAGACGTGTCCCAAAACCGTGCAAAGTATGTTGACGTCCTCGCCACTTGACTGCCCATCATCAAAATTTCCTGCAGACGGTTTCGTCCCTTGTGGTTTCCTACACTGACCAAGTGTGCACACGTCGCATTCTCGGGTCAAGAGCTCCAAGACGTTAGGTTTGAGAAAAGCATCAACGACGTTACGACTACGTCCTTTGCAACCTTGTTTACAGTGATCGAACTCGGTGCGTCAGCGCCAGCAATGTGATGATGGGTCATTAATACTTTGGTTTCGTCCTCCTTAACCCTCTTTTCAACGAGCATGGCCATTTCAACGGACAGAATTGCGTCTGAGCACCAGCATCAACCCATTGGTGATTGTCCCCACGCCGTAGCTTTTACAATCATTCAGCGCCATCGTGACAACCGTCAACGCTTTGACTCTGCCGACTACGAGATGGCGCGACGCGTTCCGGAGCCATGTATCGGCTGCTCGTGCGGCAAACGTGCATCGTCCGATACTATCGATCCCGAACACGAACCGGAACCCGAATTTGCCGAGTATCGTGATGAGATCCGGTGCCTCCGTATGCAGCGCTTCGACTCGGCCGATTGGGCGGTACAGACACAGCGAGTGAAGCAGACGGATTCGTCATCGTCTGAGTTGGTCAATGTCGCTCAGATGCTCATGGACCGACACGTACTCAAGCGGTTGGACTGAGACCCGTACAGAACGGACAACACGACGTCGAAAAGATCAAGACTTTCGACTAGAGAAGAGGAGAGACCTCATCATTACAACAGTCTTGTTGTAGCTACTGCTGGCCTTATAATGACAAATTCTACAGCACATTTATCTACATCTCGAGCGAACTTTGAGTGGACTTTGGTCGGCATCGTCAGTACAGTCATGTCGTGGAGAAAGACCATCAAGTCGTGCATGTGTATAGGACCTCTTTACGATACTCTCCTTCGTCGTCGAAACGCGCTGAACGCCCTTGTAATACACTATATATTTTCACGCTACCACGGGCATTTCTGATCCTTTTGCAGCATCCATTTCAAGCTTAGCTCGACAATTGATTCGAGTCATGCTCGACTCGCTGAAGAAGCACGCATTAGGTTCGACTTGTCATTCCCTTTGGCATCTTGGGGACGCCCAATTGACGAGTAGCTTCATATTCTGCATGATGTAGTGATCGTCGTAGCCATTCTATTTGCCACGTACCGGCTTTCGCGGCTTGAAAATGAACGCGGACGGCGTGCAGCAACCATCGAGCAAAATGTACGTCTTGGAATGTCCGAGTCGATTGAAATCTCATGTCTTCTAACACCACACGCTTTCACAGTTTGACAAGGTTGTAGGTTTCTTGCAGCAGCATCTGGACACTAAGTATCGCGTACTTCGTGTTGCTTCGCCGTCACATGCAATCATCAAATGGCATGCAATGGTGATCAATGGCGGATTTGCCATTCCGCGCGTGGGTACGACCGAGCACAGAAATATACATTGATGCTAAAGGTTCACATGTTCGTTTGGTTTGGGGTCTGCAGAGGCCGAGGTGTTCGTGGATCAACAGTTTGTCCTTGATCAACGCAAACAAAATCGAAGAACGGATCGCCAATCGCTGCCATCTGTACGCTTCCGGGTGTACGATACAGAGGCGATGACATTAGTTGCAAAGGTGCCTTTTGCTACTCTTGTTTGTATCCATGTGCATGTCTTTAACGATGTCATTGTTGCTGTGATTGTGCAGACGCTTCAACAACACAATCTCATTGCATCGTACGAACTAGGATATCAACCAAACTAAAGTCATAGATTGAACATGTCGATCTCCTCCTCTGTGTGTGTTTCTGCTGAAGCCATACTTGTGCTTTTAGAGATGCTCCGTTTAGTCGCTTGACTGTCACTGATCGCTTGCTGTAGCTGACCATCGGTTTTCCATCCGAACTGGACGACTGTGGCTGTGAGATTGTCAACACTTCCTTTCTTGTAGGCAGCCTTTGTGATCGCGTTCGTGGCAGCTTTGGGATCGTGAAAGTGTGGCAGTGCAATATCAACGACATCTTGCTCGCTCAAGACGTCCCAAACACCATCGCAAGCTAAAACGAGAAATAAATCGTCAGTGTGCACTTGGTATCGCGTCACCTCTGGTTCACATGACACAAGTGGCGTTGGAGTCTTCAGATATCGATCCCCAAGTGCACGCGATACCGCTAGATACGTAGAAGATTCGCGTTGCATAGATAACCCAGAACCTGCCGCTGAATACACACGAAAAACACCTCCAATCTTGCCCACAAAGCCACCTGCTTTTTCAATACGCTGTCTTTCATCCACGCGATCGGGTTTGTGATCACTTGTGAGTGGCACACCTCGACCACCACGACACATGACTGCACGGCAATCGCCTGCGTTCACTGTGTAAAAGCTCACCTCATGTGGTGCTTGTTCATCTTCATCTGTGCTTTTCACTGTGTTTCCGTCCATTAAGTCGACTGAGTCAACTAAGAACCAAACTAAGAGAGCAGTAGATCCATCTTGTGATGGATTCTTTTGTAAAATTAGTGAATCGACTCGCTCGAAGGCATCCTTGAACGATTGCAAGAAGCAACTATGCTGTCGATTGAACCACTGCCACCTCTTTCGTCGACGTACTTCTTCCTCGGCATCAATTCGCTTCATTTCGTTATCCATCTGTGATATAGCATCGGTAAGTTGCTCGACAAGAATGCGCAAGTCATCATCAGAGCCTTCAACGGCGGTGTTTGACCTCATCGTTTCCACTTGTGCAAGCTGCTGACGCAGTATCGTTACTTGTGCAGCGATAGCATCCTTACGAGCTCTCTCTTGACCTGACTGATATTGAGAACAGCGTATATCAGTCAACGCTTTTTCCCCGATACCCTGTCTTATTACGGAGGCAGCAGTCTTCACCAACTGCCGCGACAAAAAATCCGCTGAAAATGTTCCACCATGACCATCAAAAATGCCAAATACCGGGCCAGGGAAGAAATCAACGGAGGATACGTGCCGATCCTCGTTGCTACTTTTCATTCCAGTCCAAGACTCTGACGCAAAACGAAGTCCATCAATTAAAAAGCACCCACGCTGTTCTTGCTCCGAAGTCTCCCCTCGACCACGGCGTTCATTATTGCGCAGTGAGTAGCTCGCCTTTAGCATTTGGTCTCTTTCAACGCCATCCTCCTCGCGGATTTTCCGCTTCATCACATTCTGCGTATTCGATTGGTGACTCGTGACAGCCGCTTGAAGACGGCTTTGATTTGGGATAAATGCCGTGTTCTTGAGAGTTTTATACGACGACTTCATTCCTAAGCACTAAATGTGAAGGTTAGCTCCGCGTCGGACCACACAAGGCAGTTTCGTTGCGTGAACGAAAAACTACTCAACTGAGTGAGGTTGAAGCCCTGCTCTCACTGTTGACAAGCCCTCCAATCCACGATCGATATCGCACAGCAGCGGATAAATGCTAGTGGGGACAAAGGAGCATTGAGATTCAACGGACAACACGTAAAAACATGGCAGTTGCTTAGGAAACGTACATGGAGTTGGGATGCGTAAAAGGCCATTGGATCCACAAGTCTTCAACTAATTGCAGAACGCTCTCATGAATCACAACCACGCAAATCGCGTCGTATCCGCCCGCTAAATACATCAAGAGTGAGTAAGGCTTTACAGTAGCACAATACAATGTGTTAATTCACTGTATGTACCTCCAGGCACTCCAGCAAGCAAGACACCAGGAATCGCAAGCGTTGCATCTATAATCGCTGTCTGCTGGGGTGGCTCAATCGGAACTCCAGCAGTATCTCCCATATTACTAAAAACGCGCATACACAAAACGTTAATACTTGTAATAAATTGCCCATGACATACAAATCACATGGACAAGTACAACCAGCGCGCACAACTTACCGCATAAGCTCTCGGAAACGAGCGTATGCCTCACTAGTTTTCAACAGTGCAGCCCCAATTTTAGCATGCATTGTACTCCACTTTACGTACAAGTATTACCATGACGGGGTGATGAGCTAATTAAGCAAAAGTAGCCCAAAAAATGATAGTGTGACTTACCTTGTTGCGATTTAAAGCAGCCATCGCTTGCCAATCGAACGGGGTACAAAGGCTAGCTTCGAGCTCCCATATTTCAGCGAATCCTGCCTCAACTTCCATATTGTAGCGATTAATTGCCTCCATAACACGCTCAGCGTGCTCCGGTTGATCCTTCTTCCAACGTAGAACTTTCCGCACCATCGACACTGTCGCCGAGCCGGATGACACGTCTCCCATTAACAAATGAAAAGCAGAAGGCAATCGAACAGATTTCTGCAACAAGTTTCCGTTAGGTACACTAAACACAAAGTGCTCCGACTAACACCTTCGTTACCACGCGGTTAGATGTCTCCCACAGCTCGTTGTCTGTAATGCATAGCTCAATGTCTTCGGGTTTCATCGCGTCTTCGGACGTGAACGTATCCAAAATTGATGCTGGGAACCGGGTGTATAGATGAGATCCAAAGCATGCCGCCGACACATCGAAGCCACTTCCGATCTGTAGCACCACTCACCAGATTAGTCGTCACTCTACCAGTTCGTACACGGGTAAAACTGCAGCCTGCACCTTGCGCTGAACGTAGCAGTGGCTCAACTGGGCTAAATTATGCACCAGTTCTAGGTCCTTTCGTTGCTCCTCAATATTCATTGATGGCACGAAAAATGACACAAGTGCTGCAACAAGTGATGTCACGAGAGCGGCTGAGCTCCCCATTCCTGTTTTCAATGCAACCAGCTCATCGCCACGCTCTACACCCTCACGATCAGAAAAATCGTCCCGACACATACAAAAACAGTCAATGCCTACCTACTATTGTAGGAGGAAGGAACGCCTCAAGGGCCTTTAAGCTGTCACGACAAAGTGGTAGCTTGGCATCTTGCAGCTATTCCAAGCACCAGGTCACATCGTCATCATTTCAAACTGACTTTTACCGTCTAAAACTCTTCTTCTTACCCGTTTTACTTGAGAATAAAAATCATTGTCCCCCTGAAGTGTGACGTGCACGCCCATTTCGGTCTCTTGTAACACTTGAAAAGTATCTTCTCTTGTAAACTCTTTCAATCCAGCAATACCGTTGATCACACACAAAACCGTCTCCTCAATGTACGCATTCCGATGCGAAGTTTCCCTATCAACAGTTAGTATCAATTAGTTTCTTCACAATACAATACAAAATTCCACTTGAATTATATATAGAGTCCCACCTGAGCTGGAACCGAAAGCGTCCGTCGTTATTTCGTTCAATCCAGCCCTTAATTAACTGATTAAATTGTGGACTTTCGACTGTTAACGGGAATAAGGGACGCCATTCACTTGACAATACAGTCACTTTATTCTCACCACCCCTAATCTACGATAGAAATAGAAATGTATAAAATCGATCCATATTTCTAAACTTCGTTTTTTGTCTTCCTATACCTTGACATCCACGTAAGAATAAAATCTTGCAGTACTTGATAAGACGATCCCTGTGTAGCGCTCATCGAGCACTAGATACCCGCCAGTAAGCAGCACTTTGCCAGGTGCAGAGACACATGTTGGACGCATACTATTTACGTCACTAAATTGTGATAATGTCAAGTATACGTATAGTATAAGGGCTAGGTTTTGTTTTAGATGAAAAATAGTTTTAACAACCGTTTTGATTGGCTAAATGATTTAAATCCTATTTCTTACCCTTTATTCGCCATTATTTTTCGCTAAAATTTACTTGACTCGTCCTCCATCGGCATGGCGTCGTCCTCGATGTCGTACGTGCCTTTAGTCACTGCGCATTGTATCTTATTATTTCTCATGTGTCTTTTGTATTGATTGCATTCCATAGGGAGCATTGTAATCCGCTGCAACAGCGTGCAGCTGCCGCGACCGAGGTGTGTGAATGACTGAAACGGATCAATGATAACCTTTTACAATTAATACTGTATTGAACGTGTAATTTATGCAATAAATATTGCAATAATTGCAATAAGCAGGCATTGCTGGCACCAGGGCGTTCCGTCTCACAGCGGGAGATTCAGGCCATGCTGGAGAAGAATGAGACAGCGTTACGGGGCTGGAATGCGCTGCATAAACAGCAGCGTACGTACTAGAATGTTTGGGTCTTTAATGTTTTTATTTTATATGTTTTTAATTGTGTATTGTTGGACAATATATTGTGCTCTTTTAGCTGCCACGTCGAACCCGACAGAGCACAAGGAATGGGTCAAAAGGTGTGTGATTTTCCGTCAGCAGATTGGAGCTAGGCTTGAGGTCTTGGCATCGATAGCAGACAAGCAAATAGCTCAAGAAGACGAGAAAAGTGACGAACAGAAGAGTTCTACTAATTCAGCAGCTGTGAGGCGAACAGAGACGTTGCATAGGCCGACAATGGCAACGCCAAGTGTTGCGGCTTCACAAGCTCAGCAACAATTTACGTTAGCGACCCCTCAGCAAATGTACGCGCCGTCACAGGTTTCGACGATGTCGATGTTCATGGGCCTTGCGTCAATGGCGATGCCAAATGTTGCTACACTGACACCACCAACTATGTTCCCTGAGCCTCCGATACCTACGGGTGGATTTGCGTCTACAAGCTCGAACATGTTTTTTTCGACGGGGCAGATATATTCGATGCAGAATTCGGCTGGATATTCTCCAACCACATCGATGGCAGTATCTGGCGTAACGATATCAGATCAACCTCAGGGATACTTGATGAGCTCAGGAGTCCAGCCATTTACGCCAAATGCGTACATGACTTCCAATAGTCGACCCTTTAGCTCGTTTGATGGATTTATAAACCAGCAGGACTGCATGATGGGTAACGGCATGATAAATTCACAACAGCAGGAATTCATGCCAATGCCCATGGCTATGAGTCTACCATCTTCGGGAGGTGCTACTATGTATGGTTACAACAGTTACGGCATGCCTTCAGCGCCAGTTACGAACATCCACAGCAGTGGAAACGGTAACATTGATACGAGCACTAGCAATTTTCCGGTGGATCCATTTATTACCCCACTTGGATTCGCCTCCGACCAAAGCTATGGATCTTCTGGATACCCAATGGCTGATTTGGCTAATATGCACATACAGCATCAACAACACCAGGTGATGGGATCTACAAACGGAGTCAATTTTGGAGCACCTATGATGCAGAATAATTTTGGATATGGACCAAGCATTGGTCCGTATCCGTCGTCACCACCACAAAGTATGATGTCTCAGTCGATGCCGACACATCAGTTCCAGCCAACCTTACAACCTTTCCAGCCACAAAACCAGCCAACCCAGCAAATTGGAGCGGAGCTCATGAGTTTATCTGCAGATTCAGGGCTCTATGGTGACCACAACGTAAACATTTTTGAAGGACTTACTGACGATTCTTTCTTTCCAATGCAATGACCAATCTCTCCTCAACCATGCTGGAAGTATCTAAGTCGCCATTTCTTGGTGCGTTGCTTATTGCGTATGACGCATGCTGAGCTCATGACAATCGCTGCGAAGCGAGCCGCATAACTGCTGTCATCGTACTGAAACGCTTGCAGAGGCTCATAGAGTGAACGGGTCGAGGGTGGGATATTCCGTGATGTAGCGCTACTTCGTTCGACGGACTTGCGTCCGACAAGTATTCGGTTTTGTGTAGGATACTGTGCACAAACAATCGAACAGATGAACGCCGAGGGTTGCTACCAAAGACATTCGAGGTTGGACACGCGGTCGGGACTGTGATTTTATGGTGAACGTGTACTTTTGTACGTCTGGGTTGAACCAGGTTGTGGCTGCAGCGATTTTGCAGATACAACATAGCGATTTGGCTTGGGCCTGATGTCCTTGAATTTATGGGCATTGAATTGTTGTCTGCAGCGTGAAGAATACTAGCGATGGGGCGTTGTTGTATTAACTGCGAGGTTGCTGTTGAGAATTTACGCGTCGAAGAAAGAAGGGCAGGTACTGACGTAGGTTGACATTGTACGGTCTATTTCACGATACGGATTTCCACCTCCGCTTGGTAATGACTGGCTTCACGAGGCATCGACATGTTTATTTGTTGTGAAGGAGGCTAGGATGACTGTTTTTGGAGTTGATGGAGACGGGGCCAGGCGACTTGTACGTGGAGCGGGTTTTGAAAGCTTCTTCCACGCTTTTAGGCTTGAACCCAAATGGAGGAATCCCTCACTGACAAGAATCACCACTTTTGGACAGTACCACGAGTTTTGCTGTCGGTTGTACATTTGGAGAGTACCCATTGATTCAACAAGCTAAAATAAGAGAAATGTTGAGTTCTACGATGTGCGCACTTTCGAGGATGATACTTTGAAAGGAGACATGGTTAAGTGGGGTTTCTGTTACGATATCTTCCGCTGCATCGTGATGTTTATCATAAAGATGGACGTCCTGCTGGAATTATATGTCGTATATTGGACGATACGCAAAAGGACGGTGGTGTGGAGCTGACATTACAATATACCGCTTTACCGGCATCATAGTCACAAACACCCGAAGACGGGAAAAAATTGCGAGCTGCCACTCCGTTTAAAATGCATGCTGGTTTGCAATATCTCCAAACAAACCTCGGGACTTAACGACTTGAGCATTATGGAGGTGCCTGTTGGCGGCAACTGCCGTCTACTTCGCATGTTCCTAGGAGGAGCGGGTATACTGACGATAACTTGCCCACGCACCTTACCTTCCTTGTGCGTAGGAGCATAAATAGCAAGATGCAATTGTTAGTACTATGATTCTAGGATCACGCAGCAAATACTTCTCGTTGCTCTGGAAATGTAATCTAAACACGTACGATTGATACGCCTACAGGTACGACAGGTTGATCGAATACTGCGGGTCTCGCTGGTTGCGTTGGCGTGATACCTCCGTGAAAATACGATGGTTAAGCCACAGTGACTCTAGGTACCGGTAGCGGGCCATGTCTAGCCGAAGCGGTCGTCCCCGCTGAAGACCGACGTCTTCTTCACCGTGGGAGTCTACGTACGGACATGGGAAATACGCTGCCATGCTGCCTCCAACAACTGCGATACGGCACTGTTCAAGTAGAAGTACGATGCCCACACCACCACCGCACTCAGTGGCGTGGCGCGTACACTCGCCTACTGGTGGTCCAAGTGGCATGAATGCACGAGTGCAACATGAATCTCCACAGCACAAGTACTCACCACACATCAAGCACAGGCCCGGGTCGCAAGGCGCTTTTTCGCATCGCGTGCATTTACGCCCTGCCATCTCGCTGTAAAGCTCGTCGTACTGGATAGGCAAGTCGATCAACCGCGGTCGCGTGGGCACTTCACGTAGAATGAACATGCTAGCAACATAGGCCTCGCTGCAGCCTTCAGTGTGTTCACACTTGTCACCGGCCTTCAAACTTCCCAGGTGGGCCTTGCTGAGCATGCGATCCATGCACCATCGCCAAATTACGCAAAACGTCGCATCTGAGCTACGAGCGATATCGACTAACGCTGGGATTCGCATCGTCCTTGTACTTGTAGGCGCGCTTATACTCTCACCCACCAGACAGCGCCAGAATAGCTTCATGCGTCGAACAAACGCATCATTTGCTGGCAGAATTCGCTTCAGCCGCGCGTTTAGATCGCTTGTTGTCGTGAAGGGCCTCAGTTTCTCACAAGGATACGCTTTCCTCATTCGCTGCAATACTAATAGTGCAGCATACGCCTCAGAATCGCCCTCGCCTGAAGCTTCCATTGCTTCCAGCAGCTGTTGCACAGACCCAGTACAGGGTCGTGTGGCCGGCGCGGGGCTAATAGCACGGCCACTTCGAGTGCGACGCGGAGCGAGAATGGACTCACTGGCAGCTGCAAGATGTGCTAAATTCTCCGTTTCACTTCCACTTGCTGCAACAGTAGAAAACTTGTCCTGGAAGAGCGGTGATTCCTTTACCTTGCTAAGTTCGAAAAATTCGGCATGCAGGCGCTGAAGCAGATCCGCAGCGGCAAATACTGGGATAAATCGCCATATAGTCTCGAGTCTATCAGCGATCACACTGGCTACCACGAAAGCCTACAACATTGCACCCCGTTAATATCGATCGTGTTTACCTTCGTAAACTTACTTGACGTACTGTGAATGTATCCGCCACTAGAAGTCCGAGAATGGTTCCCCGAAGACACGCATCGATTGAGCCGAGGACCTAATGCATCGGACATGAATTAGCGCTTTTTCAAATTAACAAGAGCACAGGACAGAAGGGACCCTTACCTTCGTAAATTTACGGTACTCGCGCTTTGTCTCAGTATTAATTGGGCAGCAGCGTTTAGCGGTCTCCCAAATCACCTTCGCGTCGGCACTATGCTCCAAAAGTGAAAACGTCCATCTGCAAAATTTCGTGACTGCTATCAATGACTCCAGCTCCTTCTCCAGAGACGGAGGACAGTGGTCTGTCAGTGGGTCGAATCTTGAGCCATTGTTAGAGTCGCCAGGATACTCATCTTCCACGATAGTCAGGAATGATGCCAAGGTAAAGGCACACGCGGACCACAAGAAAGGTGCACCCTTCTCCAAGCTACCATGAGGCTCCCACAGTGTCTCCTCGAAATAATCCCGCCACAAATCATGATCTGTGTCGTTTTCATCATCTTTAAATCCGCCATCGCGTCCAAGCACAGATCGGTACCATCCAGGCATCGATAATTGTTCCTCTACAATACTGTCCCAAGCACAATACTTTCCTTTTTCATTACCAATCGACGCACGTACTGCGCGCTTGAGCTCACACTCATCTTCTTCCGCGATTGAAATGCGGGGCTCTGATGTTGGGATCAAGAAGTTACTTAACGTTTTGCACAGTGGACACAAAAATTGCGTCATTGCTGAGTCCGGATCAATTGCTTGAACACCATCAAATTCCTCACCACGCATGGCTTTGTCATGCAAAGAAGTAATATAGCGCTCGAGACATTGGATATGTACCGCGTGTTGGCACGTACGAATATGCAAGCCACACGGAGTGAGATAAAGCTTGGCGCTTTGGTGAGGACGACCAAACCCGGGCGGCATGTGCTCCAGGCGGAAACGTGAAGGAATATCTTCTTCGTCACTGTCATACAACACCCCTCCTTGACCTCGTGCATTGCCACCTCGAGCTCCAGCTACTTCAAGAACTCCCAATCTACGTGGCTCAATTCGATCGCCGTGGAGATCCAAATTCACGGCGCCACGCATATCCACGGGAAATAGCTGTTGGTCCTCACGAAGATCCATTACACCTTCAAGAACTTCCAGCTCTTCGTCTGTCTGTAGAAACTCACCTTCAAGCATCGGATTGCTTCCATTTCCAAAGCGAACGCGATCATTGCGCGGGCGACGAGCCGCTGGCGGGCGAGGACTATTATTCGTCGAATTATCGCGTGTAAGCTGGTCATCCAACGATCCATTCATGGACCATTCCGGAAAAGTGGTTGCAAAAGCGCGCAGAGTAGGCGAAGAATTTGCCATATCAGATGAGGTCGAACTTCCACCTGAGCACAACTCCATTTTCTCGATAACGCTTCTCACGTGACTACGAATTCTCTTACCCTCCAAGCTGAGTGCTTCATCTGGCTCAGGCCTAAATCCAGGAGCTAGAACGGTAGACTGATGAACGTAGGCTGCCATTCCCATTTGGCCTTGAGCAGACGTGTCATGACAGAGGATGCAGTTGTAGCACCGCTCGTTACCCTCTTTTTGTCGCTTTTCTTTCGGTTCGTCTACCATCGACGCCTTACGTTTACCAAGCGATGCATGGGCGCCATCATCTGGCTTTCCTTCCTTTGACTGATCTATATGTTCTTTGCTCTTTTCGTCCGTGACGTTGACCATCGCCTGGAAAGCGGCTTGGCGCTTCGCCATTGCATCCATCACTCTTTTCCTAGCCTCGACTTTTCGCTGCTCCAGCGTTTTTGGTGGAGAATGAACATCTTGTACAGAACCACTTGAACACAAAAGCGATGCTTCAGCCTTCTTTTGCTTTACCCTTGTATCGTTGGCGCACTGTTCAAACACTTTTCTGCAAGCAGGTGATTCAGTAGTAATTTTCCAAATAAGCCACTCAACCGTTCCAGTCTGCTCGCTATCGAGCAACGTTGTGGCCTGTTCGAGCAATTGGCTCAAAAGGTTCAGAACCGACAATTTGGAGGTAGCAGTACTTGCCTTACTTAATCGGGTCCAGAAGCGACGATCACATCCAGTCGATGCCGTGTGGACACCGTGAACAAGCAAATGCAAACAAGTCGAGATGACAGCGTCAGAAACGCTTTTCTCTGAAACTGCCGATCCAGTCTGAACCGAGGGGATTGCTTTCCAAAGAATTACCTGGATGGCCGCAACAGTACTCTCACATGTCAAAATCGTTTGGACTGGACGCAAAAAGTCAACAGGAGGCTTAGCTGCTTTCAATGGTTCCTTTGGCGGACTGTCGGGGGTAGCCATCTTTGACTTGTACCGGCATGCATTGCGATAGGTCGTCCAGCGATCACGGGCTAGCTCGTGCGCTTCACGATTTAAATGAAGAAAGTATGGATTGTAGCTCTCCAGCAGTCCCTCTTTCAGTTCGTAACGACCAGGTTCCAGCCCAGACGGTAACACAAAATTTGACACTGTCGCCAAAATGCCTTCCAGTCGTGGTGCTGGAATATCATCTTGGCCTGATGGGAGGATGGCAAGATCGAGCAACTTGCTAAATGGAAGCGGTTTTGCACACAGCTGCTGCAACATCTCTTCCGCCAGAAACTCGTTGTCGTAAGTTACACCAGTGGTACTCGGAAGACATGTACCAAGCGTGATCACAAGACGCAGAAATTCCTCAAGCATTTGCATACTTTGCTGTTCATCGACGCCATGTTCCACTCCAGAATAGCCGAGCTGCTTAGCCAACTCGTCTGATCCGGCGATGTCGTCTTCGTTAGAAGCCGTCGACAAAGTTTCATTAGGCAGCACAAAAAAACTGCCAAGTTGAAACCGATCTATCATTCGTGCCAATAGGGCATCCGGGCCAGTCATCAGCAGACCGAGCTGCAGCATCAACGTGTCGGCATCACGGTAGTGAATGCAATAGGGTAGAGCAGAATAATTGTACAGCTGCGCCAGCATATTTTCATCTCCATTTCTACGCCAAAGATTGGACTGGATTTGGGATGCCATCACCAAGCAGCGAAGTGGCATCTCCACGAGCTCCCATTGCTTCTCGACCGGCAGTTTATTGAATCCAAAAACCCTCAAAAGACCGTCCGAAGAAATGGAGTTTCCTAAACCTGACGGACTAATACAGATATGCCTCACTGCAGCTGTCAGAAAACGGTGCAAAGGTATGTGCAGAGACGTTGGCTGAGACGCTACGTTAAAGTCGTACGTCATGATGACTTTCTCCCGACTTCCAGTACCTCTCTTGCTCACAGATGTAAGCTTTGTAACTGGAACTAACGTCTTTTTTGCCACTTTTTCGTTCAAACGCGTTGATGAGGAAAGAGTGGCTTCAATGATTGGTCCAAATACTTCAGCTACTTTCACTTCAGGCGCTTTGAGCTGCGACGGATTAAAACCATTCCAGGAAATCGCGAACACCGAATGCACACGGATACCAAGATTAAACATCGACAACCAACTGTCGGACTCGTATTCCACGTGATTTTGGTGGATATCTCGACGCACTTGAGGATCACCACCCTTCAACAAGCAGAGTCAGTAGACCCTCAGTATCGCATTACACACAACCATCACCCAAACCTTAATCGTACCTGTAGAACGTTAAGACAAGACAGCCAAATCTTCAAGTTGCGCGCACAGCACACAAGTTCGCTCGAAAAAGTTCCAATATTAAAGACATATTCCATGTTCTCCACGCAATGCTGCAGCACACAAACAATAGTGGTGAAAAGGGGGAGTCCTCGACAGCAATTTCTATCACAACCTTACCTTGTACTTTTGACTGCTAAGAGCAGAATGGTCAGCATTTAGCAGCCCTTCTTTTTTGTCGATAGCAGACTGAAATACCGTGTTTAGAGCACAAAGTAGTACGCGAACAAGCTCTAGTCGTCCAGGGTGCGCTGCTATTTCCTTACTTGTGTACTTTTGTACCAGATGAGGTACCGTTAAAAACTGCACGGCAAAATCGAAAATCGATTCACTTGAATTGCCCAAGCCACGGAGGAACATGCTTGTCATCGACAAATATGACCGCAGATACGCCTCTAGCATGCTAGCCCGAAACTGAATATCAACCAAGTGTTCACGTAAAAACGAATGCGACCGCTCCACAGCGTTCTTTCGCAGAGTACAATCGTATCGCATTAGTAGTGTTAAAGCTGATGAAGTGGGCGACGAGATACCAGAATCATCTGCTTGCTCTGATGTAAAATATTTTGCCACCACGACGTCAAAACTCATCCGGACACTCTCATGGTGGCGGTACGAGGAACTCAGCGACACGGCCTTGACAAACTCGTCAATATATATGTTCTTGCAGCTAGCACAATTCTCGTCAGCGAAGAATTCGGTGAATACTCCGGAGACTGCATTCTTTTCAGCACAAAATTTAAAACGCTGTCGCTGAGCAGTTTCTTGCTCACATGCCCACGTAAAGACATCCTTGTCTCCACCAATAAGAGTAACGAGAGGATCCAAAGCGTGGTTGTGCAGACGAATGTGGAGATCCTTCACAAATTCTTGAATTGTTTTTCCTTTAGGTAAACTGCTTGATATGGATACGAATCTTTTGAGGGCAGGAGATCGCTGCTTTTGAAAAGCTTCAGACACAAGTTCGCGAAGTCCATCTGAAGTGGTGCTAATATATTGCAGCCATTCCAAAAGGGCAGGGACGCCTTCCATTTGTTTTTCCCACCACGCCGGCGCAACGGATATATTTAGTGAGCGACGAACCATATTCCCAACAATACCCGGACACATCAGCAGTGGCTTAGTTGAAATAGTAGCATCGCCTTGATCGTCTACTTGGCTGACAACAGTACGCGCTTGTGGTTTGGAGATTCCCAATTCCACAGAAAGGTGATTGATCACTTCATTTAACGAATGAACATCGTCATTGTGAAGACGAATCCCGAATAACACTCCATCATTTATGGTATCATCTCCTTCTTTTGGCACACACTTCACTTCGCTTGTCTGTGCCTCCAGCCTGCCACCTGGACCAACAGTTTTCGATCCTGATTCGGCCGCAAATTGTGCTGACAGCCGCGTTGATCGCGTTAACCCTGCCGCCGAACTAATTACACTTACTTCACAGTCTTTTCTGCTTTCAGTAGCATTTGCCACATTATCATCACTCTGAATTGGTAACAAGTTCGGTGGAATGTCTCTCGTAAACAGCTCGAAAGCTTCAGCAAGCTCAAATCCATATTGTGTTCCCAGCAAGACCTGATAAAGATGTTCCACAACTGCTTCAATCACAACAAGTGCCGTTAATCCAATATGTTTTGGCAGTTTGTGTTTATTTCCTCCACTCTCGGTCCCTGCTGCTCCTTTATGTCTCGAGCAAAAGCCACTATGTTTCCAAGCCTAGTATCACATCCATCAAGTACAGAAAAAATACGTTAATACATCATTCCTTTCCAACCCTACACTTTACACCAAATTACACAAAACCTAATACGAACATGAATATCACCACAATCACATGAACTGCCTGCTGTCGTCCTCTGGAAATACACGTCATGTCCTGCATGATCACTATGAGTAAAGCAGTCCTTACACATGACACACGTGGTGTCCAACTGGCAATTGCGGCAGCTGTAGGCAATCTCATCGGCCGAAAAGATGGCACCACACACGCGTTTGCGCTCCGTCCGTGGCAGTTTCGCCAATATCTGCATAGGCGTCAGCGTCTTCTCTTTTCCATTAGCACTTAGCGCAGTAAGAAACGCATTGCAGATGCTAGAAACCGATTGATCGACACCTCCCGTCAGCGCCAAGTGGCTCTGAAGAGCAAAGCGCACGAGCGAAAGAAATTCTTCTTCCCGATGACGCGTGATTGTCTGCTGTGGCGTAAGACACGTGACAGACACAGTTTCCTTGGTGGTATTTACTTTGGCCTTGGAGGTTCCTGCCGCCTTGAACTTCGCTGTCGCTTTAGTCTTCTTGCCTCGGATCGCTACCATTGATGCGGCGAATTCAAGAGTGAATGTTTTCCAAAGGTTTACTTTGCTTTCAAGTTGATTATTGACCAATGATTGGTACGGACTTGATTCTAGTCGTTTAAGTGCGATTCGATAGTCATTTCGAAATACTGAGTGACTTAGATAGTGCCTGGAAAAATCTGTCGTGGTAGTATTGTTAAAACTACTGGTCCAATGCTTGCGCAATAGGACAATAGCTATTGTCGACTCTTATACGCCACTTCTATCCTTGTTTTCTTAAACATCGGTTGCCTACGAAACGGTATACTTTTTACGAGAAAATCCAGTGCAATCTACGCCATCTCTTCGGCGGCTGGTTGGTGTCGTCACAATGTCCGTTGATGAGCTCTCTACATCTTCATACTTATTGCCTATGTGAAAGGGAGCGGTTTCTGGCTCTACATGTCGAGAGCAGTGGCAAACAAGGCACCTGATGAACCGACTAAAATTATGAGAGATACTGTTACGCCTGAACAGCGGCAACTCGATATGCTCGGTGGTAGATGTTGCTGAGTTTAAATGCTCACAAGTATGTTTTGACTTGTGGTGTTTTGCAGTGAGTGCTGCGGTGATTGTTGTCGTTCACGAAAGCGAAGATGAAGCTTTGCAGCTAGCGCGTCAATATCTCGGATGCTTGTACTACCTCAGTGTGGCACCGAATTGCAATTGTTATTGGAAGAAGAAAGTGGATGAAGCGCTTGCTCGTAAGCTTGCAATACATGTAAGTCAATTGACACTATGTCTCGTGCTTTACAGCCAGACTTGCTTCGATGCTGAGTGTAAACTTAGCAAGTTTCTGCGACGTCTTGAACATGGATCATTGATCTTACCTAGAATGATGACCTTCATCATCGTGCTGATGAATCGAATTTTTTCGCTGACTTACCACCATCTTTTCATGAAATAGCTGGTATATGTTTGCTGTTTTGCTGCTGGCTGAACCCTTGCTTGCTCTTTGCTTACCGAAAACCAATACCACTGTGAGACAACTATCAAAAGTAATGCTTAGATGGCAAAATGCAATATATTCAGGGCCTTACTTCGCAAAACATTTGCTGATTTCTAAGCCTATTCGAGGTTTTAAACGCTCTTGACCACTCTCAATTATTGCGCCATCGCAGCAATGTCATCGTCATACGTCACTCGGCTCTACAGGTTTCCACTTGCTGCTCGGTCTTTCTTGGACATTAAGAAACTGCAGCTAAATTTAACGCTACAATTTGCCAGACTTTTTCGGCCAAATGATCGATATTTTCTTGCGTAGCGCTTTGACAATAACTATCAAGCAACTGCACCAGCGCCTGGGTCAGCGAATTGTTAAGATGGACTCTCAGAATGGACTGTGTAAGAATTGCAGCATCATATCGTTTCAAAACGGGGCTCGCATCCATCACTTCCAAAAGATCAATCCAGAGAGCCTTCTCCTCAGTGAAAATCACATTCGCCACGCGAGGATCTCCCATGGACCAGGTCATTCACGTGAAGCTGCCATAACATGTTAAGAGGCTTCGTACTTCCACTCGAGTCGTTGGTCGCGGTAAAGGTTTCCCGACAGGATATAGTAATAGCGCCGTGTAATCAAAAGTTTCACTGAACTCTCCAACAGGACTAATCGTCAAGCCTGTGTGCTGAGTCTTCATCAAAGCTTGCCGCTCTTGGTGAAGAGATGTGTCTCCGAGTTTAACGCAAAAATCTTTCCACCTTGCCCAGTTACCTTCAACACGCGTCCAAATGCGCCACGGCCGAGAAATGCATCGCCTTCCACCACATTAACGTTTAACGAAATCCAGGCATTGGTTAAGTATGCCAGCCACGGCGACGTGTTCTCAGAAATGAAGTTCTGAAACAATGATTTCGAGCCCTTGGCGACCTATTTCGCTTGGCGCTTGCTGACGCTTTAAGGCAAAGGTTTTGGAGGTATCGTGCCACTGCCAAACTTAACCTCAGATATCACTAACAAAAGGAGGCCATCGTACAATTCTTTTCCTGCTACTCCAAATCGAAATCCACTCAAGCGCTGAACTTGATCATTTAGTTCTTGGCTTAACAAGCTGTGTTTGACATTCGTCAATAGTGAGGAATAACAATTGTTGCCTTAGTCTTCAAGTTTGGCCATGAACACAGACCACAAGCCCGACAGATTTTGCATCCGTCCGTTGGATGTTTCGTGTCAAGCCGTTTAGCGCCCGAGTGGATTTCGGTTTGGAGTAGCAGAGGAAGAATTGTACGATGGCCTCCTTTTGCTCAAAAGCAAGCTTTGGATATTCGAGGATGCGTTTGACCAGGCACGATACCTGCAAATCTTTGCTCGAGGCGTCAGCAAGCGCCATTTGAAATGAGGTTACATGACGGTTGGATAAATAGCCATCGTAACGTCACAATTGTAAACCATACATATTCTATACTTGTTTCTTGTATGCTTTCCTCTACGAAGGTATCAAGTTGTGGGAGTTGAGGTACGGTATCGGTAATACCATACCGTATCGGTTATGGCTTAATATCCGATATCGCCGTACTAAGTACATCATACATGCACTCTTGCCAATCTCCTTGCAGGTATGAAGTATTGTATACAGAATTTATTACGCATACCCTGCAACGGAAGTGTAAATTGAATGATGTATTCCTGTCCTGCACGTACTGTAGCAGAGCTACATAGCTAGTTAAGTCAGAGGAAGACTTATAGGCTACAAGCCTCTTAGTTCTATAAAAATAAGTAAACGACTACGAAGTTACCCATTCTAAGGATTGGGGAGACTTTTTCAGTCAACGAGCTTACGCTCACAAGCTAAACAAGCTTTAAGGTTCGAGGAGCCTACGAAGCTCTCGGTTTTCTTTCGTCAACTCTACGACGTGGCGATTCTTCTCGCCCTCCTATAGTTTTTTTTTACATCCTCCGTGCACGAGGACAGCCACTTGCCGTCCTCCGTCTTTGCCGTGCCGATTCCCAGCTAGCAGGAAAGAGCTGCAGTTGTTCGCAAGAAAGCTGATACATCATTTCTTCTTTACACTCATCCACCAAGTGACCATCATGTTCTTGATCCAAGAACGCGCTTCCACTCTCGCCAACGATCGCGCAAACCAATTTTACCATTTCTTCTTCAGCTAGAATGAGAGACAAGAAGTTTTGTTTGCAAATGAATCTCGCAGGCTGACTCACCCTAACGATCCGCTGACTATCCCTTCTTCTTTGCTCCTTTGGCACCCGTCAACTTCTCTGTACGACGGAGAAGTCTCTCTTCTCTTATGCGTCGCACATGCTCACGTTTCTCCTCTATCTCTCGCTGGTGGGCCTCCTCGAGCTGCCGCTTCGAATCCTCGCGCTGTTTGCGCGCAGTTTCGCGAACGAGTAGCTCACGCTTCATTTTGTCTTCTTTTTGCCGAAGCGCGGCCTCCCGCCTTGTTCCGTAAGTTAGCACTTTGCTTTTTCGTTTGCTACCATCTGACTGGTCAGGTGTTCTGGACACTGGAGGTGTTCTAGACACTGACAATTTTCTTGTGTGGTCTGGTTTTGCGCTAGGAGGTGTGGTCAATGAAAAGAGTGGCGGAGAAGGAAAGCATCTGCGGCTTTGAGTTGGTGTTTGTATTCTCGTCTTTGGCGCACTATGCGATCGCGATAGCGGTGGTGAGGGTGATGGTGATGGCGGTCTACTTGAGGCCATTTCATCGATCTCAGGTACTGAAGGGAGCTCCATAAAAATATTCTCCGTCGACATCACTCGGGGAATCCGCTGCTTGTGTTGTTCTTCACGCAGCTCGGATGCCTTAGCTTGCAACAGCTGTACCTTATGTTGCCTTGTTTTATCGTCCTTGCTCGTATTGTCACGTGCATCATCTACACTAGCTTTCTCGTGTTTTTTTACTTGTGCCTTTTCCTGTTTCTGCTCCTGTTCCTTCTCATTTTCTGGTCGATCTGTTAATGTTTCAGGTAGCACCTTTACTTCCCCCACGTCAGCCTTCCTAGTAGCATTATCCCCACTATTGCTATCTTGTCCAGCATTTCTATTTCTTTCTTTCTGCTGTTCCTCTTCACTCTGCCTTAACTTGATCTAAAGCCACACATACAACTTAGTTGAGCCAAAACTTTGTCCACTTCTTTCCCCAAGACCACAGACCTGCTCGGCAACCTCGTGCAGCTTCTCCGCTACTTTTTCCGGCAAGAATATGTACTCCCCATCAATTTGCATGTTGTTGTAGGCTTCCAGAATCAAATCCTCCAGTGCATCGACCATTTCGTCTTCTTCCTCGCCTTCGCTCTCAACAAAAGCCACTTTCGGGGATCCCGTCACTGCTGGCGCTTTTTTCAACTGCGCAGGGACTTGCAAAGACTCATCCAGTGTCGTTTGCATCGCTGTAACATTCACAGAAGCCCTAGTCTTGACGTTCTCGTCGTCGGCTGGCGGCATTATTGCTCAATTTTCGAATTGCATCCGCCCATCACTCTCTGATATTAGATGATCGTGGATTGGTCAATATCTGATCACGCTGGCTCGTTTTGATTCGCTGAATGAATTTATTTAATCAGAATCTGTGTCAGACGCTTTGCTTAAATACTTTACAGAGCCCAAATAGTAAAGTGGGTGGGGTGCTGCAATTTCGATAGGCTAAATGGCTCCATTTACAATTCAATGCCACCGTCATACGCATGCATGTAGCTTTTGTTAATTACCTTTTTCGATCACCATTTTGATAATCGTAACTGCGGACATCAACGCAGACGCTTCCCCACAGTCGCTCTCTTCATCCTCCTTCACCGACAACGGCGTCACCTGATCCGTCTTATCGATAGAACACACTTAAAACGTCATCAACTTACCAGCAAGGCGTCTACTGCTAGTCATCAGCGACCGTGTACTCTAGCAGCAACATCAGCAACTGATCATTATTGACTTTCATCCATTATGCACGCTGCTGAAACGTAGAGTGCCGCACACCCGGCACAAGCGACACTAGCAGAGCTGGAATATCTTTTGCTGCAGCTTCTTTCGATCTCTCTGTCATTCATAATCACGTTCTGTTGACAACTCATTAAATGTGTATTGGATGGCAAGGAGGTTTTCAAAACCCCCTGCAAAACTGACGTTTACTTCATTAACTATTCCTGGAACCAAGCAGCACTAGCAAGAAGAGTCAAGAATAATATTCTTGTCTTAGATGAAAGCGAGGTGAGTGCAAGAGGCTTACAGAAGCTGCTCTTGACACGATCACCCTTTGCAACATATATAACTCGTATTATGCTAGACATTACAATGGTCATTAGAACATGCGTGTAGCAGCCATTTCTGAACGTCGGATCGAAACGGAGCTTTATCTCGAGTGTATATGGTCACCAATTTCCGCTACCCTGTCTTCGGTACCAAAGTATGGCCACCGATGTCCGCTCTTCTGTTCTCAGGATTCATCTACCCTGCGTTTCAGTTAATCGACAGTACCTCGAGTTGAAGTGACCGCCCCACTCTGAGCAACTGACATCCGAAGCAGCTTTCATCAAGTCAAAGCTGCACGACCATATACAAACTGCACCAGGTCTTGTCGTGACCTTTCAAGAGCATTTAACAGCCTTAGAAATCGAACTAAACGTCAACTCTGTTCCACGCCATGCCGTTACCCGGGACTCGCCATACCATTGATTCTACCTCTGACGACTGGTTTCTATTCTTCCAAAAGTGTACGCTTAGTGGCGGTTGTTCTTTTGCATGCGTGGCTGGGACGTTGAAGTTGCTGCCTATATTTAACGTCAGACCACTGGACTGTTCGCCATGTAAAACAGCGTCGTTAGAGCGCTACACTAGATTGAAAGCTAGATATGACATTGAAAATCATCTTCTAGCCATCGTCATGGGCTGTCGTTGTAGTAGTGTTACTCAACTCATCGCTGCTCACTCGGACGATGATACTTCACGTATTCTATTGATCCTCGAGCCTCCACTAGAGGTACGTCAGCAAGAAAATAGAAGTTAACTTGTCCGGTCAAGCTCAGCCGCTCACTAGCCGTTCGGACTAAATAGAGGTCAGCAGTAACTGGCCTGTACGTCTGACTACGAGTTGTTACGGACGACCAGAAACGCCTCATCACTCGTCGGCCATTTCAATTTCTTCACGTAAAGGGGCTACCCTATTGTTCAAGACAATTAGTGAAGCAGGAAGTCGCTTGACAAAGACAACTACACAAAAGCTTTGTCCATTCATGACAAACTTTAGCTCGACAGATGGGTCGGTTCTGGCAGGGACCCTTTTGACGCCTCGTTCACTCGCCAGCTTTGGCTCTTCGAATGGATCAGAAATTACAGACTACAGTGATGCAGAGCCGATTGACGAGACGTACGAAATGTGCGCCAAGGAGCGTGAGCGTCTTACGACGGTAGCGAAGCGCATGACAGAGAGTCTTTTGGAAGCCACCGACTTACTCGGTGGAATTCCGTGGACGTTGGTGCATGAGAAGCACGGAATTTCGCTCTTCCAAGCCGACGATACCAAGCCAGGAACCAATGTGCCGTGCAATGTTCACGCGGTGTGCAAGTTTGCTTGCAATATCGATGACGTCGCGGCGTCGCTCATCACGCCTACGACGGCGTCGTTCAAACGGATGATGGGCATGCTGTCGTCGGACTTCTTGGATGGAGCAGTGGTGCAGAATATTGTAGAGTCCACGCCGACTAACCCACACCGCTACGTTACACTCAAGTGGGCTGCTTTCAAAAGCTCGGGTCCATTTGCAAAGGATCGTGACTTGCTCATGCTCGAGTACGTCGACTTGATCGAGGATGCACAGGGGCAGATGACTGCCTTCCGTATCATGGAATCCGTGGATACACCAGCAGGTTTTTCGAAGTACGCCGAGTCGCCAAAGTACACGCGTGACCTTGTACCGCTCATGGGATTCATGTATCACTCGACCAAGAAGCAGGACGAGCTGCGTTTGACCTACACATGCAACTTTAACAAAAATGGCAACCTTCCTGCTTGGATTGCCAGCTCGGCAATCCAATCGCACGTGGAAAAGTGCATCAACGGCATTCTCAAGTATACTGAAAACTTTCGAGTAGGTCGTGAAGAGATCGTGCTCCCTCAACAAGTGGTTCTCATGAGCGAGCAAGATCACTGTAGTACTTGCTCCAAGAAGTTTTGTGTACGTCGCCGTCGCTACAACTGCCTCAAATGTGGAGAAGTGTGTTGCAGCTCATGTAGCTCGGTGCGTAGTGCACATGTGCCTGATATTGGCGAACGTCAGCTACGCGTATGCACGACATGTGTCATCGAAGCTCGTAGGTTATCACGCAACCCGGTTGGTGGGGTGGACAAACGTCCCGTTACTCCGTCGTTCCGCTCTAACCGCTCCAACCATTTCTTTGTCGATACAAATGGAAGCCGACGCGTGCTGGGTCGCGCGCAGAGCTTTTCAGTTCGCAGTGGTAAAACAAAGGAGGAAGGACGAAAGCGTCAGTCATATGACAATCTTCTCGACCCCGTGCGCTCTCGACTCATTGAGTACAAGACATTCTCGTCAGCTAGTGAGGCTGGTCACAGTGCGAGTACTACGGGCTCAGCCATTGGTGTACCTAAAGCCAGCTTTCCGGGCCGTTCTTTCAGCGATGGCCTCGTCATGCGCAATAAAGCGTTGTTCGCAGCCAAGCGTCGTGGTAGTCCAGCTGACCTAGCCATCTCCATTGAAGCCTTCCGCTTGTATCAACTGCGCATGGGCTACACGGAACGCTATGTTGAGGACGAATTGGGCGACAACGACAATACGGACGACGAGTCCAATACATCGTCCTCGTCCGTGTCACCCACATACTCGACCACGACACCATTGTCGGCGCAGGACCGTACTTCGTCAAAGTATGTCAAGAATCTTCGCTCTGGCCGCTCACGCATCCAGATTAACCACGAAAGCAATCAAGAGGTTCCAGCAGATGACGAGGAGAAGCTCGAGCTAAATGAAGCAATGGTACGCGCCAAGAACATCATCGTCGCCGCCAATTATGCGAACAACTTGGCACAGCAAGCCCGAAAACTATCGCACCACCGCATTCTGGCGTTGCAGCAGGAGCATGAGTTCATGGCACCCATGCTACGAAATGGTGGCAACAACAACTCTAGCAGTAAGAATAGTCCAGTTGTACGTCGTCGACCTCGTCTTCGTCGTCATGGTAGCGACTATGATGTGACACTGTGCTCGAGCTGATACGTTGTCACTCACTATAGCCGCTCGAGAATTAGAGATGAACAAGTAGCAAAACGTAGTTTGCGGTGGAGTAGTGTAGAAAAGTATGCACGGCAGTACAGATGTGGAAGCGAAGCATGTATACGCACGTGAAGCAGAGATGTAAGAACCATGGTCAAGTGGACTTGCATGATTATATCGTACGAACAGCTTCAACATAGGGATTGAGCAGCTTTTTTCCATTTGTACTTGACCAGTGCCAAAGTTTTGCCCGAATTTGATAAAGAACTAGAGCTAAGACTCCGACATGAGCCCAATTCAAGACAAGGAGGAAGGCAACAAATGTGGGTAACGTTGAGTTGATGCTGATGATAACGGCACCAGGCCTCACAAGGTCTAGCACGAACCTCAAACATACTTTGAAATAAATGGCAGCCCAATGTTTTATCATGTTATAGTCACAGCATTGTCGATGTGTTTATTGCTTCAACACTGCGGTATATGGCACTCTCCCTCACTCTTGCTGTTGTGTTTGTCAAAACCCGTGACAGCACATAATTGCAAAGATGAAATGTCAACGCCGTGGGTTTGGTTGGTTAGACGATGGTCCGCCGCCCATGCCATAATTGCAAATTTGGCATTCTTGCGTTCGCCAGTGGTATGCTCCGTTGACAACATCAAAGCCGATAGCGAACTCGGCACAATACCGGTCGTACAGAGCTTCCCACTCGCCAAACGTGACGATTTCGTACTGACGGGCAGGTTTGGAACCGAGACTAGAAAACAAACAAAGATTCAAAGTGCATTCGTGAGTACCATTTCAGATAGCGTAGTAGTGTATCAGCATACACAACTTACATTTGCGTGGCCTTGAGTGACTGCTCGAGCGTGAATCCTGACAAGAACATGGAAACGTAAGGTGGCACAATCGTTCTCTGATGCGATAAACACACGAGCTCAGCATTCAGCACTGGGCCCGGGGCTTCGTCTTCTTGACTGCGCACAAATTTTCTCCACTTGTTCAGCCATTTCTTAGGCACCAAAAAGTAGGTGGCGTGCTTGCTTCGACCATTCATGGATAAATGCGGCGCAAGCTGCTGCCTTCTGCTCCCCGCCAAGTCCATGGGCGAGAACAACCCTTTCGGGAATCCATTTTTTCTCTGGAGTAACTCCAACATCTCTTCAGATCCTGCAATTTCCCTCTCAAACCTCATTCTCTTCTTCTCCTCAGCCTCCAGCTCCCGGTTCTCCTGCTCCAGCACACACACCGTGCAGTCACTGCACGATTTGAGTGTGAATCCCCTCAGCTCGGGAGCATAAACTGTGATCGCTCTAAACACATCCCCATTGAGAATAGCGCGTCGACTGCGTCCTACACACTGTGCGGCTGGCAACAGTGCATCATGGCTACAAACAACCATCGCTCCTGCCTCAGCAAGCGACGAATGGGGTGCAATTTTAAGCTTCTCTAATGTCAACATGTCCTTCTTTTTCGATGCATTTTGTCGTCGTTGCTGTCGTTTTGTCCGTCGGAATTGCAGCAAAAAATGCTCAAAAGCTTGGCAGCGTTTCTTGTATGCGCCAAGCCACGAGCGACTCACGACGACGCAGTTGGGCGAGCAGGACGCGGCTTCTTCATACGAATGAGCAGTAGATTTTGACAAAAGCTCTTTAATGTAAAGAAGCTCAGCGCCTCGCAGTACAACGAGCGAGCGTGGCCAGTGACTGGACGAGGATGGCAGGAAGCTCGTCACGTCGGTAAATCGACGCGTAATGACGTATTCGAGAGCCTGTTTAACAGCATGACTGGATGGAGATAATGCACGACATGTTGAGGTCATCTGAAGGACGTCTCGAGCCGTCAGGAGCGAAAACACGTGCGCTAAGAGACCGTCGGGGAGGTGCTCCATGGTATTCTATCGAGTGATTCATAAAATAGTTCTAATATAGGGAGATGCGAAACTTAAACGGGACGTAACGGTACACAAGTACGACATTCTAACGTTCATGTGTTATGATTTTGAACCACTCGTAAATCCTATTTCTATGATTTCAAATCCTGCTAAATGTTACTTTACAGGTCTCCATAAAATAAACGTAAAAAACGAACTATTCGTACGTCCCTTAGAGAAACACCCAAAATAGTAAGTTTATACGATACTATTTTGGGTGTTTGAAAACCCATATATTCCATGCAATTGGCTCGTGTGACCGATCGCTCGCCACTCTTCTTGCCACTACGGTCCGACATTCATCCAATAGATAAAACGTCGTCGTGGTTGTGTATTGTAGTGAAAATTCGCCCCAGTCTTGTGCATTTTCTAGTAAATAATCGTGTGTGGGTACGTTCAAGTGAAAAGTTGAATCCATTAGGAACGACCAAGTCGCTCTCACTCTCACTCTCTCTCTCTCTCTCTCGATTTATTTTCATGCAGTGCGTCATCAGATCAAAGGTGCCAATTACAGACGTTGTAGACTATGAGAACAATTACTCGGAAGCTCGTTATCAACTTTTAATTGCTGTGGCCGATGGCAACGTGTGGGTCGTGACGTTGCCAACTTCTTTGCAGTCTGAAACAGGTGCACTACCTTTGATAGAGATTGTACTGGAACGCTCGTGTCGTGAAAGCCTGGAGCCGGTAATGGCGCAGTGGTTCTATCAATTACCTGGGATACAGTCAATTCAATGTACCCGAGCAGGTTTGACGTCTTTTACTCTAATGAGGAGCTTGGTGACCCCATCGACATTGATTGTGAGAATTTCTGAAGCCTCCGAGTCCAAGCTCCAACGTTATCAGTCACTGGAATTAGACAATCTTGAAGGAGAGCAGTCTACTTGCTCACTGTGTTTGAATGGTCAAGAGCCACGGTATCGTGGATTGCTGACAACCTTATTCCCAGATGTGACAAATTCTACTGGTGTGATTGCGATCCTACAAGGAGATTTGGATGGAAGCGTGCGATTCTCCTTGGTATCTTATCCTCGCAAAGAGGGAGATGTGACAAAGGTGTCTGTCATTCGCAGTGGAACACTTGTGGAATTGGACCAGCCCGTTCAAATGATCGTTCCATTCAACTCTTCCAGTCCGATGACGCCATCTTCTGAAGAAAATGTAGCAACAGGGTCATCTACAGTATTCAATGCACTGCTACTTGTTGGCACTCGAGGACGCGTTGGGGTGATTCATTCAAGAAGTGGTTGCTCGATAAAGACTCTTCCTGTTGCATTGAAGAAGCTGGATCTTGGGTACGCAGTACAGTCATTAGCATTTGTGGACAGTTTAAAGGTGTTTGTTTTTTGCTCGAACGGTTCAGCTTTCGTGTTTCGAGGCAATGATGTTATACGAAAAGCACAGTTGGGAGACTTGGAAGCCCAGAGCAACGGCCGCAGCATCTGTGCCGAGAAAATGCTTTTTCAACCGGTACACATGTCATGGATTCTGCTGAATAGATCGCTGCACACTGATGCGGAATTTGTGCATGCCTGAAATTGTAGGGCATCTTGCGTTTGGTAACACATGACAGCACACACGATATGTCAATTCTTTTTGTATCAGGGCGGGTAATAACTATCGCTGAGACTTTGCTTCGTGCAAAGATAGCCAGTGTGCTGTTACCTGATCAGCAAAATCGCCTGAAGGAGCAACCATCTGCAGAAGTACCGACGAGCGAGTCTCATGTTCGCAATTTATTGCATCGCATCGCACAGACTTCTATCGAATCAACCGCCTTGCGCACCCAATCGAAGCAGATTGATCGTCAACTTAAGACGCTACACTCGGCTTTGGAATTGCTGCAAGTGGTAGAAACACAAGGTTTGTCTGACTCATATCGTGTTAAGGTTATTGCAATTGTCTTTCATTTCCTGATTACTGTTGTTGCAGGTATTGAGTCTGTGATTACTTGTAAGGTACGAGCATCAATGGTTACAACTGGCATTTACTCGGACAGACCGACGATCAAACTGGTATGTTCCATACGTTTCGTGAATCCGGACGTTATCGTCTCACTTGACGAATGGTAAGAGGTAGCTTAGAGCTACCATTCACTCGTTGCTTGTAGGAATGTCTACGACGCATTCTAACGCTTCTCTTGCATTCATCGTGAATAGGTGGTTGTGCATGTATGTGCGTACTCACGCATGTTCCGTAGTGACGCACTCGTTTCTACTGAATAATGTACTCGCGCGTGGAGAACAGAGTATCATCCTTGACCCCGACACGCTCGCTCTAGAATCTTTCTGGGTGTCGTGCTCGATGCTGTTTTGTCCCACAAGACATGAACATCCTGATAAAACGCATAGCAAACCGAATTGTGTTGAGCTCAAGCCAATTAGTCAGGACGACATGTTGCCATTTGCAATTCCGCTACTTCAAAATCGAAGATTCCTGTTCGTACAGCTGAGTCAGCCTGTCGAAGAAGAAACTCCAGTCAGTCAAGTTGCCATTCACTCAGCGTTCCGTCAAAAACACGAGCCGTTCATGCCAGTCGAAAGAAAGATCGTTGGAGAAAAAGCCTCGTCGTCTGCACTCTGGAGTGGTGTGCAATGGTGGACTGCACTAGCCGATCATGCTCACAAGAACGCATCATTTGCAACATTGTGGGTAAAAATCGCCCCTCCAGGTGCAATTCCTTTAGCGCTGTCTCCTCCATCGCGGTTTGTGATTTCCATCCCTTCATTCTTCGATCCAGAAGGTGAAGGCGAGAACGACGAAGATGACGATGAAGATCTTGAAAAGATTCGCGCTGAAAGGATGGTGTCATTCCTGTGTCATCTCTTGGAGATACACAGTGATGACGTTTCACGATTGCGTCGTAGCTGCAGAACGCAACATGGAAAGCTGTGGACAGCGCTGCGATCTTTCTCGGGGGGTCTCATACTTTTGCGCTTTACCCCGTCAGAAGATCATCACCAATCCGTTGATCTCTCGATCCAATGCTCGAATATAGCGGATCTCTCAGCTGTACGTATCCGCTGCTGGTGTAACCCTTTGCAAGCGAACTGACAGAGCATCAAATAATATTGTATAGATGCGAGCTCTCATTCTGGAGACGATCAACAAGCAAAGTGATGAGGCTGCGCGAGAAACAAGCAAAGACGATCAGTCGGAAGCGCTTCTTGTAGGCATGAGCGAAATGTTGGAACCCATTGCAGCTCTTGATAATCTTCTGGAGGTGGGTATTTCAATATCGGACTCATGATGTCCTGTCAGGGTATTGCAACAGTACTGATCTCGTTCAAACTTAATTGGCAGGAACTGACGCAGAAGACCGCTATCAGTATCGTCGATCCTCAATCCACTATTTGCACCGATGAAGTGCTTCATGCACTCTCACAGCTAGCGCATCTGGAGACCCAGACACTCACACTTTATTGGAAGACAAGATCATTCATGCTTGGCAGAAGCATCATAACTGACTAGTTTTTTTTGTCAGAATGTAGCCATCTCTATCGATATAGTCGGTTCGTGTGTCCGAAACAAAGTGTCAGATGTGTCGTAGTCGTCTTTTCTTTGTCGGAAGACCTCATAAGACGATATCTCGTAAGGTGATGCCGGATAGTTTCGATTTCCTCGACACTTGGCTTTGTTTTAATGCAGTGGATTGATTATAGATTGAAATCGACCCTAGACAGTGCTGATCCAGACGATGGAGCAAACGTAATTTAGTTCATAGATGTTGAATATCAAGTCCAGTTTTCGAGTTACATACTTCAGGGTTCAGCTCAAGTCACTAGGTCGTAAAACACTTGCTACTATCTTGATTGTTAGAAGGAAAACAAGTGTTTCCTCATCACAATAGCTACACGTAATGCATTCGTGACGTACCGTAACAAATACCAGCACCATTTGATCCTGCGGTGAAAAACCCCCAGAGAGGTCCATCCATCCATCCATTCCACGCAACTTTTTGCTTGTTGTTTTTTCAATCGGGAACCACAGGAATTGCATCCGTAAGACATAACCATGTAACGATGTAGAGATGGTATGAATATTTCGCAATGCCAAATCCAAACGTTGACCGTGTCTCAATATACAAACTCTGTGTGCTATGCTTGACACGACCTGATCCTCCTGCTCGAATCGTTCGCTACATCGTCAATCCCAGGGACTTTCCACCAGATGGCCGTTTGACAAGGAAAAGGGGAAGGGGACAAGTCGTCTGTAGCAGGTGTCATACCACTTGATCATCACTTTGAGTAGGCAAAAAGGAGTCAGTTTAGTAACGGTTTTGTATCACTGTAGTAAGCAAGCGTCCAGTCGTGTGTGCGGTGTGGAAAATCTCTTGTGTGTTTTATCGTAGAGAGAAAAGGGAACGAACGAACGAGTGGCCATTGCCGACAAGTCGCTCTATTGCTCATTTGTACGCGCTCTATCTACGAGAGGATCAGGAAGGTCGGTGTGTGTCACTTGTCCTCTCGTCCTTTTCGTCTTTTCCGACAAGAGTTTTTTTTTCTTCTTGACTCCTTCCGACACGGAAGTAACTTTAGTTTTCGACACGAATTCTCGTCATGACCGTACGTCGAACCGAAGAATTACAGGCATGGGTCTGTAGTGTTACCGCTACGCCGAATGACCATGATGAACACTTGTCCGTGATGCTACGAGACGGTCAATTGTTGTGCTTATTAGCCAACGGCGTGGACCCAACAGCGAATCTCAAGGTGAATAAACTCAATACAGTTTTTCACTCCAAGGCCAATATTCGCCTCTTTCTCGAGTGGTGCAAGAAACAAGGACTTCATGACGGCGACATTTTCCAGCCTGATGACCTGCTTGATGCAGGCGCAGACTTTGCATCGGTATTGGAGACACTCTCTATCCTTTTTGACAGATTTGGCACGATCGGATATACGGGGAAATACGAGGAAGACCCGGTCTCGGATGCCGAGTCCATGACGTCCTTTGGTAGCTCACAGGGCACGTCGCCAGTCAAGAAAGCGAACAGCAATAACAAACTTACCAACTTCATGAAGGGTGGATTTTTATCAAGAAAAAAGAAACAATCAGGCAAAACAACGGACAAACCGGATGGAACGCCGCCGTCTACACCTCCGCCCGGGTCGCCTCAGGTAGGTGGGGGGATGATGTCTCCGCCAGGCTCGCCGCCAATGGAACCGCCATTTCAGAAGGACATGAGAAACAATAGTGGAGCTACAAACACAAACCGTCTGAACGCGTTCTTGAACCAAGTGCCAGCGTCACATGGATCGCCACTTACGCACGTTGAGCGCGCGACAGGTCCTCCCAAGACAGCCAATTCGGTAAGGAAGCCACCGACACCCAAGGCACCTCCTACTGTGAAGAGGCCATTGTCGCCAAAGCAACTTCCTAAATCGCAGCCGATTAGCCGCGACGCTCGGAATAAGTTTGCGGCCTTCATGAAAACCAACCCGCCTGCTATCGAGACGACGGACTCATACCCTGTCTCTCCGACTGCGTGTGGTGTGTCCAGCCCTTCCCCACCAAAGTCTGCACCTGTCCGAGATAGCGGCACCTCAAGCGAACGTTTTGCCCAGCGAAAGCCTGTCTTGACTAATGGTGACAGCAGTCCGACACATGCGCCTGGTTCGTCAAAGACATCCGTCAACACGGGCTCTGTCAACAAGCTTGGCAACTTTATTAAGCAGCAACCGTCTTTGTCGCCGGCTTCTACGTCGAAGCCTCGCTCTCAGAGCAAGCTAGCAGCTTTCTTGGCGACGACGAATGCGATTCCATCAATCGCGACAACGCCGTCTGCCGTCCCGCCGAAGCCGAAGCCGGCGTTTGGTTCGTTTGACCCAGTAAAGAAATTGCCGGCTGGAGACCGATCAGCTTTGAAGCCTGCGTTAAATGCACAAAGTCTTGCAGCACCAGCTGCTCCGATGCCGTTTAAGCCACGTCACAAGATTGAGCGCTCTACAGGCCGTGGTAACTACATCCGCAAGTACCAGACGTACTGGGTTCCCCCTAAGCGTCGCCGCAGCAATTTCAGCTTGGAAAATAAGCGAAAGGCGTTCATGAACGAACAGTTGAATTTGAAGGAAGAACAGCTTCGTCAGCAGGCTGCAGGCGCTGGAAGCAAGCAGAACTTGATTGTGCCCGGTGTGCAGTGCTACGTTCCTGACAAGGAAGAGGTGTGGCTGCTTTCCGAAATCTTAGATTACAACGACCGCAGGAAAGAGGTAACCATTACGGCATTCTTGGATTCAGGTGATTCGGAGCAGCGTGTTGTAGATCTCAAGAACCCGGACATCATTCGTGCGGTTGCGGGACCGACAGCAACGGAGGTAGAGTCACTTCCGATTGCTATCCTTCACGACAACCCGGAGGGTGTGGACGATATGCGTTTGCTCCGATACTTGAATGAGCCATCAATTTTGTTCAACTTGAAGCAGCGCTTTGCGGCCTCGAAGCCGTACACATACAGCAACGATATTGTGATTGCAGTGAACCCGTACAAATGGATCGAAAACCTTTACGGCGACCACCTGCACGAACAGTACTTACGAAAGCCGCGCGACTCGCTATCCCCTCACGTGTACTCGACATCAACGGCTGCCTACAACCACATGAAAACTAACAAGATGAACCAGAGTATTCTTGTGAGTGGTGAGTCGGGTGCTGGTAAGACGGAAACAACAAAGATTGTGATGAACCATTTGGCGAGTGTGGCTGGTGGCCGCGACGACAAGACTATTGCTAAGGTCATTGAAGTAAATCCGCTTCTCGAGTCATTCGGTAACGCCAAGACAACCCGTAATGACAACAGTTCGCGCTTCGGTAAATTCACGCAGCTGCAGTTTGACAGCCGTGGTAAGCTGATCGGTGCCAAATGCGAGACGTACTTGCTGGAGAAGTCACGTGTCGTGTCTATTGCCGAGGGTGAGCGTAATTATCACATTTTCTATCAGCTTTTGGCTGGCCTGCCCAGCCAAGAACGGAAGGAGTTTGGTCTCGATCCGGACTGTAAGTACCGGTACGCCGGTTCACTGGCAGAGATGCAGATACCTGGTCTGGACGATAGCAAATGGTTTACGAGCACAAAGAAGTCGCTGTCCACCATCGGTTTGGACGCTGTCGCGCAAAAGACACTTTTCAAGATCTTGGCTGGTGTGTTGTTGCTTGGTGAAGTCACGTTTGACAAGAGTGGTGAAAGCGGATCTCGGATTTCGAGTGATTTAGCGCTGTCACAAGTTGCTAAGATGTTTGGCCTTCCCACAACGAGAATCGAGGAAGCGCTCTGCAACCGCACGGTCATCACGCGCAACGATAGCGTGACAGTGCCACTTGCATCTATAGAAGCAGCAGAGAATTGTGACGCATTGGCTAAAACCATTTACTCGAAAATGTTCGACTGGATGGTGGTAAAGATCAACGCTGCTATCAGTACGGACGGGAGTCGCATCGAGGGCCAAATTGGCGTGCTGGATATCTTCGGTTTTGAGGACTTTGTACACAACGGGTTTGAACAATTCTGTATCAACTATGCGAACGAAAAGTTGCAACAAAAGTTTACAACAGATGTGTTCAAGACTGTCGAAGACGAATACATCCGCGAAGGCTTGCAATGGGATCACATCCAATACCAGGACAATATGGGCATTGTGGAGGTGATTGAGGGTAAAATGGGTATCATTGCTCTCATGAACGACCACCTTCGTCAGCCGCGTGATACGGAAGAGGCTCTTGTCAACAAGATTCGCACAAACCATAAGATGAAGAAAAACGGCGACGTAAACGAAAACATTGACTTTCCTAAAGTGAAGCGCACGCAGTTTATCGTCAACCACTATGCTGGTCCAGTCACGTACGAGACGGTGGGTTTCATGGAGAAACACCGTGACACCCTGCAGAAGGATCTTCTCGATTTGATCCAGTTGAGCAGCCTGCCGCTGCTTCCAGAGCTTTTTGAAGATAGTGATGTGGTGATAGAGGGTAGCAACGGACGAGGCAAGATGGCACCAAAGAGTCTTGGATCTCAGTTCAAGACGTCGCTAGCGCAGCTAATGGAGAACATCAAGACAACTAACACGCACTACGTTCGATGTATCAAGCCGAACGCAAACAAGAGTTCGACGGAGTTCAACAAGCGCATGATCGTGGAGCAGCTGAGATCAGCTGGTGTGATTGAAGCTATTCGTATCACACGTTCTGGTTATCCGAGTCGTCTGACTCCGACGGAATTGGCCACGCGCTATGCGATCATGTTCCCGCCATCGATGCACAGCAAGGACGTTCGTCGCACGTGCAGTGTTTTCATGACGTCAATCGGTCGCAAGTCACCGCTGGAGTACCAAATGGGTAAGACGCTCATTTATTTCAAGAACGGAGTCATGGAAGAGTTGGAGGCCATGAAGTCCGATTTCATCTACTACGAAGCACGCACCATCCAGCGTATTGCACTGGGTTTCTTGGAGCGGCGGCGTCTGCGGAACAAGATTCGTGCGGCCATTGTACTGCAGTCTTACGCTCGTATGTTGTTGGATTTTAAGGAGTATCACTCCCAGCGCGGGGCGATTATCAAGATTCAACGAGGCTGGAAGATGCACAAGGCTATTCCACTCGCGCCAGAGTATAACCACAATCCTGAGGAAGAGTTCAATGGTGGTGACCGATGGGCGGATGGACTCGATGATTCGGATACGGACGAGGGCTTCGATGACCACCCGGCATGTATTCGTACAGGACATGGTAGATCGGTCGCGGACCGCATGGAGTCGTTCAAGGTTGCCCACACAGATCGCCGCGGCAGTGTGAAGCGTCTGAACGAGTTGTCTGCTCGTGCCCAGAACTTTATGAAGACGCGCAGCGGCAGTGGCAGCACATCGAGCTCAAGTGGCATTTCTTTGGAGGATGAGAACTCGATGCTGAAGATTGAGAACCGCAACTTGAAATACGATCTCGAATTGATGCGTGAGCAATGTATTGAGCTACAGGCTATCATTCTCGAGATCAACAAGAGCCGCAAGAGGTAAATAAAGTGATGGCGTGATGTACTCTCGCCTACGTTCTCAGCAAACGCAAGGCCATGGCAAGAAAGCCACAGTTTTTTTTAATAAACGCCGTAAGGTGTATATTTGTAGCGAAAGATAGACATGACAGTTTTCCCTCTTTCAATATGAAGACGTCGAGTACATTCTGTTTGTATTTGTTGGTATTGACTCATGGCATCGTGGGAGAGCACATGGTATCACTAGACAGATGGATACAATGTGCTCTTCCGGTGTGAGTTACGGAACCGTGAGTCGCTTACCCATCGGAATTTGGTGCGCGCTTTGCATTGCTATGGGCGGAAACGCAGGAGGCAGCCACGACATTGACATTGACATTTACCGTAAAGCGCAGTCTGCGTAGATTCTGATGCACGACATTGATTTCCGTCACGCTAAGAGCCACCTTGAGGTCTGTCTGGTTCATGATTCAATATTCTTGTTTTGCATGACGTTGATGGAATGTCTTTTGTTGTCTCGTATAGCACTACTGGCGCCAACTCTTTGGCGGAGATCGATCGAAAAAGCGCAGACGTTTAATGTTATCGGTGGATGCCATTGCACAGGCTAGGTCCTCAGCCGACACCTCTACAACTGCTATCACTTCCGTCGCATCGAGTCAAAAGCTAGAGCCCGGTCCAAAAGTGGATGACCCCACTGAAGCAATCGACCTCCAAGAAAACAGCAAGGTCTGCCAGAATCAAGCTCTTCTTAACGATGATGCTACTACTGCAGATAAACACCACACTCTTAGCTCGGAAAATGCCAAAGGAGATTCACAGCAGACACTTTCCTCTATCATCACAAGTAAAACGTCATTGTTAATGGGCTCAGCTCTGTATGTTGAACAAACAACAAGACGAGCCGGTAGACCGCGGTCAAGCTACCCACCACCGCAACATATTTCACTGTCGAGGTATATTTCGCGGGCGCAAGGTTAGTTCCTGTGAAGTATGTTGTGCACGCTAAGGAAATGCTTACATTGTCATGTAATGGTTTGTGCAAATGGTAGGACCAACACTAGGCTCTATCATGCAGCGTATTCACCTCAATGACGGCGATGTGAGCGAGCTAGATTTCTCGGCTCTTGCTCAGCGTAACAAGCGTCTGGGATCTGAAGGGTGTGCTTTAGTGGCACGCTCGCTGTCGACTAACCACACTGTTCGGAAGCTCATTATTCGAGACCACGCTATCGGAGACGATGGTGCTTTTGCTCTCTCCAAAATGCTATGCAACAACACAACTCTGGAGTATTTGGATCTATACGGGAACAATATCAGTCATCGAGGAGCTGAAGCACTAGCTCAGGCACTGTACGGACACGACTCATTGACGCATTTGTGTTTGAGAAACAACTTGATAACTGATCAAGGTGCTGAGGCTCTAGCTCAGTCTATCACGTGCAACTGTATGCTCAAGTCTCTGGATCTTGCTCAGAACCGAATCACGCGAGTAGGAGCTCAGTCGCTGCTGGATGCATTAGATGCCAATTTGCATTTGAAGGTCGTTAATCTGGACGCAAACAATGTACCAGCATTCATCGGAGGCCAACTTGCTGCAGCATTAGCACGCAATCGTGCCAAGTCATTGATACTTGAGTCACATGCTGCGGAGAAGAAGGCCGAGAATATCGTCCGCAGGGCCAGTGTCTTGAATACCCGAGACGAAGACGAAAACAGCAGCGAAACGCAAGAAGATTGGGAAGATGACGACGATGAGAGTGTATCGAGCGGGTTCTTGAGCTGCTCTGGAGTGACGGATATTCCGTTGAGCAACAGCGGTCATTGGATTTAGAACACGCAATTCGTCTGCATTAACTTGTGCTTTGGTGTAGATCGCACAGATTATAATAAAAGACTCGGATGTGACATATGATGCATTCCGTTCACTTAATCTACTCGCTTAGCAATTCATGGTAGGTAGGTGTGCGCAAACTTGAAGAAGAGCTTATGCAGTGATCAATCTATCTGTTAACCATTCGACTAGATTCGCCCGGTCTTATCTTCTTGAGTTAGACTGCTTCCGTGAGTAGACGGTATAACGCTTTCTGAAACTATCCAATTTGGCAGAGCAATTTACGTCCTTTCGTTCCAAAAAGAGCGCATGTCAACGAGGTTTCATTTTCTAGTGGCCTAACATGTGCAATCAGCAATGATAAACCTTGACTCAGCTTGAACCCGCGTGACTCAAGTTACCCTATAAACGATGCATCCCACTAGCTAAGCTTTCCGGCCGCCTCATCAGCAAAAGAAATTTGTAGATACGTCCTCGGTCAACATTTCATTGCAATCAAGGTTCGCCAACCTCACATCTACTCTGTCAACCTGTAATCGCTGTGTCTCGACGGGTGCATAAGGCGCTGGCTGATGCGATCCCCAACTTTCGCGAGAGAAATCTTCGGACTTTATATTCACGTCCCAGTCGATTTGGTAAGCATCGTGAAGTCCAATCTGCTTTAGTGATTCATCATACCACTCGTTCCTCTCGATCGACTCCTTACCGAGAGGGGAGAACAAATCTTGGGTGCGAGGTGCTGATTGTCCTTCCGACCGACACTTCATATTAGTTTCCGATTGGATGTACGAGCTTGTACTTCGTTGTACAGCTATTCCCATGTTTTCATCATAGCCAAATGGTTCCCAGTTTGCCATCTCACTGTTGCTTGCATCAGATACCTGAACAGCTGCCGATGAAAAGATGGGTGAGAGAATCAGCGCCGTATCAGCATGCACCCTTTGCCAGTATCCCAATGGTGGAGAAATCAAACGGTCTTCCAGAGTTCTAGGCATTGGACTTCTTACATCATGCAAGTTAGTCTCCATTGCGTCTACCACCGGCTCATCCTTATACTGTGACCCAGAGTCTCGGGCGGCAAACAATACCCTTGGATCGGTAAAGATGTTGTAATTGAATCGGGCATACTTTTTTGAAAAGCATTTATCGCTTGGATCGCAAGCTGACCCGAGTGCCGTACCTATCATGTTACAGCTCACCAAAACGGACATGACGTCGTACACACGGCGGTGTACGTCACTATATGGAGTCTCCATCCACGGCGATGATTCCAACGCACCAATAAACTTCTTAGCTTCAATGAGACGGCTACTAACAGCAGGCAACGTCACTCCAACCAGATAATCTTGTTGGAACAGCAAGCCCAGGAAGCAGACCGTAGTAGTTACCAGGCAAGGCCATTTCTCAACTGCCGCCTGCTTCTCAAAAACTGTCACAATAGCGCTGTCTTCTTCCACCGTGCTGGTCATTTTTTGACGGTGCGACTGCCGAAATTCTACCCTGGCTTGAGCTGAAATGTTCTTCATCTCTGCCAAACGTTGCACTACCGCAGCCTTCCCGTAGTATAGAAAGTATCCACTCTTGGTCCTTCGCGTCTCGTCACCGCGAACGCGCTTGATCACTCCAATGCCTGTAGATGTAAAACCGTGTCCATATCCATTCTCATCCACCAAAGACATATAATACTAAACTACAACTCTCATACCTTCCAGCACATGCAACACGTCATAGATCCGTCTCTTCCTCGGCACTACGCAGCGATTATCAGGGACAGAAGCCGTACAAAAGCTAATAGGACACAAGTCGTACCCTTCATCTTGTAGATCTCACTGGATGGAATAAGAATCGGAAATACAGGGCCCGACGCAGAGCTCTGCAGATCCTCGTACTCTTTAAAAAACTGCAACATGATGCGCGTTCTAACAAACCCACAAAGCTCCATGTTGGCACGTAACGCTCATGTTTCCTTGACCTCAGTGACGTACATTTCCCCAAGACTCTTAGCTGCAGCAAATCGTTCTTGGATGTCGCTCCATGTCGCTTCTGCAAGACCGTTTGTAGACCGATTGGTGCTTTCAAAGGCAGGTGCTGGACTAATGCGACGCGAGCGCTGCCGGCGTTTCCGCCGCTTGATTGGGCGCTTCGTGGCGCGCTCCACCGTGACGCTCACCACGGGGTTGGCATCTTTTGTGGAGGTAAAGCGCAGTTTGCGTCGGTGTACGCGCTGGGTCTTCATCAACTTGCTTGGAAAGTGGCAAAATCAAAAGTGTCGAGGAAACCCCTTTTTGTAGTTGAAGTGACATTCATTCTGAACATCAACAAGAAGACTCGTAGGTCCTCTTTTTTGTATTTGGTAGCAGTCGAATAGTGACAACCTTCAAGTTACACCCTGTCGCTTTAGGTAAAAAGTGTTGCACATTCAGATTGCTATAGCCGCCACATGTGCTGATCAAGGTGTCAAGGCAAAACGAAACTCCTTCCTCGTCTATTTCACATGAATGTACAGCTTTATTTCAAGCCATGAGCCATCGTGTCTGCATCTTTCGTTAGCTATATCAACCCTATGCACTAGTTTGCTTCTTGCTAAGTAAGAAAACGCCGGGACACATTTTGTAAATGTCTAAACGATGTTTACCGAAATACTGATGTTCGACAATTTTATCGTCAGTCTAAGTATACAGTGGCAACTTGTTTTGGTAAAGTTTATCTTTTCTGGGACAATGACCTTTTTTGCTATACGAAAATCGCCCCAATATTGCAATTGCAAGCTAAACACCCGTATACTTAAACGCGGGGCCATAAAAATGGGATGGTGACATGTTTAAAAAAATAATGCTGGGCAAAATACGTAAGCTTGCAGTGAGTGAAGCCTATTTGCTACATTGAGACCAAGTCTTGCAGCGCCATGATAACTGCAATCCATTGGTGGCAGTACCAGCACGACTTCTACACGGATACGATTCACTAAAAACGATGGCTTGGACCATTCTTAAAATGGACCGGCTTATAACAACATTGCACAAGGCATATCACGGGTGTGCTGTTCTTATGCTGGGGCTTCTAAGACTCGACTGTTTATGAATACAACAATGTTCGACCACAACAAGGTTATTTCTACAAACTTCATGGAATAATTAATTTGCGTCATGCAGCATTGCACGCACGTTAGTGCGTCGTAGTGGTGGAGCAGGCACCACATTGTAGCTTTCCGCGTATCCAATTCTGGAAAGGAAATTTGCGTTTGGAGGCGAGAAGAACAAAATCTCGTCCATGATACGATGTTTACCCTCAAGTGTCGTCGCTGCATCCGGTCTAAAGTTAACAGCTTGATCCAGATACAATCTACATAGGTCATTAGCCAGACATCCACCGACTCATTAGCATTTGTAGTATGTTGAACAATACCTGGCAGCAACTCGTTCCAGTCTCATGCTACTCACGATTCCAGAAACGGATCTCTCTCGCCTCTGCACAAACCGTGGACGATGTCGCTGAATTCTCTTGTAGCTCTGAAGAAAAAGGGCTTCGTCCTGTTCTGTAGCAGCAACAAGTTGAAATGCGAGACGATGGGGACTGCAGCGACTTAATCGCGCAAGACCGCGTAGATTCCTAGCAAGCCGCAATCGCTTCACAGTCCTGGATATGCGCGCGTCATGTTCCTGCTGAGCTTTTCTTCTGATTCTTTCCAGTTTTGTAGCTTCGGAGACTTCTTTCAGGGTTTCAGCATCTTTATCGGTGGTATTGTTACCACTTGTCGGTTCTAGTTTGACTTGTTTCTTCTTAGTACGCCGCACCACCACTCGTTCATATCTAATCAGTCATAAATAAACACACATTAGTAGCTAAATCAATCTTATAATGCCGACGTATTGCGGTTTAATACTTAAGAATAAGGACATGCATACAAACGGTTGAAATCGTCGCTATCTTTTCCTGTCATTTTATAATGTAAAATTTCGTCAACGACTTTAAAAAGAATTTCTTTGGGTTTTTCATGATAAAATTTTCTTGAAATTCATATCACCCACATAAGTCGAAAAAAAACACTGGGATATATCCAAGTAAAGCGTAGCCATCGATTTTCCGAGGATGGTGCTACAAGTGTCGAACCTACTTCGAAGTTTATCAACGACACCACTGCGTCATCGCACCATTTTCAAGTGCTCTTCTACCCGTGCATTCTCGATACAAAACGGTGACAATGATAATGATAATGAGGAATTGGACTTGGACTTGGATTTCAATGACATTGATGACTATGAAGACTGGACGCTGGACGACGAGAGCGATGTGGCATCCGTCGGTCGTCGACAGATTGAGGAACATGTAAAGCAGAAGGTCCGAGTGCGTCGCGCGCAGCACTCAAAGCGACGCTTTGTAGATCGCATCCGCGTCAAGGCCACTGGCGGCCACGGAGGTAATGGCTGTGCCAGTTTTTTCTCTGAATCGGCGGTGCGCAAACGTCCTAATGGCGGACACGGTGGTGCTGGAGGTGACGTTGTGATTGAGGCTAATGATAAGATGCAGAACTTGGGAAATGCGACGCATCACTTTAGGGCTGGAGCAGGAACGAACGGCATGGGTACGTGACTCGAAAATGGTCAAGTGTTGGAGTGGATCGAACATTGTGTATTGATACTGAGAGAGAGCGATGTTTATGTATTGTTGTGACTGTGACTGCAGCAAATGATTCTGCTGGTAAAAGAGGCAAACATTTTCATGTAAAGGTACCGTGTGGCACGCTCATTAAGCGTGTGGAGCGCTACGAGCGTGAATTGGAAAACGGCGAGTTTGAGATTGTAGACAGAATGGAAGTCGTAGCAGATCTGGACAAACCTGGTGCTACGTTCTTAGCTGCTAAGGGAGGCAAGCCAGGACTAGGAAATCGTATTTTAGCAGGCAAGACGACAACTTTTGGTCGACTGCGCAAGCACATGCCTGAGAATAAAACGACGGGTCAACCAGGCACCTCTCAATACTATGAATTGGAACTCAAGACCATTGCTGACGTGGGGCTTGTGGGTTACCCAAACGCTGGCAAATCCACATTGCTGAGTGTATTGAGTCGCGCTACACCTGAAATTGCCCCTTACCCGTTTACGACGCTTCATCCGTACGTGGGAATTGTGGAATTTCCAGATACGTTTCGGTTGAGTGTGGCTGACATCCCCGGGCTTATCGATGGAGCACACCGTAACGTTGGTCTCGGCCACGACTTCTTGCGCCACATTGAGCGCACCAAGGTATATAAGAGGTATACTGCATTTTGTTTAGAAGATTTACTAACATTAGTGTCCATGTAGATTTTGATGTACGTGCTTGATACATCGGGCTCAGAAGGGCGCGACCCCCTAGAAGACTTTCGACATCTTCAACGAGAGCTAGAGCTGTACGCTCCAGGCATCTCGTCGCGTCCTTCTCTTGTCATTGCTAACAAGATGGATGAGCTCGGTAAGACTACTCTTGTCTATTATCACATTTATCACTCTTTCGTTCTGTACGAGTATCTTGACACTATGCTTGCTGTAACACAGGTGCTGAAGAAAACTTTCATAGGTTGCACCAGTCCACCGATCTTGCTGTGCTTCCAGTCAGGTATGCGTGTAGCTCGCCGTCAACTTGCTGGTAAAGGTCGTAACTAACTATGCTGTCGGTTGAATAGTGCCCTTCACAAGATCGATATTGATACAATAGCACGCACACTTCGCTGGATGATCGAGAGCTATAGCAAGCTCACCAAGTCTTCATAGAACGTATACTAGCCGCATGACCATATTCTTAGCAACACGGCTTCCTATGCAAACGCTACTTTCGAAGCTATGCGTCAATTGAATAGCTACAGATACGAGTCACGCTCTTGTAATGTCGGAGGTGAGACGGCCCGCAAGCTCCACCTTGTCTTGAAATTCGATACAACCTCCTGCATGCCTAAACACGGCACTGCACCGCGATATCAAGCTAGATAACTTGATGTTGTGCAACAATGATAGGCTTACGATCGTTAGTAAGCCCGAGAGTATTCGATCGCGACTACCATTCTTTCGGACTAAGTTTCGATGGTGTCAAGTGCCAGAGTGTAATTTTGCTTGAAGACGTGCAATAGGCCTTATCGACATTTGGGGCTGCGGGTGCATCTGAATCTGCACGCCGCTAATTCTTGGGATGTCGGAGATCGATCCTATCAATCACATTGGCAGATTTTCTAAACTTACGCACCAAGGCCGTGTGGCTCGTGGGACCTCCTCAATGGCGCAACTGGTTTAAACGCAACACGGCACTTTGTTGCAAGACCTGATCGACCAAGCCTTTAGATTAACCTAACAATCACCACAAGTCAAGTTTGGTGATAATTTCATCAGGTATATTGTTCTTCTCGACGCCTTCCGTTTCAGTCACATTGCTATACAAGATAGCAAGAGCACACTTAGAACTTGAGGGCATGAGCACGGTCGCTCTTGGTCAGCGTGAACTTAGCATTCAAGTAGGCCTTGAGGAACGGCTCGGCGTCAAGCTTCTTGATCAAAGCCGAGTCCACAGTCTTCTGGTCCTTCTTGCGCTGTTCTGAGATAACAGGGGCCTAATCAAAGAGATGATACCATTAGTGTCTTATAAGGAGCTTATGTGCCGAAGCAAGCGATCCCAAGCGCTCATGTGGTGCGGGGCAGGAAGTGATGTTCAAAGACATCCACGCTCCTGCCTGATCCAAAACGCTAGAAAGCAGTACAGCGACGAAAACAAGAGAGATTCCAAAAGGATTCATCGATCTCATTCTCCGACTCCATACGCTTCTTCGTTCAGCGTGACGGATCGTGTATAGTAGTATCATCATACCGACCAGCGGAAACGGGATGCTTACAACAGAAAACTAGTAGTAATGAAATATAACTTACAGCGTTCGACTCGGCAAAAAACTGCTCCTCCTTGCTCTGCTTAGTGGACTTCTCCTTGGCAAAGTAGGCATCGTCAATGGCAGGAAGCTCCAGGCCCTCAATGTTAACCTTGGTCGACGTGGCAATCACGTACGACTGGTTCACGCGACGAAGCGGCACACCGTTGACCTTGTACGGACCTGCATCACAAGCAGTAGATCCATCCAGTGAGTAAACAATCGCTCCTCACTACAAGCCTCTTTCTAGGAAAATGCATTCGCGAGTCAAGGATCGGCATTCCTCAGGTCTCATAATCTGATGGATCTTTGGCAACACAATAATTCCTCTTCTCATCCGTAATCACTCCACAAGCCACGCAACACGAACCAGCCTCCTCTCATTGTGATCCAAAAAGTATCTATGAGAGTAGATCGGTCCATGATACGAGACAAGGAAGCGACAACAGACTAAAATGGGGACGACAGAGTGCCTCTCGAAATGTCAAGTTTACATCATCGGAATACCGTTTTTCTCTCTTCTGATTCTCTGCATCATAAACAAAGTGCGTTTTTTCTTACCAGTAACAAGCAGCAGACCCGAAGCCAACTGCTTCAAAAAGACCACACGTTTGCCACGGAATCGACCCGAGAGCAGAATGAGAACTGTGCCGGGAGTAATGGACTTGCGCAGCTTAGCGGTCTTGACGCTGTTGCGCTTGGTCTTTGCCGAAGGAAGCGGCTTTGGGATGTAGTCAGCCGGGTACCACTTCCTAGTAGACGGTTTCTTGATAGCCGTAACCTTCTTGTCACCACCCTTCTTGATCATCTTGCCACGGCCATTTTTCTTGGAAAGACTGTTGCGTGAGATGGCGTTAATACCACGGGCGAGAACGACGTTTGCAGTTTTGGTAAAAGGCATGGTGATGAATATACCTAGAGAGAGAAAAGAGGAGAGAGTAAATAAGTCAACTGTATGGTAGTCCTTGATCATATCATCACACTAGTATCGTACCTGTCTGAAAAAGAACTGAGACAAGGAGAAGGTAGGTAGAACGAGAGCCAACCAATTACCCACAGCCAACCAGAAAGATGATGTAGCATACATAATTTGCGAGGTGGTACTCCTTCAAAACGGTTCAAGATATACCGGTTTATCAAAGGTTGAGATTGAACCCATTTCAAGACGGAAGAAGAGGAAGAGCACGCATGGACAAGCGTAACGATTGTTGTGCAACCGTTAGCGCTGATGTGACGCTAGAAAATGATGCAATTGGAGAGAAAGTGGACTCTTTATGCAGTAATGACAGCGTCAAGAGCGATGGAGACGAGACTGTTACGTCCTGCTCCAATGGAGAAGATGATGTTATTGAGACGAAAGAGACGGCAGCACGTGACGACTGTTGTTCTAGGCAAGAAGATAAGAAGGAGGTAGTTGCAGATGAGCATGATGACTACTGTGTTACAAAGACAACAAAGAAAGCGTCAAGTTGTTGCTCGAAACAAGTAAAGGCCAAGGTGAAAGCGGATGGTTGTTGTGCTTTTACAGAAGAGCAGCAAGGACTTAATGAATACTCATTGTCCGTAAGTGGCAAGAAGAAGTCGTCGTCTGGATTGAGATTGTGTTTGCCGAAAGCACAGTGTTTATCACCTCTGGAACGATCTTCGAGCTTTTTGAATCGTTTGATGCTGTTTCGCATTGATCGTAGAGGTACCTCTGAGAAAACCCAGACAGTTTTGGACCGCTCAAGAGGAAAGGAGATAACGGCCGAATCATTGGAGACACTCTGTCTGAACATTAGTGGCATGACATGCAGTGGTTGCTGTACGCGTATCGAGAAATTCATGAGCACGCAGCGTGGTGTTATAGACGTAAAGGTGAGTCTACTCACAAGTCGCGGCGTTTTCCGGTTTGATCCGGAATTAGTGACGGCAGAGCGCATTAAGCAAATTGTAGCCACGCTGGGATTTCAACCCAGTGTATTATCGGGTGATGAGGTGGTAAGTGTTGTCCTGCACTATGGACAATCGGAGAGTTCCCCGGAAGCCAAGAAGTTAGCACTCCAACTTCCTGGTGTCATTGCCGCAGAACATGTTGATGAGCCGGTTGTTTGTGCGGATGTATCGAGTGAGGCTCTGCTCGTTACGTACAATCCAGACATTACAGGTGCTCGCAGCATTGTTTGTCAGCTCTCACGCGAACTAAGAGTGAGCGTTCAAGCATCAAGTCCGCGTGCGACATCGGTTCGTGCACGCGCGGATGAAGTGCGACGGTTTACCCGGCTATTGTTTTGGAGCTGTTTGCTGTCGCTACCAGTAATCTTCGTCGAGTTTATACTTCCGGTGTTTTGTCCTACTTCCGACCATAATCCGGCAAATGCAGGAGTCTGGGGTACAGCGAACCGGTTAAGTGTGAAAAATGCTGTGGAATTTGCGTGTGCGACACCTGTGCTGTTCATAGTGGCACGCCCCATTCACACAAGTGCTTTCCTTGCGTTGCGTTATGGCAAGCGCGTTACGATGAACGTTCTTATCTCGCTAAGTGCTTGCACAGCCTATGCTTTTTCTGTTTTTACTGTTGCTGCGGCGGCTTTTGCGAAATCTCAAAGACCAAAAGTAATACCAGACCAAGTGAATCCTTCGGCGGCATCTGCGCAGGAGCATACGGACACGCTAGTCAAAGTAGATACCTTTTTCGAAGTCACGGTGCTACTTGTTACTCTGATCCTCGTTGGCCGATACATTGAAGCACTGGTAAAAGCACGCGCCTCGAACAGTGTGGATGCTTTGCTGCGCATGCAGGCCAAGACCGCCATCTTGCTTGAAGAAGAGGATCAGAAAGAGCTGTATATAGACGTGGTACTTGTCGAACGTGGTGACCTACTGAAAGTTCTGCCTGGTACTCGAGTGCCTACAGATGGCGTTGTTGTCAGAGGCGCTAGCTCTGTGGATGAGTCCATGATAACCGGTGAAGCTCGCAAGGTGCCCAAGGAACCTGAAGCAATTGTGATAGGTGGGTCCATAAACTCACAGGGCGTTCTGATCGTGCGGGTGACCCACACTATTCACGAGTCGATGTTGGCTCGCATGGTGCGTCTCGTAGGAGAGGCTCAAGCTTCTCGCGGTGGTCGCCAAAGCATTGCGGATGCTGTGGCTGCATACTTCACGACGTTTATAATCATTCTGGCCAGCTTGATGTTCATGCTTTGGTACTCGCTCGCTCGACATGGTCATGTGGATACGCAGGGCTGGGCTCCTTTCCCGTTTGCGCTGCGCTTTGCAATTACGGTGCTAGTTATTAGCTGTCCGTGTGCGATTAGTCTTGCCGTGCCTACTGCTGTAATGGTGGCGACCACGAAAGGTTCACAGGCGGGTATACTCTTCAAGGGTGGCCGCGCGCTCGAGGCGCTCGCGGAAGTGGATGCTGTTGTGTTTGACAAGACAGGAACGCTCACAACTGCGCAGCTTGGGGTTGCTAGTGTCTTTGATGCAGAGAATGGCGTTGACCGAACACAGCTCTGGCGTTGCGTAGCTGCTGCAGAAAAAAACAGCGAGCACTCAATAGGTAAAGCCCTCGTAGCTTATGCTGAGACTCAACTGCAGGACCTTCAGGTTGACCAAGCGCAGGGATTTGAGGCTGTTCCAGGATGCGGTGTGCATTGCACCGTGCAGGGTGTTGATGTACGACTTGGTTCCCTCACATGGCTTAAACAGCAGACGTACGGTGACTGTCATGCCCTAAGGGTTCCTGTAGAATTTGTCGAAGCAAACCAACGTTTTCAGGCTCAAGGTTGCATAGTCGTGTTCGTTGTCATTGATGGCGAATTGCTATCTGCAATTGCGCTAAGAGATGCCCTCCGCCCGGAGGCCAAAGGCGTCATCTACCAGCTAAAGCGCGAGGGGGTTCAGCCGTGGATGGTTACCGGCGATCAGCGCGGGACCGCAATGAACGTGGCGATGGCGCTGGGTGTACCTGATGGCTCTGTGCTGGCTGAAAGTCTACCTCATCAAAAGGTAGACACGGTGCGCTTGCTGCAGAGTCTAGGTCTGCGTGTCGCCTTTGTCGGTGATGGCGTGAACGACGCACCTGCGCTAGCAACGGCCGATGTTGGTGTGGCACTTGGAGCAGGGACTGATGTTGCGCTCGACGCTGCCGACGTTGTGCTCGTTAAGGATGACCTACGTGATCTGCTTAACGCTCGCGCGCTTTCGAGCGCCACCAACAGACGTATCAAGCATAATTTTGCTTGGGGGGCCATGTACAACCTACTGATGATGCCTATTGCGTGTGGTGCACTGTATGCTCCGTTTGGAATTTGGATCCCTCCAGCCCTCGCCGGTTTATCGGAGCTGCTATCGTCCGTGCCTGTGGTTCTCTTTTCACTGCTGCTTAACTATTGGAAGCCGCCGTTTAGTGGTGACTGGGTACACGAGAACCACGTGGCTATTGATGTATTGGAATCGACACCCTTGCTGCACAAGTAGCAATTACGAACAAAACGCAATCATTTGATGCATATAGAGGGCAGGTTAGTGCTGCTCTGTCATACAGAAAGCAAAAGGGTTGGCGTTGCCGCTTTTGAAACCACTCGGTCTGTTCCGGTTTGCCTCAAGTAGATGTCTTGGTGTACTCGCTTCTACTGACAGTATCTGTCGTCACGATCGCTACTCGCCTTTGTGTGTTAATCGATCGTGATAAATCGATTAATTTGAATTTGCGATGTGGTTTTATAAATTATTTTAGATAAATTAATGATATCATTGGGTGATTAATTGTATCGTCAATAATTAATTATTCTAGATCACTGTAGCAATAATAATATTATTTAAGTAATATAGATATGAGAAAAATCTTGATTTAAAAAGAGCTACAAAACAAAAATTGTGAGGGATCAATCAATGCGATCGACACCAGGTCGGCCCATCAACACCAAGGTGAACTAAAGGACCCGGATTACAAACGAATCGTAACTATCACTGGCTGCTGAACAGACGGTCGAAATCGCTGGTCATTATCGTTCCGGTGACAAGAAAAAGTTTGTTTCCATTCGCACCTTCTTTTTCTGAACTTACATCCTCTTTGATTTCGCATTGAAAGTGCATTGACATGTGGCAAGAAGAAACTCACGCTCCTTAGAGTCCAAGTATTGGACCCGCACGTCATTGAATCAGCTCGATGATAGGTGTATTGACTTGTATCAAATAGTGACTCACGTTCCTTGTCGTCTACCACCGCGGTCGTATCATACCGTTCGTTACTTGGTAATATAGACAACGGCGCCAGACAGTTAGCCTTTCTTGCTGTTTAGTAGTGTGAGTGATGCAGGCTGTCATATGATCCTGTCTCAGTGTCTTCGGTTGTCAAAGCACCATTGAGTTACGCTTGCGGATTCAGGAAAGTCTTGGCGGTGCTTAATATGTCGATCGAGAAGAATGTCCTATTTTACTTGTTATCGACAAGCATACGCTTATGACACTTTTGATTCCGCGTACCCCTGATAACCGCACATGCAAGTATCGTAGCTCTAAAATGAATGGGATCTTTACCTTTTGCTTTGGGATGTCAAAAGTGTCGTAGAACTGTATCGGGAACTAAAACAAGGCCTTTGCCTCTGGTAATGAATGCATCCTGCCAGCCTAATGATAACCAACGAAAGTCTCAAAGAAAGAACAGCCACTAGTACAGCGCCTTGGTGGGATTCGATGGGACTTTCGCTCTCACGTTTCCTTTCTCTAGATTCTTCCGAATATCTCCAGTCGCCTGCTTGAGTAGCTCGACCATATTATTAACCGCGTTACGCGCAATAAATGAAAAAGTCTCGCCAAAAGTCAACGCACAGGCGGCTGTCGGTTGTTACCATAGGGCGCTGAGCTACAGCCTGTCGTAATGGAGCAAACGACTAGCTGATAAAGGATACGTAGCATTTCGAGCAATCGGTTCTATAAACACCTCGTTATCAGAATGTGACAGGCTCCACCGATTGGGGCCGTTTCTCACAGCCGGTAATCACATTTGTCACATATCATTTATGGACGAGTGACAGGCATGCAGTTGTAGAGGTTTTATGCTTTATACCTCTGCTAGAAACTGGAAGCTGCTATTGTAACTGCATTATGTTCACTAGTTTATGCAACATAGTAGGAAGTGTATCTTTGTTTTTGGTGCGTCAAGCTTTCAAGTTCGCGTCTTCTGATTGGTCAGTGCTGTTGAAGTCAAGTCACAGCCATTGCGACAACCTGCACCATTTCAGACAGGGCAGAAAGGTATGGAAATCGTGGACCACACGCCAATACCCGTGCAGTGGCGAGTTCTTTAACCAGTAGTGCTTTTAACTCGCAGAGCTCAAGGTTCTGGTCGGTCACACTTCTCTCTCTCTTGAACGTTTGCATTGTCTTCATTATTTCACCAAAAGAATTTGGAAAATGGAAAGCGCTACAAACGTGAAGACACTCATCGATCAGTTTGAGCTCATGGCACGAGCCAATGCCGTATCCTCAGCTCCACGATCTCAGTCCGTGTCAACATTCAAGAAAACGACACAGCTAAAGGCCGACAACTTATTGGTGAAGAAAAACATTCAACACATGATCACAAATTACTCCCGCACACCATCGAAACCCGTACAAATGATCCAGAATGCCGAAAAAGCTGTAGAGCCTGTTGAGGACTTATCACGGGAGAAAGAAGAAGTCCTTTGTAACACATCGAGGAAGGCCTCCTTTTACAAGAGGCTCACTGTCCATACGTCGGCCAAATATGATACCACAGCTCTTGACTCGTACGACTCCACTTTCTGCTCAAAGGTCCCTCGCAGCCCATCGTATTCGACCGCCTCTACGTGCTCTCTGGACTCGCTTCTCAGCCCGCAGGATTCCATTCTACACGAGCTACTGCAGAAGCCAGGTGAGACTAATACCGAAGTTGTCAGCCGCTCAAGACGGCCTGCACGTGATGAAAATCTGCAGCTCACGACAACGTCAAAGTGGATCCCGGCAACCTCCAATCGGCGTAGTTTGCTCGTCAGGAAGCCACCATTCATGACGAAGAAAGAGTCGTCGATTCCAGTACCAAAATCGACAAGCCTTTCTTCCAAATCAACACGAAGCGCTGTGGTGTCATCCCGACCCGTGAAGTCTCTCTCAAATATATCGTCTTCGCCTCGATACATGAACTACGCTAGTTCGCCGCGCTACTCGGCCACAAAAGCCTGGAACATAGAGCGCCGTCGCCAGCTTGAAGAGCGCAACCGCAGCCTAGCCATTGATAAGGCCATGCTCCCAATTGCAAAACAACACACCCGCCATACACGCCGGAGTAGCAGGGTCGAACGGAACAAGTGCGGTCACGATTGTACGATCTCAAGGAGAACCAGCACGCAGCAAAACTAGAAGTAGCAGCCAAGAGTGATACTTGAGCTTTCAATTGTGCATGCAAAATGGGTGGTCCCCGTTCTCTAACGCGAAAACATGAAAGAAATAGTGCCTTGTTTGCCACTACCGACATGGCGGTCATCTCTGCTGCAACAGAGTTCTCCATACCAATCGATTACAGTCTGGCGGCTACTTTCTACTGCCTCCATGCAAGCGACAACATTAAGCCTGTCAACTATCCGAAAAAGAACAATACTTCTGAAGTGTCGAAGCCAAGTGAGACCGTTGTAGAGACACTTGAAAACGTGAACGAGGATGTCGTGCAAGTGCCACGTCTGCGACTAAGTGAACTCAACTGGAAGAACCGTGCCCGGTTTTTGGAGATGATGGAGCGTCACTCGTTCGTAGTGCTTACAGAACTTGGTGAGATGCTGGAACACATTCACGACCAAGTACTCCAGAACTTGGAAACGTTCTTCACAAGCGACGACGAAGGCTGGAAAAACAGGTGCACCAGCAAATACATCTATCGCAATGAGCACGGCAAACCTTTCTGGTATGCTGGATACGAGCATACGAGTGTACGAGACTGCTTCCGCGTGGCCTGTGGAGACATGTCGCGGCTTGTGTGGCCATCGCCCGAGTTTCAAACTAATTGGCTATTGCTGCAGCGCCGCATGCAGCGAATTTGCGACCGTGCGTTGAGCTTGACTTTAGGTTACGATATTGAGCCTTGCCATGTACGCTTGGACAAGGACTTCTCCGTCTGCTACGGACTGCACTACCCGAACATTGAAGGAAGCGGCCAATCCGCAACGGAAAATGTTTTTGAGCATGTGGATCCGAGTCTGTACGTGGTGGAACCTGTGCCCAGTGTGGAAGGATTAGATGTGTATGATTCACATTCAAAGCAGTGGCTCAAGACTGAGAAGCTTTGTGTTCCTGGTAAGGAGATGGTACTCTTCGGTGGTCACGCCTTAAATCAAACCACGCAAGGCCGCATCCCAGGAACGCTACATCGCGTTCGTCGGACCCCAGGCCGGCGATTCTGTATCATTTACGAGCAAAAGTATGAGGAGTACTTCCTGTGACTACCACAGAATAATGTATTCCAGAGAATACACACTTTACACAGCACTGAATGAGAAAAAGTTGAGTGCGATGCACACATGATGGATCCGATTAGATGATATGACATGGGTTTGTGTGTACGCACGACGACCAAAATGCTGGCTGCCTTCTTTTACTATTTCTCGCTTGTTGTTGTCGCTGCTGCCCAACAAAATCCTATTACCAATGTGTTCATGGCTTCTTGACAACACTGACGAATCCGCTAGCAGCAGAAAAATACTTATTAGCCTCGGCGACGCGAGCCTTCGCAGCTTCGGGATTCATAAGCTCAATGCCTTGCACGGGCGTAAATGCGAGACTTGATGCGAGCCCACAAAGCGGCGGTTTGCTAGCAGAAGATGCGGCAAAATTTGCAGCGCGCAACTTTTTGCTCGACTGCTTCTGCTCCTTGCGCATGATACGAAGATTACCCGACCCTTCCTGACCAAGCCGTCCAGATGTTATTCCCATGGCGTTGTCACCATACTCTTCATCTGCCATAGCAAATGACTGCCTGTTCATTTCACGCCGTACATCTGTCATCTGTAATCGCTCCGTTATCTTACGGTAGCGCTTGCCACCACGTTTGCGGCGCGGTTTTTCGTCTGGAATGGGCAACGCTTTTTTCGTCTTTGCCTTTTGTGGCTCTTGCCATTTCTCCATCTTCCCGACCAGTTCCGTACGAAAGCGCGCACCCACTAGACCTTCCATGTCAGTCTTGTGTGGCTGGCTATCCACACGCGCCATTAACGCTAGCTTGCCTGCTACTGCTCTGCACGCCTTCATTCGTAAATACGGAGGCACACTCTGCACGAGGTCGCTAAAGAACAGAACGCCCGTGTGCTTCAATGCAGCAGCCGACGAGAACCCACTCAGCACTTTCTTCTCCTGTCCCAGCACTTGCAAGTTACACGCCGGTATTCGCGCTAGTTCCGCCACACCGCCAGCTAGTCCAATAAGCAGCGCTGCAATACGAGTGCCCACCAATTGCGACACGTTTGGCGCCAAGTACTTCATGCGACTTTCCACAAAGCGCAGAATCATATTCTTGTCCTTCTCCAGCGACAACACTTCGTCACAAGCTTCCATACACGTCTTCAAATCTTGAGGACCCAACGGTTTACCGCTCGTTCCTGAACCTGTAACCGAGATTCCAATCACCGCCGAGCTCGGCAGTAATTTGGGCAGCTCATCTACGACGGTCAAATCCATCTCATTACCGATAGCCTTAATGACACGAGCATAGTCGAGGGCATTAGGCACGAGAGAGTCGAGCTCCGGGAACTTGGCAGCATAAATCTCGGCAATAAAGCGGTGCACCGCTTCAATTTCATCGTCAATCTGTACCATTAGGTCATTGGACGTCACCACCAGGTCGTATTCAGCGCTTCCTTCCTCCAGCTGCTGGGGCTTAGCTGACGCGGCAGCGTCATCCACATATTGCTGGATCTCCTGCACGTGTGCCAGATACTTAGGCGAACGCTTAAGTGACGCGACAGCCGCCACGCCGCGATGTTTGACGCTGGAATACAGCGACTCTGTGAGGTTTTCAATCTGCTCTTCCGCGAGCGTCTGTTCCGTGTCCTGACGCTTCCGCTTATCTGCTCTCGACGTGGCAAAGTCCTCGAGCATGTGCTCATTAACATCATTGTCTTTGTCTTCCTCTACGTTAGAGACAAGAGACGACAGAGCAGACGTCTCTTCTTCGTCGCTGCCTTCACTAAGTTCGTCCAAGTCCTCCAAGAATGAGTCTGCAAGGGTCGACATGGCATACGAAATCTAGAATAAAGAAATGTCGCGGAATGTATGTTCTATACAATATCCAAGTAGTTTTAGTCACCGTGGCGGGTAGGTGGAAACGGTTTGTCATCAAGACGGTCAGTTTTGCATTCTTGCGCTTTGCCACGTACGTGCATTCCTGAATTAGTCGAGAGAGAGAGAAGGAGAAGAGAACATGCCGGGACTAGAGAGTAATAGCAACAAAAGCAGCAGCATTTGGCGACGCAAAACTCCGGCTGAAGGACGTAAGGACAGTGATGCTGAACACAAGAAGAAGAAGCCGCGTTGTGGAGGTCGTCGTAACAATGGCACCAAGAATGCTGACACGACCGAAGATCAGCTAAAGAAGGCTGTTGTGAAGCAGGAGATTCACGCTGATACGGACGTTGACGCTCTTGCGGAGACTATGAAGCCCACGAATCTAGACTATTTGTCGGATGTCCTGTTCGCGTCATTGGACATCTCTGCCCAGACAAAGCGCGCTATTGTCGAAGACTTCAAGTACGAACGTCTCACGAACGTGCAGAACGAGACGTTTCCACTCATTGTGGCAGGAAAAGACGTGCTCGCGAAGGCCAAGACGGGCAACGGGAAGACCATTGCCTTCTTGCTGCCAGTGATCGAGAATATGGTGAAGAGCGGACGTCACTCTGGCGCCATCCCAACGCTTGCGGTGTCACCGACACGTGAACTGGCGCTGCAGATTGCAACAGAAGCGAAACGTCTCACCAAGTTTCACGACTTTAATGTTGCCTGCTTCGTGGGTGGCGCAAATATTAAGAAGGATGAACGTACTCTTACGAGCAGCACCCCGCTCGACATCCTAGTTGCCACTCCTGGTCGTCTGGCTGACCACTTGAAGCAGAATACGGGCAAAATCGCTGATCGATTAGGCAAGGCCAGTGTCTTGATTCTAGACGAAGCCGACCGACTGCTGGACATGGGTTTTCGGCGGGAGATCATCCGTATCATCGGATACCTGCCGAAAAAGCGTCAGACGCTGCTGTTCAGTGCTACACTACCAGCCTCTACGAAGGAGTTGAAGCAGGTCGCTTTGCGTGAAGACTACTCATTTGTGGATACTATTGATGCGAAGGAAGCAGACACGAATGTGCAGACCGAGCAGGAGTACATTGTATGCAAGATGGAGGATGTGATTTTGACGGTGGAGTGCATTCTGTCCGAGCACATGAAGCTGCCTGCGTATAAGGTGATGCTGTTCTTTCCCACGGCCCGTTCCGCGCAGTTTATGGCGCAGCTCTTTCAGGCTGCAGGTTTCCCTGGTGTCCTCGAGATCCATTCTCGTAAAAGCCAAGCAGTGCGCACAAAGACGGCCGAGGCTTTCCGTAAGGGCCATAAGGTGATGATGTTTTCGTCTGACGTGTCAGCGCGTGGTGTGGACTACCCGGACGTGTCGCTTGTGCTCCAGGTGGGTCTCACTGATCGCGACCAGTATATCCACCGTCTTGGACGTACAGCACGTGCTGGTATGAAGGGCAAGGGTGTTCTTGTTTTGTCCGAGTTCGAGACGTCTTTGCTGGACCAGTTGTCTGACCTGCCTCTCAAGCAGAGATCACCTGTGATGCTGACGCCGTCACAGTCGCGCACGCTAAAGGTCACGAAGAACCTGAAAAATTACGGTGACGTGGAAAAGTCGGCGCAGCAGTCGTACCAGGCGTGGCTTGGTTTTTACAATTCGCATGCGAAGCGTCTGAAATTGAAGTCCGTTGAACTTGTGAGTCTTGCGGCCGATTACAGCCGCATTGTCGGCTTGGACGAGGTGCCGAAGCTTGAGAAGAGAACTCTCAAGAAGATGAACCTCTTTGGCGTACCTGGCATTGAGCCGTCACCGTACACTCGTGACAATAGTGGCAACATCACTGGCGGTGGCTTTGGGGGGGGGGTGGCGGTGGCCGTGGTGGCGGCAACCGTGGTGGCTATGGTCGCAGATAAGTCATTAAGGTCGCTGCGTCGAAATTAAGACGAAGGAGAGTGTAAATCAGTCTCAAATCTGCGTCTCAGCGTCTTGATTTCGTGGATGAACACAAGGTGATTTCCTCATCATTAGAAACCAATCTTAATTTATTGCAACGAAGGATGAGTCGGTTGACTACAGTAAATACTTTTATGGCCTCTTTTTCATATTTGATGTTAAGTGGTGGCCACGTCCATTTCTAATGTAAATTTTGTACAACACACCATTTTTCAGGCGATGGACGAGATGGCGAAGATGTTGAAGAGCTACACGGGCGGCTTGCAGCAATCGTTCGAGTCAGTCTTCGAGCGCGTGGGGCAGAGCTTATCACAGAGCGCACAGGTGATGCATATGATGAATCAAGTGATGGAGTCAGCGATGCTACAAAACCTGCTCATTTCCTCGAGCTATGGAGTCAATGAAGGCCTCATCATTGCGGTGGAGAATTGCTCACAGATCATGTTGGGGCAGACGATAATCAGCGCCCAATTGTGTAACTCCGAGACGAGTTTCTTCTCTACGACGCTCGAGTCGCTTTGTGTCGGCCAGCGAGTGCAGCTTCAAACGTCGATTCCTGACGTCGTTGGTCCTATCGCAGGCTTCATTGAGCTGGAATGCATCAGTCCTGGCACGCAGCAGACACTTACGAAACGCTGTTCGTTCCGGGTGTTTTATCTCGAGCAAGGGACATTTCAAGCTGTGATGACTGGAGAAGAAGGCGCAACCCCTGATTTATATGAAGTGGCGGTGACGTCAGGCAATCTCCCATTGACACGAGTGAGGGAGCTCCTGAATCTCACTCCAATTCAAGGCATCTTGACGGACAAACAGGGACGGTATCGTTTCGTACCAGCTGATCAGCGAAACAATGACATTGTGTTCTATCTATCGGTGAAGGAGGATGAAGAAGGCGACTGTGGCAACCATGTTACAGTATCTGCTGCTGCTGCTGGAAATGTCAGTACCGCCGAGGAGCGCCTGCGTCGATGCCAGCAGATAATTAATGAGATGGAAATCGAAAGTGGTAATTAGTGAAAGCTAGATGTATGCGGTGGAGCATCAATGCGTTGTTAATCGTAGTACAAAAGGTACCTCGGTGTAGGCGTCTACATCGCCTTTTCTTTTCAACAGCTTTTTGCAAGCCCTAAGGCACTTTCTCACTCCCGCCACTATGCAATACAAGCAACAGTGCTCCACTATCCGCTGCTATAACATCTATGCAGTTTACGCCCATTGGTGCTTGGAGAGGTAGCCACGATCGCTGAACCACTTGTGTAGCAGGAAGGATTGCGCACCATACATGGCACCCAACACAGCCAGCTCAAAGATTGTGTAGTAAATGATACGAGACTCACTGCTGTAAAGGGCTGCAATCGCAAAACAGCAATTGATTGTCGTTAGTTCCCGCAGCAACACAAACCAAGCACAAAATGCAGCAACTTGAAGCTTACTTTGAACGTGGCGGTGAACACGAGTGCGATAGTAGTCCTGCTCATTGCGAATCAGGCTTAACAATGTCTGCAATCGATCGAGCGATGTCTTCACACCTTCCAAATGCTCTGTTCTCATCACATCAAACAAAACCACAGTCATGTATCTAAATCTCACTCGAATTTGTCATTACTTCTCATGCTATACCACACCTTGGCGTATCTGCTTCTCCAACTTGTCCTCGTCACCCAAATCTTCTTCGTTCGAGAGTTCATATGATGTGTACCACTCAATCAGCTTTTCGTTGCCCGCATGCGAATTGTCGAGACAGAAGCGGTACCATCCTCCTCGGTTCTCCGACTGGAAGTTGAAACCGCTGCGTTCAATGTTCTGGTTCTGTTCATCACGTGGTGTCACCACCAACTGATCAAAGAATTTCATGTCCACTTGTTCTTGCTCGGGGTACGAGGAGAACGGGCCAAACGCCTTCAGTCGCACGTCGTACGTGCCAGGGGACTCCAGCACACCGACCCTCATAAAGGCCGTGCGCTTAGTACGCACATACTCGTGGAAACACTCCTCTACATGTCTATCAAGTTGAAAGATAATGGCTTCTGAGGGTGTCTGTACTGCCAGTAGCACAGCTAAAGATGCGGGTGCCAGTACACGTAGCAGACCCATCGCGAATGATTTTTACGCTTTGAAGCCTTTTGGCTAAATATTACGCTCCCAAAACGACATTTTCGGTATACCCAAACTTACCTGTTTTGGGCAAGCATTGGAAACCAACCAATCACTTAGCAATGTGGACAACTCGCCACCTCTCGCTGCGTTTGTTGCGTGCACGCGGCTTTTACTCCAGCTTCTTTCCATGTGCATCCAACAATTGTCTGTCTGACGTTTCAGTCAGCTCTCTGTCGATCAGCCAGGAGTCTAAAGATGTTTTGATGCGCGATATGGGCTACGAATTCCTGACTCACGTGCAGAAGGATACACTGCCACTCGTACTGGAAGGACGTGATGTGCTGGCCAAGGGAAAGACTGGCAATGGCAAGACAATTGCCTTTTTGCTGCCAACGCTGGAGCGTTTGATAAAGAACCCGCAGTCGAAGAAGGACAAGATCTCTGCTCTTGTCATCTCTCCGACTCGAGAATTGGCGCAGCAGATCGCAGTGGAAGCCGTGAAGCTTACAAATGCCCATTCACTACGCACGTCTTGCTTTGTGGGTGGCAGCTCAGTGAACAAGGATGTGAAGGAGCTAACGCAAGCAGGAGGCATCGATGTGCTGGTGGCCACTCCAGGACGACTGCAAGCGCATTTGGAAGACAACAGTGGACGCATCAGACAGAAACTGGACAATCTTCAGATGCTGGTGCTGGACGAAGCTGATCGTCTGCTGGACATGGGATTCCGGCCCGATATCATGCGGATAATCAACTATTTGCCAAAAGAGCGGCAGACGTTGCTCTTTAGTGCGACTTTGCCGACGGCGACTGAGGAGCTTAAGAATGTGGCACTTCGTGACGACTACACGTTTGTGAATACGATTGAAGGGGATGATGAACAGACTAACTCACAGGCTGTGCAGGAATATGTTGTATGCGACTTGCAAGACGTTATTCCGGTGATTGAAAGCGTATTGGAAGACCACATGAAGCTGCAAGCATACAAGGTCATTGTTTTCTTACCTACTGCACGTGCGGCGCAGTTCATGGCGCAGCTTTTTCAGGCTGCAGGTTTTCCGAACGTTCTGGAGATGCATTCACGTAAGAGTCAATCGGCGCGTACCAAGGCTGCTGACGCCTTTCGCAACGGTAAGAGAATGATTATGTTCTCGTCTGATGTATCAGCACGTGGCGTCGACTACCCAGACGTCTCGCTGGTTTTGCAAGTGGGTCTCACGGATCGTGATCAGTATATACACCGCCTAGGACGAACTGCTCGTGCAGGGATGGAAGGGCGTGGTATTCTGGTGCTGGCTGATTTTGAAAAAACCTTGCTTCGTGATCTGGCTGACTTGCCGCTCTTGGAACTTAAACAGTATCCTCAGTTCGATAAGCAGAAATGCCGAACTACGCGTGCCCTTGCAAATGTTCGTGACCGCAGTGCGCTGGAGCAATCGGCAGAGAAAGCGTATGCTGCTTTTTTGGGGTTCTACAACTCGAATCTCAAAAAGCTCCGCATGTCCAAAATGCAGCTTGTTGAGACAAGTGCACTCTACAGCCAGTTTATTGGGCTTGAAAAGGTACCGATGCTGCAGAAGAAGACGCTACGAGCGATGGGATTGATGGACATTCCAGGCCTTGCTGCTGCCCCCAAAATGGCCAGAACTGCAGGATTCAAGCCCAAAGGTCCTGGAAGAGAGCTGAAGACATCTACCAGTAAAGAGCAGACTAGCTATCAATCACTTTACAGCCGAAAGAATAGAGATAGTCGTGGGACCAATGATAAGCGTGGGCGAAGTTTGAGTAGAACGTATAGCGACGAGGAAACCAAGCCTTCTCGTAGTGAGCTGCAACTCAAGAACAATCGCAGCAGTCGCAACACTTCACCAGAATGGCGCACCGATGGACGCAAGAGTTCCGGTAGCATGGCGTCCAAGAGAAACTACAAGGGACCGTACACCGGATAGTAGAAATAGGTATGGGTGTTACGATTGAAGCATGGTGAAGATCATACTTTCTAGAACTTTCCGCTCTAGAGCCATTACCATTATCATAGATCACGCTTTTTCTTGCATCTACTCGCTGTGCGCTTAACGAATGGCTCGATACCCAAATTGACGCTGGCGTGCTAGAATAAACCATGTAGCAGACGCACCTACAACGGCCCCGATTGCAGCGCCAATGGCAAGCTGAGTAATTAAGACAACATTCGAAGACGTTGCTGCAACTCGCTGCCCCACGACATCGGTACTCGCATCCTGATGACTTTTAAACAGCTCAAGCTGTTTCTCCAGCATCGGGACATGTGGCGGCCTCAATGTGTCGCCTGGCCACTTGGAGAACTCGCTGAGCTTGAGCCACCATTCCGGATAACCGGGCATCTCCATTTCCTCAGGAGCTTCACCCGTCGTGATGTAGCCGTCCGTGAATTTACCCACAAGCTTCCATGCAAAAGCCCACCACTCTTCAACGACTTTGGAAGCCAATTGATTCGATTGCTCCTGTAGGTATATGCGAGCTTCAGCTGTTGTTAAGGACTCGGTACGATAGATGTGATGTTCCATCGCCTTCCGCTCAGCAAAGCATGCCTTCTGCAACTCAGCAATGCGGGCGCGGATGTCTTTGCTGATAGCGTCAAAGCGTATCATGCTCCAGTTGTTAACAAAGCTGAAAGCCCACCATGCTGAACCAGGAGTGAACTCGCTTTCCTTGCCGAGAAGATACGCGGAAGGCACCTCTTGCTGCGCACAGGAGAATGGCACAAACACCGAAGCATGGGGCGAGCTTTGTCCATACCAGGCTACACCACCAACGGCATCGGGAAGGTGAGCACGCGCTTGCAGCACAAAACTGTACACCGTACGATACATAGAAATTGGTCGCTCCCAGCCACCAACGACACCTTTTTCGTCGCCTCCCCACCGCATCGGCATCCCAAACGGCCCCGAGGCGAAACCCTTGGATAAGTCGTAAGGCGTGCCTTGAAAGTAGTCACGCAATAAGCGTGTCACGTCGGAAACATCAAGGTTCCGGTCTGGTTCGACTGAAAATGGGTACGTCGGAAACTCCGAATAATGCCCAAGGCGGGAATCGAGCTGCAAGGATGGTGCCACAAGATCAAATACGCGCCACATGCGACGCCCTACGTATAAAGCGCGGACGGGATCCGATGTTGGAGAAGCGTACACAGCTGTGAAATCAAACTTGCCTTGCTTCGGCTTCCACCACCCCATCTCCTCAGCAAAGGAATGCACGTTGCCCGACGCCACGAAGCGATCGGAATCGTCCAGATTCATTTCACGGATCACAAAGCCATTGGCCACCACGACCACGTGGGTATCAAGCACTCGTTGTGCAGCCCAAACAGCGCTAGCATTCTGCGGACCTGTAAGCACGTGGAAGACCCACACTTCTCCGTAACGGTCGGCAATGCCCAATGTCTCTGCTGCACTCACGTAATCTGGATTGGCCGGGTCGCCGCTGTCTTCACTAAAGAACCCGTACGTGGTAGCCAAGTCGCCCATAATCTGTATAGCGCACCGAGCCGAATCACAGCGCTCCAAAGCCACTCTTGTGAGCTCTCCAATACCGAACATGTTGTATCCGTGTGGACCTGCGTCCATGGGCCAGCCCACCGTCCTAGCTCCGCTAGTGCTCTCTCCAATAGTGAGTTGTACTTCGTTCATAAAGCCATAGTCCTGTTCAAAGTAGCCGTACGTGTGCGACACCTGCGGAATCTCACCGAGCGGTGTCATAAGCTGCTCTTGGTTATTCTTTGGCTTGTACTCGGGTCCTCTCTCTGTAGTTACGAGTCGTGGGTAGCCCGGCTGTACGTTGTATACGTGACGCACCGCTCCTCTCTCATACTTTTGAGCTGGTATATGCACCATTCGCAGGTCGGCAGCGCCGAAACCCGCGTCGTCCGTATGAGCCACGAGTGTGGAGCCGTCCACCGTTGCGTTGCGCCCCACCGCGATCATGGTACAAGCTCTTGCCAGCGATACCAGAGTATTGGCAAGTAGAAAAATCCGCAGACTTGACATGACAACTTGGCGCGCTCGAGTTGAATGATAATGCTGTGCTCCCAAATCCATCGCGTGGATCAGAACTTTTGCTGATAATCTTTTAGAGTTGAAATAGAGAATCAGAGTGTTGAAAACTTGTATAATTTTTTACACTTACTATGACAACGACTTTGGTATACGGTGGAAAATGCGTGTAATTGTCCATCAAAGAGCTGATTAAAGTGGGACGAGAAGGAGGAATATAAATGTATATGGGTGAAGGACATGTCATTATTTTTTTTGTCAGATTTTGACGATATTTATAATATCCTGCTTCTTGCTTTAGCCAATGGTAAGGACCTGATCGAGTAATTGTAGTAATGGATAACGAATTATATTCCTCGCTGCAATAATAAGTGGGTAAAGCAAATGCTAAGAAATGTTTCTTGTTTAATTATCTAATTGCACAAACGGGGTGTAGCCCGTTACATAGCATTGGCACTAACATTAAGTGCCAAAATGAAAATAATCTTAGCTAATAACATTCAACAATATTCTTTTAGCTTATAGTATTTGACAAAATAATCTTTCAGGATAATATTATCGGCGCATATCATTCTTACTGGCAAATATATTAGTGTTAGCTGACATCGTGGCCTATCGACCCACAGTGCGATGCAGCAATGAACTCTGCTTGCATGGTGCTCAACGATACACCAGTCTGCTTCTTGCATGTCCATGCACTGACATCACCGTCTATCGTCAGCACGCATTCTGACACACACTTTCTGGCCGACTTGTCTATGGCATAGTTCACGTCAGTCCAGCTCTCAATCTTGATGGGGTCTGCCGGCTGGCTCGCGCTGCTAATCTACAACTTTAACAACCTCAAATGCCTCGCCACTCTTTTACCATCTTTCAGTCTTTCACCGTAGGCTTGTGCGTTGTCTGGTCGCAAGATGGACTGCAAAGCTATATCCGGACGAGTGCAACGCGCAATCCACAACAGACTTCTAACGAGGATCTAAAATCTTGACGCTTGGTAGTTCGGATTCAGCGATTGCAACAAACGATTTAGACTCTTCCCTGTCCACATCATTGCATTCTTTTCCGATCGAAGATCTAACCCCGTTTGCCGAACTCAAACCGTGATCGTTAACAGTAAGTCAATAGTCACTTCTTGGTCCAGCATATATCAACTTTACATCCAACACGATCCGAAAACCAGAATACTTGTTGACAACACCCAAATCCTTGATCTCGAAAGACACCATGCTCTTGATTAAACGCCGTTATTCAATAAGGTTTCAGTGACCAACAAGTCTTCTATATTCTGTAAATGACGTCTTCAGCCGCTGCCCAAGACCTAGTTGTCGGTCAAGCGCGTTTGACTATCTTCAACAGTCACTACAAAATCAGCATCTTGTTTATTCTTGACTTTCTTAGGGCAAGTCACCTTCAGATGTCAAGTATTACCGCATAGATAACACTTCTTTAAACCTTGATCGTTTCAACGTTTCGTACCATTGTCAACCTTTCTTGTGTCCTTCTTCATCTCGACAGCGTTCACCAACTTTCGACCAAAACGGTTGACACAAACAAAGTAAAACAAAATATAAATATTTCAAATAATTATGTTTAAGAAAGTTTTATACACATTATATAATTAAAATTATATAATCAATAAGATTTTTATTGAAAGTATAGCAAAAATAAGCAATAAGCATAATTTTTATATATTTTTAAAATGTTTATATAGCAAATTTTTGATAATTTTTTCAAATCTAAATTTAATAAAATATATAGTTTTGGACAGGTCCTTTCAGTTACTGAATAGGCACAATTGGTGCATTTATTACAGCATTTATTTAAACTCGTTTATTATTTTTGCTTTAAAAAGGGAAACAAATGCCTTTGAAGTAGTTAACTAACATGCACATGATGTTTTAATAAGTAAGGTATTAATTAATAATATTATACTCTCAATTTTACTAATTTATAGTATAATATCATTAATAGTACTTTATTTATTTAAACATCATGTGCTTTTAGTAATTTATAAAATATACACTTTTGTGATGCTTTTTTAAGAATTTGTTTTCAATTTTTATATTGTAAACTGAACTTAACATCCATTTATACATACCAAATTATACACTAAATTAAATTCTTATAGCGGAAAAAATATAAACAATATTTACGCTTCAGTTGATGGTAGTATGTATACCTGCAAATGAAAAATATCTAACTTTATAATGAAAGCTATATTCGTAACAATTTTATACGCTCTCTTTTGTAATTTAATTAAACAGTGGTATCTAATTTAAATAAAATTTCTTATTATTATTTGGACCCATAAATTAAAATGGTTAATAAATTCATAAATTTTGGCTAAATGGGCAACGAAGGAGTTCGATCTTGCCAAAAAGTTGTCACAGGCATCAAACAGCAAATCAATCAGAAGCAGGCCAATGTGGAGACCATGAATCCAAGAAGCCTGAGTGCAAAGTGAATGCAAAGCACCAGCGGCTGATTCAACATCTCATAGTTGAAAAAGCTGTGGCCCATTAGGCCCTGCATTGTCAACACCGCGGAGTGATCACGAGGTACCTCGTCTACCCTATGGCTTGCCCAATCGCTTAGAGATCCGGAAGATGTCATCAATGTGACGCACGATGGCTTCACAAGTCTAAACAACTTCAGAAGCTACGCTATCCGCTTTCACGGTAAAAACGGCTTGGTGGACATGGAGGCTATGTTGTCTGTTCTGAAGGGGACACGTTACCGTGTACAGTACGATATGCGTGATGTTTACAGCATGGATGAGACCAGTATTGGCAGACGCAGAAATTACTTAATTTTTCAGCTTGAAGTATAGGAGCGTCACTCGATGTCACACGAGTTAACGAAACTCAAGTCTGTTTGTGAGCCAGAACAGTGTAGATAGATGACCTTGTTGCTACTGTGAAGATACTGCGTGGTGACAAGAAAGGCGGTTGTTAGTTTTGTATCATGTGCTTGCGGACATTGAGCATCTCATAATCTGGATTCAAGTGTAAGTGGTTTGCGGAGAAGAACTTGCTCGTTCTGTGCTTCAAATTTCTTGATCTTTTCGGCAATTACGTCAAAAACGCAAAGCCGCAAGCGAAAAATCAAGCAATTTTTGCTCAAAGAGCATTTTAGCGATGCCCATCACACTTTACTCGAACCGTTCGTCCGGTATCAGAACTATTCCAATGGCAGGTACGAAGAACGAACAGAGGATCCCGCCTTGAAGTCAAGCTGCAAAGCATTGACTCTGCCGGGACAGTTATACAGGTTTTTAGGTTTCAAGCACTTGCGTATGACGGAGCCAACGCATTAGAGTGACATGCACCGCCGAGTGAGAGGATCCCAAAGGGAAATTCTATAGGGGAAATAAAAAACGGGCATATAACAAAAGTATCTGTCTTGATAATGTCATAGCAAAAGATGCAGTCATTTTATCAGCATTGTTTCTGGTACGTATACGAGTCTCTTCCCGACAACCTTATTCGATTCTTACTTTCTTACCGTTTTGATGGAAGCCATCTGTATACCATTTTTGAATTTCTTACTTATTATCAGCCTACCAAAGTTCCAGCATGTCAGAAGAGATTCTGTTTGTGCTCGGAAGCGCTGATGCCTCGACAAGCATTATTTACCACGTGGTCGTTGCTGGTCACGTGCATCGTCAATGGAAGACTCAGGTGTCCATTTTGATGGGTTCAATTTCCCACCTTCATAGGGACATGTAACTTTTCTTCGAGAATCTTTTCCGTGGATTCTTTGATACCGACAAATATGATACTCGGTCATTCGGCTGTTTGCCCACATTTAGTATGTCCACGTAAGTTACCAATGTGGTCTTCATAGTGGCTTCTATGGTTAGCCCATGAGTTGAGGATCTCGTCTAACACTCGCCTTGAAGGTCTATTCAATGCTGAATAGATTTTTATTAATGAAGTATCTTAGCTATTAAATCATTGTCGAAATTAGGCGAAAAAGCATACAGGGTTATTAAATAGGCAGCGACAACACGTGGCGACCCCTCGGGCGACCAGGCGCCAACCCGGTCTTGGTGGGTCAATCAAAAGGAAGCTATTATGGAGAGCATGCATGGATGACGGTAATGTCTCGATTCCCTTCATATCAACCAATTCCATTTGCAGATGCTGATATGCTCTGGATGCAAGTCGTTAGAGGGGCCCACGTATATTCTCCATTTCCGCAACTTCATGTCTTAAACGGACCATTCTTTTTGGCAATCTACCGCAACTCGTAAGTTTTTTATAATTCTTGCTTCTCATGCAGCCAAGTTAGCTGAGGTAGAACTGATTTTTTATAAGAAGAATGAGATGTTTCAAAAAAGGACCAGACCAATTATTGTCTCTGCAAAAAAGCCTTGAGGGTATCTCGAAACTACTCTTTAAATGTTGTAGCGGCCCATTTTGTCCAATAATTTTGTGACAAAAGTCCATTTTTCAATTATATCCTAATCAAAAGCCTGTTCGCCGCTTCGTCCACCATATTTATAATTTCTGGTATCTTAAATTGTTTGCCTGGTGATTCTCTTCATCGAGCCAAGCAACAGGCCTTGTGGAGAGCGGTGTCGCTGCTCTCTACATAGGAGAAGTCCATTGAATCTAGACCTCCATCCTCCTGTAGTCTCGGCGAACGATATGATCCCGAGTGACCATGAGCTTGTTTCAGGCTAAAGGCTTCTGTTCAGCTGCGAAGATCTCTTGATCAAGTGACTATAACTTCAATCGGAACAGGTGAGTCTTGAAGAAGACCATCCGCAAATTTCTTGAATAACACAGTAACTTGCGTGTCTTCATCTATTGGGCTTAACACGATACAACTGACGCTGCCTCAACAAGTTAGCTTGTTAAGAGCCTTGCTTTCTCAACAAGTCAGCCTGCGGAGCACCTTGCTGTTGTAGCAAGGTGGGTATTTCATCACTTCTAGTTTTAGCACAGCCTCTAGCAGTACTTAGTTACCAAGATCTTAATAGGTAA